TTACTGGCCCCACATGGAGAGCACAATCAACACTTACGTCACCACCCAATGTCAGTGCATCAAACAGAAGAAACCATCGAAACCCAACAGGGCCCCCCTCATCCCTATCGCAACAGCAGAGCCTTTCGAACTGGTGAGCATCGACTTCCTTCATCTAGAACGTAGTCGTGGAGGATATGAGTACATTCTGGTCGTAATGGACCATTTCACCCGATTTGCACAAGCATACCCCACGACCAACAAATCCGGTCGAACTGCAGCAGACAAGGTCTTCAACGACTTTGTTTTGAAATTTGGTTACCCGAGACGCCTTCATCATGATCAGGGACGCGAGTTTGAGAATCAGCTGTTCACGAGATTACAACAGCTATCTGGTGTCACCCATTCACGCACATCCCCCTATCATCCACAAGGAAACGGTCAGGTTGAACGTTTCAACAGGACTCTCCTGTCGATGCTGCGAACTCTAACCGAGGAACAGAAGCACGATTGGAAGCAACATCTCAACAAGGTAGTCCATGCCTATAACAACACCAAGCATGACACCACAGGATACTCTCCACACTATCTCCTGTTTGGGCACTCGGCAAGGCTTCCAATCGACCTAGCTTTTGGTATCTCCCTCAACCAGAAGCAACAGCCGAGGAATATGCCGGAGTACGTGGCCAAATGGAAGGAGAGATTGAAGGAAGCGTATGACTTAGCAGGACGAGCAGCCCGCCAATCTGCAGAAAAGGGAAAACGACGGTACGACCAGAAGGCAGCGAGCACGGTTTTGATGCCCGGAGACAGGGTTCTGGTCAAAGACTGTTCCCCTAGGGCTGGTCCAGGAAAACTACGGTCATACTATGAAGACCGGATCTACGTTGTAAAAGCGAGAAAGGGAGAACTTCCTGTATACGTGGTTCATCCAGAAAATGGTACGGGCAGAGAGCGGACGCTACATCGCAATCTGCTATTTCCATGTGATTCGCTGGTCCCAGATAAGTCTATACCCACTATAGCACAAAAGACTAGCAGAAAGGCACGAATGCAACCACAGACGGATCAGCAACGGCCACCCGCTCATCTGCAGAATCAGCCAGTGGATAGCTCAGATGAGGAGGAGGAAATGTATTTGACGGAATTCCATCGCCGCCAGGCGGCACGGCAAGATCTTCAGGAAAGAGAGGAAGATACTCAAGTGCACCTAGACGATACTGTAGACCCAGGAATCACGCGAAGACAAGACATGGGAAGCACAGCTCCAACTAGTCCAGCATTTCAGGTCCAAATCCAACCGGCAGAGGAGGAGACAAGGCTGATGGACTCGTCAGTACCACTAACTGACCTGACCAACCAGTCTGACTCTTCTGAAGATATCGAACCTAGAAATGTGCGCCCTCAGCGGGAAAGACGACACCCAAACCAATTCACATATTATGGCCCTGGCACACCGGATCCACAGTGCATGCAGTACGATGTCAGTGGAATTTCCACGCATCGGGATAACTCTGGTTTGCCGCTCGCAGGTGCCCCAGTGTTCCAACCGCCTCCATTCAAAACAAATATCCCTACAATGTTCATGCACATGCCCATGCCCATGCCCATGTTTACGAATGGACACTTTCCTAGGCCACAGTGGCAACAGTAGTTAGCGTCCTGGATATAGATTATTTAATTAAGATTGAATTAACGGGTTTTGGGAAAGTCAGAGTGAAATTAGATTGTAGTGTTTACAAGGATAATAATGCCAGGAACAGGAGTGAATATTCACCCTTCAAAGTGGTTATGTTATTGTATGATTATGTTATGTTATGTTATTGTAAGGAAAGGGAAGGGTTAATGAGATAATGGATACCAGTGTTGGAAATGTGGTCATTCCTTGTATATATAGCCAAGGGCTAATAAAGGAATGCATTATTAGTTATTACCCTACAGTGTATTTTGGTTATGGTGAATTGTTTTAAATATTGTGCATGGATCCTACGGATTGGAAATTATACTCTGGTAGGAAAGCGCGCCTGCTGGTAGTATAGTTTCTCAAATGCGCCATTGAGACGTATATATAGGCTCATGCCTAGCACAAAAAATTGATGCAATTCACATAGGATATGTTTTTCATAAATTATCATCGTCTATGGGTAGCCTGAGCAACGCTCTTTGCTATTCTCGGCTAGAGATGGATAGGTTATTATCAGTTCGACTGTGACTTTATTTTTCTTTTCATGCGATTCATCGATCCATTGTATATGCATTATGTGTTTAAGGTTGTTTTGGAGTATATTAGAGGAGCAACTATCGGTAGGTCAGAGTTTGTTGCTAGTTACGTCTCATTTTATTCTTGTATTGTTAGGTAGGATCGCGATGGTCAGCTCAGTTCAACATATGTTTAATATAGAATTGATATCTTGTGGAAATGTCGAAGATGACATTTGTTTTTGTAGGGATGGGTGTAAGGCCCTGGAAAATAGGCCTCCCTCAAAATTTTGTATACATATATCCTATTTGTATTGTCATATATTTTATACACCAGTATCTTAAAAAGTTTGCACATTCTTCACTGCTTGCTGCAAAGATGCAGAAACCCAACCCCTGTTTCCAAGAAGTGGTGACTCATATTTCGCCCTCTCCCCAAAACGAAACCAAATCGAAGGCGTTGGTCATGTCAGTGGTTTCTGCCTGATAGCATCAGTTCTATACCTGATGCTTCACAGGAAACACTTATTCTGACCAGCCTCTTCATTTCTTTTTCAGGTAAGAAATTACAACTTTTAATCTCTTTCAATTCTGTCTGTCTAAGTTAATTATAATTGTTCAATTCATATATTACATTGTTATTAGTGATATTAGAACCAATTAAGTCTATTTTATCAAACCAGACTTATCATGAGAGATGCAGGCTTAACATAGGTATCTACGTGACATATATCTATTGTATGGTGTTAGTTATGTTTATGAAGCATTTAGATTATATAATGGTCGTATTATTATGTAGTAGAAGTAGTAAATCTTTATATATTCATACTAAGTCAGGTTAAACCAACTAGTGTGAACACACCTCATAATGTGTGTATGCTTAATGTGAGATGCATAGTGACGAGTTCATACCCCACTATACAAGAGTAGTAGTAAAGTTAATCCTGATACCAATTCAATAGTCTGTGCATTGGGAGAAGTTTCTCTGGTCTTTATCAGAGATAACTGTGGCATGCTATGACTAATGACTTGTGGTCAGCAGTAGTCCACCAACTGGACAAATGAGGGAATATCGTAGAAAAGAGAGAATTTGGGTTCATAGTTCAAGATTCAGGTCTTTGATAAATGAGTTTGTTATGAATTTGTAGTTTCTCTCTCTCTCTCCCTCTCTCTTTCGCTTTCTCTCATGTCTCTCTCTTTTACTCCCTCTCATTTCTGGTTTCTCTCTTTAACTGTTAATATCATATTTGAAGATTGAGTGTGATTTTGTTAGAGTATATTCCTTGTATCTTTTATTATACTTTTGTCACTGCATATAGAGAAGAGTTTTGTTAGAATTGAGAAAGTAATTTGGTATTATTTTAGAAAGGGATTTTAGGGTTATACTGCGACTATAGACAGGTCGGGATATTGGAGAAAGTTGGGTTATGGTGTAAAAAGACACAAAACGACTTTTAACTGGTTCACCTTGGTCTATAATTACAGGTAGCCATGTTCAGATTAGAAGATAAGCAGTCAGATGCCTATGCCAATGTTGTTTATGAATTTAGAGTTAGCTGTGTTCATATTTATATTTAATCCGTATTACTTGTATTTAGTCTCATTATTGGAATATGTTATTCCATGTTTATCTTTATGTTATTAAAGATGAGTTCTATACCTGATGCTTCACAGGAAACACTTATTCTGACCAGCCTCTTCATTTCTTTTTCAGTATTTACCCCGGCCCGGGTAACATATATATCTCTATATATATACTTCCCACCAATGTTTACATTGCTAAACATCCATACCCATACAATTAGCTAACTACGTATTACAAATAATTAGATATTTAATCTGAAGACCACTTGAAGTTGACAATTATATGAAGTTTATTTTAAATCAAATTCTTCATAAAAAATACTCTTCATTACAGTGCTGACAAATTACAATGAATGCAAACACATTTTTAATCTCACAATATATTATACTCTTTATGTAAATTAGAGTTTTACATTTGGAACCACTTTATATACCACACCCATTTACATGTACTTATCCCAATTAAATTGCAAGTTTACAAAAATACAATTCACCATTGCCATCCTACCTATAGGTGAGCCATAACAAAACTTGAAAAGGAAAAGTGGTAATCCATGACTATACAGAGAGCACACGCTTATTAATCCAGAAACATGCTTGCTTTGGTCCCTCTATATATATATATATATATATATATATATATATATATATTTAAGATTACATAATTCCATCTCTGACTAGCTGTACATGTGTGTATATTTGATTGTAACATTTGTTTTACACATCTCTGGATTTTCATATCTAGAATAAATGTTTTTAGCTACTCTGTAATAAATAAATAAAGTCTGTAATAATTGGACATCCTTACCATCATTTCCATTTAGCCTGTATGATCTTCACCAAAACAATGGCAGTATAATATTGATCCACACACAATTAAATATAAAGTTGAGTTCTGGTTATGTGATTGCATTAATTGTGAAAGAAAAGTTGTTAAATGGATCAGAATGATCATGTAACATACAAGTATTGGTGTGTACTGCAAGGTTAGGGAATCATCAAAATTATTATAAATTTGGCCCAGTCTTAGTAAAGTTACGAGCACTGTACACAAAAAGATGGGACTACACAAATAGTGTCAGGGCTACTTATACCTTGATTTTCTCATCTTTCTTTGCTCATTACTCAGTCAGTATACATTTTCTACCAAAATTGTTTGGCAAATGACATCTATTTGTAATCTTGAAGATTCAGTGTAAGTTTCGTTTGATTCTGTGAGAATTCATTTTCCTTTTTTACCAGAACTTAAGTTCATCTTTAAACTAATTAAATATTCAAGTGTCATATGTAAAATGGTTAGATTTATCTAAATGAGGAGAATGCTCGAGACAAGAAGAAGTGGAGAGAGGAAGTGTCATGATGTACCCTTTCCAGCTCATCTTATGTATGTTATTACCAAAGAAGAAAAAAAGCCAGTCAGTCATTTAACAGTGTCTAACAGTGCCGTCTAGCAAGTAAACGGGTTTCCCTGCATAATTTGAATATTAGGACACTGCTAACGTTTAAATTTTACAGATAGGACATATATAACATGACATATTCATAATTCCTGCAAAGTTCTACAGAATTTGATGTTGGCTGCAAAAGGGACATAGTATCTGTAAAGTGTGAAACCTTATGAAATCTTTTTTCTTAATTAAATCCCATTTTGCCCACATGTTTGATAAGTAACCTTCTGATTCCTATTGTTCATAATTTACACGATATCAACTGGATATTATTTTCAGCAAACCTTGCTTGAACTCATACTTAACTACATGTAGCTAACATATCCAATACCACACATGACTGACAGAAATTGATTAACAGAAACAGAAATTGATTAACAGAAACTGATGTTTTCTCTTTTTTTTCTTCTAATATGTTGCCAGCAATAATGCATCTATAGGGCCTGGAAATCTTACAACCTTTACAAATCCCTGAAAATTTTACAAATCTTTGGACCTTTTACACAGAGATATTATACATACAATTATGCCTGTGTTTTTGTTTTCTTATTGCACAAAAAGGCTCATGCATGTAACACCGACCATACACATTCAAGGTTTCATGATAACCACCATACTGCAAAACTAAATTGACGAGGCATGCACACTACAGGTCTCTGTCCATTACTCATGGAGACATTGAGTACCTAAATTATGACGTCAATGATAGACACGTATATCTTACATGTACATGTATGTCATCAGTGACTGATGATACTGATTACTGAACGTAGTCATCTGAATATCATGTGAAAGGAAAAGCAGGAGTGTGATAGCATTGGAGGGGAAGTCCACCCTGATATTAAGTTGTTTTTTATAGAAACAGAAAAATTAGTGAAACAAGTCAGCAAAAGTTTGAGCAAAAAACAATTAAAAATAAGAAAGTTCAAACACATATCAGCAACTCTGTGACGTATCTTGCAAGGTCCCCTCCCGTTTGCCCTGTACTGAATAAATTCAAAAATTAATATTTTCCCTTTAGAAAATTTTCAAACATACATTCACCCTAGATATAATTATCACAAATATGTTTTTATACAACACATGTATGAAACAATAACTAAGAAAACGATAGTTTATGAAAACTTTGTTACACTGATGACAACTTTTAAAAATTCATAACTTTCCTACTTTTTTCGGATATTGCTCGAAGCCTCCAACTTTCACTAATTTGTTTCTCTCTTTTTTTCTGCTTTTATTAAAGGGGAATTAACCTCTCGACTATGAAGTACTATAATGTCATAGAGTAAAACAACGTTTCGTTTGATATAAAAAGCATTACTGTACGCCAAATAATATCATCTTGCAAGTACAGTAAAGAGACCCTACTTCGCCATATTAACGACGTGACGTATCGTAAGGAGAACTGATGGTTGGCGCGTTATACGCAATACACATCTAACATGGTGTACTGCCAAGTATTTGGTTGGAATTATTGTTCCTCAAAAACCGAGGGGAAATTGTTTAGGTGGAGAAATTTCTGGACAAAATGTACAAGTATGACAGGAAAAAGAATGTGATTTGTAGTGATCATTTTTTAAGTTTATAGCTTGGAAACGTACGTACGCAATAGCGGTCGAATCCATGCGATACGTCACAGAACGGGCCGTGCGAAACAATGGCAACGTTCTGAAAACTCTCAGAGCCGCGAACAATTAAACAATGCCTTTAACGAACACATATCTTTTAAAAGCAAATTTCAGACATAATTTGTTAGCTTCTGTTAACCCCCAAGACCTTTTAAGTCTACACTAACCTGACAGCCTTTAGGACAATCAGAAAGAAAAGAGGGGAAAGTAAGCATAACTCATGAGAGTAAACACAATTAGCCTCCATCGCAGTCCATCGTACTACCCATTCTTTCCTGATCCATTTTGATATTAAAACTTATTTCATAGAGTATGCACTATGCAGTCATGGCAAACAACTTACAAGTACAAGCATATGATAGTATTGTTAGAAAACTTTGGACAGCTCTACACATGAATTACATGTACAAATGTCAGGTAAAGAATAAATATTATATGTAGTGTGACGTCATCCCTTGTGATCATAAGAGCAGATTAAGAGATGTTCAATAACAGAATTTATGGAACTTTCCAATAATTGCACAGTCAAAATATATTTATAATAACCATTATCACATATGTATTTCTGTACAGAATGGCATAATTATATGAACATTGATTCATACTAGGATGACATAATTTCATGAATATATACAAAATTTAGTCATGCTAGGACTTGCCTTTTTATATAGCATATAAAATATCAATCTTTTCCCAACTTGTAGCTTTATGTCCCCTCTTGAAATTATACACAAGTATGAGCCCATACAATATGCTGATCAATTTGCTTGGGCAGTGGGGATGATTTATCCCCTCAAATATACACAATTTCAATTCTTTAGAACATCCTTGTACATGTATCTTTGCTTTAGTATAAAACAAGATCATGACAAAAGAATCTCATGTGATACTGAAGATAAAAATCATGACACCTAGATAAGGTCTGATCTATACACTACTTGTTGTCTACTTAAGAATAACCAGTTCATTTACACAACATACCTCTAGTACGTTCTTGAAGTTAATCTTGCCATTCAAGAATGGCAGATCTATGCCACCTACAGGTGAGTCTGCCTGCAATCATATATATTTATGTCATCTCTTATTCCAATTTTACAAGGTGCAGGCAAACTTCTATTTACAGTTTATTCATTCCAGAATGGCATGCACTCTGCACTCCAGGTCCTGCCCAGGTACTGACACACCTCACTTGTCATTGTGTCCAGATCGTATTCATCATCTTCTAAGACCACTTCTTCTCTGACAAAGAACTCTGCCAGCCTCTCACCACAGAGCCTTGCAACCTTGACCAGACATGAACAGGACACCTCACACTCACCTAGACCAAGGGAATGAAGCTCCTTACATTGACTAGCTATGGTCATGATGGGTTCATCAAGAAGGATATTACCGCTGGCACAGATGACCAGCTCCTGGAGCTTAGGGCAGTTCTGTCCCATGCGAATCAGGATGTCTCTGGATACAGACCGTCCAAAGTACACGTGCGTGGCGGGTGTTACGTAGGTGAAAAAGGGTTGGAAGTCTGTGTCATGAAGCACGTAGAAGCGCATTGAGACAATGGTGCTTGGGGAATGCTTGGATAGGGCGTCCCAGCTTTCTTTCTTGATGACATGATGTTGCATTGGTGTGTCATTGTTCTCACAGATCACGTTAACACATAGGTGTTTGAGCTTGACATGTTCCTCTCGGGATAGAGCCAGGAGTAAGCTGTCACTCAGATGTATGTAGTTTATGCTCAGCTCATGCAGCTGTCTACATGTGTCTGCAACATGTAGCATGCCTGAAACATATAGAACATACCAAAATTACCTCAATATCCACACCAACAATACCATAGCATGTTGTCCAAATCAAAAGGATTAAAGCCCCACTGCACTTCTTATAGCTACTTGTGCCCTCTATATGGCAAACAATCCCTAATCATTGACCATTGGTCCCCCATGATTCCCTTTTTCGTATGTTAATTGAGAGCTGATTTGATGAGATAACCACCTATCAGTTACCATGTAGGGAGGTCTAATCTCTCCTGGCCAAACTAGTGCAGTGGGGCTTTAAGGTACAATACTAATACTGTTTATCATAACCTCATATCATAAAATATCAATACAAATGTATTCCTGTCTTCTCATGCTATTAGATCTACATGCTGCTTACACACTGTGACGCACTGGCAGTGCCTTCATAATACAATCGCTAAGGGCTTGACAAGCAGTGTGCCAAAGATTGCTTTCTGACAAACAGCCAACTAACTTGGTATTATGCCTCATCACACCAGGAAGCTGTGATGAATGGAGATACTGTCTCGAAAGAATTTTCCGAGGGAAAAATATTCAAGATTAACCTGGCTTAACAAAAGAAATGTAACCCTCTCCAGCCATCATTTCCATCAACAGCTGTCCATATCAATGCACAGTCCCTCTCTGGCATTCCAAATAATACGAAATGTTACGCAACGCCATCTGCCTCCCTAAGTTCTCTATTCACTCTTTCGCAAAAATATGCAAGCATCGGGCTTTGAAGCCATGCATGGCACGGACAAATTAAGTCATGTTCAGGGAAGATGTATTTAGCTATAACATATAAAATGCAGAATTCACAACATATGACCTATGCAACTTTCTATTAGTCATCAAATGCGTTTTCCGTTCTCGGATAGCTCTACTAAAGACATGGCCATTTCAACCAGCAAAATCGACCAAGGAAATCAAGAGTTAGAGCGAATGAAAGATTTTCATCATCATGATTTTCTAATCTAATTATTGACATTTTTCGAAGATAGCTAGGAAGGTAGTCCAAAGGTTTATCTTCCTAAAGAACTAAATGAAATTGTGTTATATGTTTGCGCATTTATTGATTTAGGGCTAGAAGTTGTCAAGTTATCACCACTATTCACCCAAAGTACGGGCCGGCAAAGCAAAAGCCGCCGTGCTCGCTGGGCTGGGTTGGGTTGTGTGTGGAAAGGGAGGACTTAGTACTACTAGGGAGCTGTACGGTTTCGGAGGGGGATTAAGGGGATTACGGTAGGGGAAACAAATGATGCGCGGTGCCACATATGACTTCAAAGGGGCCTTTTGGACGGGATCTCCATTCATTACAGCTTCCTGGTCACACCTTCACGTATTTGGCTTGCGTATTGCTGCGTATTCATGGCAAGCCTTTAACATTTCTTCCTATTTCTTCAAAAAATGAATTCTTGATATCAAGACTTTCCATTGCTTGACAACAGAAAATTATTTCCTATGACATCAAGAAATTTGAAGTAATGTTGCCATAAGTACGCAGCAATACGCAAGGCAAATAGGCAAAGGTGTGAATGAGGCATTAGGGAGGAAAGGGAGCTAGCAGGATAGAGGAATAATACCCCCCCCCCCCTCCCCTTTAAACCAAATCAAGCATTCCCTCAGTGCACAGGGAGTTTTTGCCCATCAAATACCTTTTTTTTTTTTAATTGTGCCCCCATTATACAGAATCCTTGATTAGCCCCTGACTTCAGAAATTGGATACAAATACCAAAGTTTTTTGCTGTTGTTTAACTTATTTCTAATACTATTCAGTCACGTGGAGGTCAGTCAGTTTTCAAAGGTGAATTCCACACTGATATTATTTTTAAAAAGGTGGTTTTAATAGAAAACAGAAAGCATGACAGGAACATGCCAGTGAAAGTTTGAGTGAAATCCAATTACAAATAGAAAAGCTATGAATTTTTCAGGTTGTCTTCAGTGAAACACAAATTGGCAACACTGACATGTATCTTGGGAGGTCCTCTCTAATTTAATATGTACAGAAAATACTTTAATTTTCTTAGTTATTGATGATGGAATAGAATTGTTTCATACAGGAGTTGTATACAAATATATTTGCAACGATTATATTAAGAGTGCATGTACAGTATGCTGGAAATTTTCTTTGGTGAAAATAGACATTTCTGATTCTTTTTAGGGCAGAGCAAATTGGAGGGGGCCGCGCAAGATACATGTACATCATAGAGTTGCCAATTTGTGTTTGATTGATCACAAATTCAGAAATTTATAACTCTTATTTTCAATCAAATTTTACTCAAACTTTCACTCACTGGTTCCTCACATTTTTCACAGGGTGGACTTACCCTTCAAATAAAAATAAAGTTCACTGGAACGGAAAACATTGAAATGGTCAAATATTCCTAGAAGAAATAAAACGAGGTTGTGATTCTAACCTTTGGAGGAGACAAGTGGACAACTGGCTATCTTCAGCAGCATGAGGGAGTCCTTGTTTGAGACGGCCATGTTCTCAAGCCATGGGTCATCTACAGGTGTTTCATCCAGGGCTAGAGAGGACAGAGTAGGTGAGTTGACCAGTACCACCGTCAATGGAGTTAGAAGCTTGACCGGATTGACCAAGTGAAAGCTAGGTCTAGCAGTTAACATCAATTCTAAGGTCTTGAGAGAACAGTTGACCAGCTGGGACAGGATATCACATGCTGCTTCAGCCGAGGCCTACATAAATAGTGAACAAACAAGAGTTGCTGTGGGGTGTTTCATAAAACTGTTCGTAAAGTTACGCATGACTTTACGAATGACTTAAATATGAAAAGCCAAATGGGATGCTCAATCATTTTTAACTGCATCAACTAAAGTTGAACTGTGCAGATGTAAGTTAACATTCTAATTAAAACAAACATTTATAGTGCAAAGTATATTTTTTGCCATAATTTAACTGAGGTTATTGGACATATAGTCACATTTTGTTACAACATCAGGAAAAACTTTGGGCATCCTATCTGGCACTTCATATTCAATTTGTTTGTAAAGTTATGCGTAACTTTATGAACCATTTAATGAAACATCCCCCCAGAGGAGACGTCAAAGGGAAATAATACAAATATCTACATTTGATTTAGTCTGAAAAACAATTTCTCGGAGGATATATATGTACACTGTACATGTAGTTACTTTTCAGAAGAATTTCTCCAGATTTCTGTTCAGATGGAGAAAGTCATGTCTTGACCGACGCAGACTGTTGGTGAACGAATATCAGTTGGTGCAATTACGAGTAGAAAGTCATGTTTTCAGATTGGGCACTTCCCAGTATTATCCCTCTAAATGATAGACATTCAAGGACAGCATACCCAATGCCATGTTAGACTAAAAGCTTACAAGAATGTTTCACCCTGAAATACATGCAAGTTTCCTTATTTAACTTTGAGATAGTTAATCTCAGAAGTTGGTACAAAAACATGACAAAAATCAGTATAAAAGTGAAATCAAACTGTGCTTTGTAATTTGTAGGTACTTCATTCAAAACTATAAAACATCCATCGAAGTAAGATATGACACTGTATTGATCAACTAAAAATACTAAGAATAATAAGAGTGAATTAGTACTGACCTGGTGGCTATCTACTTTAATGGTGACATATTTGAGGTGCTTGGCATACTGTTGAATGACCTGCTTCACAAGTCTGGGTGGAGTAGACTTGATGTAAGACGTCGACTCTTGAGTAAATTCAAACTCAAATTTGTGCCAGAGTTCAGGCAGCTTGTAGATGTAATGCCAGTGTTTGCAGACGCTCGATGCCCTTGCTCTGTCTAAGAATGACAGGTTCTTGTAGATCTTGATCAGCGCCACGTCTGGGATGTTACTCCAGCTTAATTGATCTGCAACTAGAGTTCAATTGAAACTAGCATTAGCAGCAGTTATGGTACATTTCTGTGAGCAAACAACTACTTTTGTGTGCAAAAAATGGCATCAAGGGCAAGGCGACATAATTTTTATAATTAAATAAAAATCTTTTCTGGTACTCAAAATTCCAAAGATCTCAACATAAAACGTACATACAGATTTACATGAGATTTTTCTCTTTTTTTGTTTTAATTATTTAATGAAAAAAATACAATCTTTTTTGTTACATGTATCTATTTCTTTCATTCAGACTCTCACTGATCCATTTTCCTTACATGTACTTGTGCCTAGACTGTTAAACAGTATTTTGTCATGATTTGTATCCCGTAACTTCTTGCAAATTTCCAATATCTTCTTTTTTCTTCTCACCTGCTATAATTGATTGGTAAAGTAAAAAGATAGTTCTCTGATTCTGTCTCAACTCTCAACTTATGACGGTATTTCAATGAAGATGATACCCACAATGTACTGGTAAACACCATCTTACAAAGAAGAATATCAGTAGGAAGTATGATATAAGAACAAAGGGCAAACCAACCAAGACATGGATTGATAGCATCAAGCAGGAAGCAGAAATGTCTTTTGAGCAGCTAATTAGAACAGCTGAAGACAATATGTAATGTAATAGTAATACACTTTACGCTTTCTATAGCAGTGTTCACACGATGGCAATTTTGGTCGGCGTAAAGGTCGTGTTTAGAGCTAGTTGGCGTACATGTAAGTATGGTAAGGTCGGCGTAGTGACCGTCTGAATGATAGTTGTGTTGGATATGCTGACCTTTATGCCGACTGATTTACTCCTGGATTTTTCCAGGAGTAACGCGCTAACAGGACTAGAGGGTAGCGTAAGATGACAGGGTGAATGCTCGCATTTGACACTCAGAGCATCGTTGTATTACCTAACATTCAAAACTTCCCGGGTGAAACCTACAGGCCCGAATTCACAAAGAAGGTTTGTAGACAAACCTAGGTTTATGTGTGTCATATGACGCACAAAGACTTCCATTGTGAATTTGGGCCACAGTGTTTACGACATGCAAGTTTTTTATGCCTTTAAAGTGATTTTCATGGTTTAGGAATACATTTTTTTAGTTTACAATCAAAAATGAAAATTAGATTTTGCACGGTTTAGATGCGGAAACTGGGTAGAGGTCGACTAGGGAGGGCGCCACCACTTCCTGAACTTACGCTGAGTAAGACTGGGTCGGTGGAAGGTCATGTTAAGAGCGAATGGACAACTAATGGTGTAAGTCAAATATTGATTGGATATTTATTGCTGCACGGAAAAAATTCCCCCGACTAGAAAGCCACGTCTGAACATGGCTTATACATGTATCTTAGTGAATATGTGTAGGACCTTTGTGGCACACAGTTGCAATTCATTTACATGTTTTAAAAAAAAGACACTGTGGTTTAACTCTTCATATCTGAACAAGCCTTTAATGTGCAATGTAATAGCTGATCTGTGTGTTCTTTCCAGGAAATGTGTACCATGTTCATGTCCTTCTGTTTTAATTTTAGGGAGTTAACTCTGAACAAGGCTTAAAGGTATAGACCAGTTCTGGTCATGAGATTGCATTGTGAAAGAAACGTTGTGGAATCGATCAGAAAAGGTTGATCATCTAGCATATAAGTATTGGTGTGTACCGCAAGGTTCGGGAATCATCTAAATGATAAGAAATTTGGCCCAGTCTTTGTAAAGTTACAAGCACTGTACACAGAATGGAACTACGCGATATCTATCCAGTCCGGATACTGGAAGATATAATAATTTACCAATATATCAATTAGTAGGCGGTTTCCCGGCAAAATTTGTATCATCACGTATTAGTCAAAACATATTCTTTCACATAATTGGTAATAAGAGCTTCCATTTCATTTTTTGAGAGAAGGACATTTCCAAAACTGGTCTATACCTTTAATGTAGATTTGTAAGTTACATGCTATATCTTACAATAGTTTGCTGAAGTTGAACCAAGGTTCTTGTAGAGGATATCTCTGATACACGGCTTCTTATCAGTGGTAGTCACCCTGGAGAATGGTGTAAAGATGGCCTTCTTACTGCTGAGAGGCAAGGCACTAACGATGCAGCTCATCGGGTCCTTAGCAGTAGTTACAGCTTTAATTAAATGGCTGCTGTAAGCCATGCCTGTATCTCGGAAATCAACACACTCCTATCAACTCCTAAAATATAATGGGAAGAGACAAAGAGAAATGGTAATGATATATCAGTTGAATAGGCCATTTTCGTAATGTAACCAAATTTAATGCATAAGTGTTTGTGAAGTGCCTCGATACAAATTATTTCATTCACCTGTTAGGAATAATAGTATTTCAATAGTCAGAATGCAACTGCATATATTAAGTGTTGCTAGGTAGGCCAAGCCATCATGTTTGTCCAACCTGGCAACAACTTATGTATGCAGTTCGGATTCTATCTATTGAAATACTATTATTCTTATCAGGTGAATGAAATAATTTGTATTGAGGCACTACACAAAGACTTATGCATTAAATTTGGTTACATTGCGAAAATGGCCTATTCCATGTATTTTTATGTCACATAATAATAATAAACTGTATGCAATACCAGGTGTAGAAAACTCAAAACTGTAGATTTATTGACGATTCCTTTACAGCAAAAGAGAATGTGGAAGCTTGGGAGAAAAGAGATTTGAGAAAGATCAACATTCCGAGGGAAGAAGAAATATGAGAGACTGAGAGAGAGAGAGAGAGAGAGAGAGAGAGAAAGAGAGAGAGAAAGAGAAAGAGAGAGAGAGAGAGAGAGAGAGAGAGAGAGAGAGGGTGACAGAGAAAGAGAGGAAAGATGGACAGTAAACTGATAATTAAGATGGGATATCCGTCTATTCCATTAAAATCCTCTCTGCTACATGTATGTATTTCTGTCATGTGACTGGTAAACATCAACTGTCACATGACCATCAACTATCACATGACCATAGACTGGTCTCGGATAGCTGCAGTCTGCCTGGTGATTAAGGCTTGTTCAATACAAATATATGGGCTGGGACAGAGTACAATGTACATGTACATGTGTATAAAATGTATGCAGATTATGATTTTAAAGATTATGCCTACAATCCCTACATGTACATGTACAATAGCGAATGGCACTAACAAACAAGCATTTACTAACATATTCAAATTTATGGATGTTTTCTTCCAGGGGAACTACTGACGAGTTATTCCATTAACCTGTTAGTAATGATGAACTACAATACTTGGAATCCGTTCTGCATACATTACTTACGTTGCTATGTCGGGCAAGCCTTGGGCAAGCTTTCAGGTTGTCAAGAACAACCTCTATTTAACAAGTGTATGCATAAAATTTGAATATAGAAATTAGCAAACAGGTCTATTGAAGCAAAGCACAAAACAAACATCAGGAAATAGTGTTATTGAATTAGCATCAAGTAAATGTACATATATGTAGAAAAGAATACTGTTTCAATAATAGATCATCAAGATTTAATCAGTGCACCTTCCACAACGCCTACGGATAATCGGATATCCCTCAATCATATACTCTAAAGAGATTGGTTTCTACTGATTCTCCATCAGGTATATTACATATGAACATGTACATTACAGGTTTGTTGGAGCTGAACTATAATTACCATAATATCAGGGCCAGTGGCATCTACATTGTACAATCCCGAAAAAAGATTACAAAATGAGATTAATAGAAGCTTCTTGTGCATGCATGTTACCTTGTGAACAAGTCGAATTCCCCTTTTTTCGGTATAATCTAAGCTTTTCCTGGCTACAATACCACCACCAGTACACATCTTTAAACAAGCACACAGAATAATGTTTTGAAGTACATGTACACATACGTATATAGTGTATATCAACATGTCCATTCAAGTGACATACCGGTACATACATGTAACTGACCATGGTCAGACCGAGGATCTCCTTGGTCAGACAAGGGAACAGTGCTTTCTTAGGTCAGACTTGATTTGACTTCCCGGCTCAAGAAGAAATGATTGAAACTGAAGGACAGTCTGCTTTACTTCAAGAGATATACAGTACATGTATAACAGCATGCATCGTTTGCTCTTTGAGGAATTGGGATGCAAAGATAGCATCAAGTGGGACTTGCAGAAAATGTGTTTCATGCACATGTACATGTACACTGTATGTGTCCTAATCTATATCTACAAATTGACTTTACATGTACAGTATATCACAGGGAACATCAATTCTATTTAAAGTTAAACACCTTCTTCATGCGATCAAATGACCTAGGCTTGGCGTTAGCTTTTCACCATTTTCACCATCTTCTTAATCATCATCACCACCATAACACTAATAAAGATGATGAAGATGAAGATGAAGATGAAGGTAGATGATGGCAAATTGACAACCAGGACCAACAACAACATACATTCTAATGGTAATGATAATAATGATATTAATAATGATAATAATAAAAATAATACTAGCAATGATAATAATAATTAAAGTAAATATCAATATCCTAATTATATACATTGATGCTCAAATTTGGTTTGAGAATTTATCTGTCCTCCAGCCTAGATTTAAATTTGATGTGCCAAATCTTACATTTATCACAATAATAAAGGAATAACACAAACTGGCAGACAACATGCCCTTCAGCACTACTTGTCATTTACAATGGAAGAATATGGCCTACCTGTTTCCTGTTGTGCAGCACTCAGTTGTAAATCTTTGTTGTAAATCCCTCTTTAACTTCTACTCAATCTTGAGATGACAATCAGAGTAAGATGCAGCTAATCTACCGATGAAGTTGTGATACTGATAGACTTTACCAGAAGAGTCTTTTGATACATGTACATCAGCCCATGGTGTTCAGAAAACAAGATACATGTAGGAGCCAAATACATGTAGGCTGAAAGAAGGAAACAAATGATACAAGGCTTTAATAGATAAATGCAATTGTCCAAACATGCTGTTGCTGTGCAGTAGTTGTTCAAATCACACAGCACAAGTTAACTCAATCAAGTTGAAATGACACTGAAGTTTACTTGACTTAAAATTATAACAATCCAAAAAGATTAATAGAAATCCAGCTCTACAATAAGCTGAATTTGTTCTTGAAAGTGTCAGAAAAAGACAGTTTGGTGAAAGTTTGAACAGAATTTGACAAATGAAAAGGATACAATCTTTTTTTGTTACATGTATCCATTTTTTTCATTCAAACTCTCACTGATCCATTTTCCTTACATACGGTATATTTGTGCCTAGACTGTTAAAAAGTATTTTGTTATGATTTGTATTCCATAAATTTTTGTAAATTTTCAATATCTTCTTTTTTCTTCTAACCTGCTACAAGTAAAACTGATTGGTAAAGAAAAAAGATATTTCTTTGATTCTGTCTCAACCCTCAACTTATGACCGTATTTCAATGAATACATACAATACAGTACATGTAATAAATGCATCATCAACAATTGGATGAAGAAAAAGTTTTATAAAATGGCTCTAGTATTTTAAGCATCGTGATTGGTCAATACGCGTCACATGACATGTACAAATTTTTGATGCAAGCACGATTTTGCAGAAAAAGCGCAAAAAAAGTTATAATACACGTGACCATGGAGATCCAGTGCGCGCGCGTACATGTAGTACGCGCTCCCTCGAGTGCATTGCAATTATTGTAGGCTACGCGTAGCTAATATTGTACGCTCCACCATGATCCCCAGCGCAACGTACGCGTAGCTTAGCTCTTGCTAGCTAGCTAGAGCGGGGTATTATTAAAAAGCAAATTTTTATTTTACTTTTGCCTTGGATTTAGGCCTGTTTTGACTTTTGGATTTTATAATGAAGCCAGGAATTTCAGCTGTCTGATGTAGACTCGTCTCTAGACCCACTGTATGGATTTTATTTTTAATCAAGACAATGAATCCCATTGACTTTTTGGTAAGCCTGCAAGGTCTTAGTCTAGAACCAACATAACTCTAGATCTAGATCGAACTCTCGTAGACTCTAACTTAAGATCTAAAGTTTCGTTTGTTGCTATTTGTGTAGCTATTTTATAAAACAAATAACGCACTTGACCCTGTTGTGCGAAACGTAAATGCAGTGTACGCTCGGTTTCTTCAGATGGTGGGCACTGTAAACTCGCCGCAAGCGGCTCGTTCACAGAGCGGCACCAATCTAAAGAAACCTCGCGTGTACTGCATTCACTGCTATTGCAATTAGTAACTTCCCGGATATCTCCAATTTTGTTTAACCGCCAGTCAAAACCGGACGGTTAATTTATTTATTTATTTTTTTTAAAATTTTTTTTATTTGTATTTTAGTTGGAAAATCAAAAGAAATCACATTAATAACAAATAATGCAGGACTGACATACATGTATGATGACTATAATGTCGCCAAAACTATGTTAAGATTATGCTCATTTTGATCATCATTTTTTATCCTCATTTTAGCTCCCACTTCCTTTTCAACCCTCGACTAAAATTATAAACTTAAAAAGATTAACTAACTACCGGTAGGTGTTTTGGAAAAGAGAATTAGTCAAATTAGTTTGGACTGTTTAGCTTTAGGAGTGAAAAGACAAAAGGAAAACATGTCCTCTAAAATTATGACAACTCACAAAAAGAAAATCTGATTTATTGGAAAAATTAGGAACCTCTCATATCCAAAGCGACATTTCTGCACAATAAAAAAGAGTGTCTATTAAAATAGAAAGGGAAATGATGTATGGGCAAATTCCTTATTGAACAAATTTATCAGTTTTAAGTCTGGTAGTAATGTGGATATACTAATTGACAGAATTTTAATCTTGGGGGGGGGGGGGGGGGGCTAAGTTACTTTAAGTTGCATCGGATATGAATCTGTTAAAGTGATATTTTAGTCCAAAAGTTTGGCCGGAATATGATGACTGTGATCCGTGTTTATTTACCAATGCTACTCTTCTCCCACTTGATCCTGTCCTGCCACTTACTACATATAGAAGTCTGTTGGCTATTGATTACTTTACTCTTTGTTCATAAAATGCACCTATTGCGATCGACTGCTATCAGTTCATTGCCTTGATGTTTCCTCTGTGCTCCCATGGGATCGCTGATCTCCGAAATAGCGGAGGAAGAACAAGAAGAAGTTGTTGTTGTTGTTTTTTGTTGTAATGGCAATCAGTGGCTGGTGGCTGGATCCAGCAATAAAGAGAGGAGTTCACCCTATGTATGGTGGTGTGACCAAAGTTCGCGAGTGACCTAAGTTCGCTATCTCAAAAAATAAGTAAGATTACGAAAATCTGATATCACCAATGGAAAGAGGAACATAAAATTACCCAGAAGTGTAATTTTCTTTAGAATTGGGTACGAAATTGTGAAAATATTGACAAAAGATCAGCAAATTGTGCAATATTTTGCGTCCGTTCCGAAAAATGATCAACTTGCCGATAAGGGTCTGAAAATCTTCAATTTGAGAGCAGATTTCCTCAAAAATGTAAGTAAACAGTGGTACTAACTGATTGTATGATATCTTGCCTTGCAAATTATGATATTACCTTATTTTTGATGATCACACTTTTTGATAAATCAACTGTAAACCCTCGTGCGTGAAGTTAGGTCTCGTTGTTTTTATGACTTTTTTAGATGTAGCGCGCACGAACGATCAGACATCGAATTTTTAGATCGCGATATCTCCGAAATCCTTCGACGATAAAATTTTCTAGTTGAACTAATCTGTAATTAAAAAACTTCGCCGTCCCTTTGGTTATAATTGAAATCAATAAATTTGTGTAGAATATGAGAAATCGTAGTTCGAATATCACATTTTGTAATATGTTCTAAAATGTCCGCGAACTTTGGTCACCCCTTCATACCTAAATAAGAGGCTAACGAACGAAAGAGACAGAAGTTTTCGGTCTAGGTAAATATGTATTAATAAATAAAGGCTTAATTAAATGCTCAAATTACCAATCACAAAGACAAAAGAAAATAAAATCTCCTCATTTCATTAGATCATCAGGGAGACTGACGTTGTGTATGCCGGCTGTCAACCCTCCCACATTTGGAGGGAGTCTCACGCCACCATGCTCATGCTCCCATGTACAGCCCAAAAAGCTCGTAGCGGATCGAGTCTCCCGCCACCACGCCGTCCTCCCGCCAACGATGTAGAATCTCCCGGTTTATGAAAAAAAAAACCCTGCCCCCCCCCCCCCCCTGCTTGTTCGCTGGCTGATTCGGCACAAAATATCTCACGAATTGGGGAGAAACCCCCCCCCCCCCCCCCCCCGGCTTATTTGCTGGCTGGCTGAGAGTCTATTACTCTTTCTCCCTACCTCCAAGCAGTTAGTAATAACTTTTAGTCTTTGTTCATAAAATGCACCTATCGCTATCGACTGCTATCAGTCCATTGCCTTGATGTTTACTTTTGTGCTCCTGTATAGTCTTTGTCTTGCGGCCCATGGGATCGCTGATCTCCGAAATAGCGGAGGAAGAACAACAAGAAGAAGGTACTAACCTCGTCACATACGCTGCACTTCTCCGGCTATCTTCGTGTGAGCCGCTGCAGTAGTATCTCGGCAGCTGCTCGATGCTCGATGCCGATGGACTAACTAACCCAACGATTTTTGCTCCAACTGTCCAAGGTGCAATTGTGCCTTTGTGGTTGTGTTTCCTATAATTTCTCCGCCATTTCTCCTACACTTTGAACTGTTTCCTCATACTCATAGTAGCCAATTAGTCACTTCATTCGAAGAAGAGACGTTTACACTGCTCAGTTCTTATCTTGCAGTCTCTCTCGAACTCGGCCGAACAAACCGACATTAGGCATTAAACCGATGACCTTGTGTTGTGTATACCGGCCCGCGCGTTTCCGTTTTACACCCTGCCCTAGGCTTTTCTCCAATAAAATTTTACAAACCGACTGGTATTCGGAGTCTAGTCGTCCACATCTTGCCTCGGCGCTCTGCACACCACCAGAACTCTGAAAACGTCACGTAGCGCTAGCTAACTCTCTATACTAGTTGATCTTCCTAGTCGTATCATTTATTTTTATCCATTAATACGCAATACTCTAAGAGCGTGAGGATGCGTGATCAGCTCGCAAAATTTAGCCCAGCGATAACAAAACAATAATATATCGGGAAAACCGTCTTGAACAAGAAGACCCTCGCATCCCCAATTGAAATTGTACATAAGCTTTGGCTTCGCTATTCTTGACGTCGATATAAACAAACTTAGACTTCGGATACAGCATGTTTCGTGTAATTTCTTGCCGAAAAGCCTAGGGCAGGGTGTAAAACGGAAACGCGCTACCGGCCCATAAATAGCCCATGTTCCATGATCTAGCCAAACCTCCGCAAGTTTTTACAGATGATCACTCTAGTCTATATGAAAAATAATTTACATCAGTTAGATTTAAACTGTCTTTTTAAAGTATATCTCTAAAATTGGAGCCTAAAATGTCTAAGTCCATACCTAGAACCAAGTTGAAAGATTTTTTTAATAATGAGGGTAAACTAGTTTTGCCTGAAAATCAGACTTTGAATTGGGAGCTAAACATGTAACAACAAACAAACTGTAGTAGAGCACTCGTGCGCGTGCGTGCACGAACATCTCGTGAACGGCGACGTAATTTGTACCCAAAACAAATGCACGACGCGCGTGACTGCTTTCATTTTTGTCGAGGGCGTCCTCGCTGTGAAGGTGTTGGCAGATGTGATTACTTTAGAGCTGGAGTGACATATATGTCACATATGGCTATCATAGTGCCATGAATCAGAGCAGTTCATGCTTCTTTTTGCCTGGAGAGCATCAAATGTCATGGGCAAACAAAACTATAGTAACGCCATTTGAAGCCACTGGGCATTTGATTATGATTTGATTTGTTTATTTCTGCCGATTCTTCCAATAACTGAAAGGGCCTGTACGAAGAACATTTTTTTTTCCTTTCTATTCCATCATTTAATTGAATAATATATAGATCAAAATACATAATTATATTGATTTTAAAGAAAAACACATGAATTACTAGTATATTTGTATCACAAACTTATACTTAAAAAAAACACCATCAAATTTTTTTCCAGAGTGATATACTTTTCAACATTTGCCCTCCACAATCATGATTTCCTTTAAATAAATGTCGAATAGGCCTATGTTTGTAAAATTATATTTTCTCTTTTGCGTATATAAAACAAAGAAGCTAACTTAATAAATAGATTTTTGAAAACTAGCTACATATGGGCTATTTTGAATATATATAAAATCACATTGCTTGCTTACAATTATATCACTGTAATCAATTTTTTTTTCATTATCAAACAATACTTCTGTTTTGCTGAAAAATATTAAGATTTTGTCCCATAATATTTTTGAGTAATCACAATCATAAAATAAATGATAATAATTTTCTGTGCATTTGCACTTCAAACAATTTTTTGATACGATATAGATATTCTTCACATGCTAATAACTTATAGAGTACTTTGAAATTAAATTGTTTTAATCGTAAAATGCATATCTTAAAGGACGTTTTTTATTGGGAACAATATTCGTCTGATCGCTGTTGTCATATGTTATTCTGAATTCCGGAGCTGTTATCTTATTGGATCATCCTAGAAAAGTTGGGGAAATTGGGGAAAGAAAGGAAAGAGAAAAGAATAAAGAAGGAGAAAAAAGAAAAAGAGGGAGGAAAGTAAAGAGAGGGAACTGAGAAAGAAAAGAAAGAAAAGGAGAAAAGGAAAAAAGAAGAAGAAAAAAAGAAGAAGAAAAAAAGAGAAAAAGGAAACAAAAGAAACGGGGGATGAAAGAGAGGAGAGGGGGAGGTAAGAGCCTGAGAGAGGAGGGGTGGGAGTAAAATAGAGAGGGGGTTGTTGGGTGGAGTCGTCTCGTCGAGGGAGGAAGAAAGATACGCATAATGTTGATGTGTCGGTTTCCTTGCTCACTCCTCGTGTACAATGCAGAAGTTTGAAGTCGGTGAGATGTATAATGTCGGTGACTTTTGCGCGCTAGCTATGACGACTTCGAGAGACACAACTCTTGTATCTTTTCTTAGTTTCACCTTCCTATAATTATAATATCAGCAAAAGAAATCAGAGGTGGGTAGTGAGCACTAATTTATTTTGCTCAATGGCATGGGGGTGGGGGTTTGGAGCACCTTTTTTTTAAGGATTCAACACCCCCCCCCCCCCCCCCGAACCGAGTTTGTACGGGGGTGTAGGTACGATGCCGACTAAGTTGACGAAATAAATCGTATATTTATGACACGAAACTTTTTAACTCCCAAAAGGGTGTCGTGACTAACAAAACAAAACAAATGGTTTGAAAAACATTAACTACTCGTGCCCCCCCCCCCCCCCCCCCCCCCCCCCCCCCCCCCAGCACTCCGCTGACAGAGACCGCTCTCGCTATACTGAGCTAGCTAGCTAGGTTAACGCACACATTTCTGCATTACTATCCTGGCCGGCTGTGTATTAAAAGCTGTGCTTTTGATTTTCAACATTTCAAACACCACTGTTACAAACACAACTAATTTCACTAAAAATTGGTACTTTATTGACAATGGATGACACCTAAATAGCAATAAAATAAATGTTTTCAACTTACTGATGTTAAAAAGAATAATTTAAAAATTCAAATTGTAAGTCTAGTGTCAAATTTGCCGATCAATCCAATCGTTTTTAGTGTGTGCCCGTTTATGCAATATTGTGTGGTGTGTATGTTTGTGTATAATGGGGGTGTTTCACAAAGATCCTAAGTTGAACTTATCTCTAAGTTGGACTTAAAATTTATGGGAAGCCATTAGCATCCTTGAAAATATTTTGTAATTTTTTTTTAGAAGGCATAAAATGTTGATTTAAATCGTTCATATTTTCTATTATCATGGGAGATTTCATGTTCTTGATGTGGAATTGATGAAAAGTCTAAAATACTCCAATTTTTGCTTTTGAATATATTTCATTTTAAGGCTCCAATGGCTGTCCATACTTTTTAAGTCCAACTTAGTGTTAAGTTCTACTTAGGATCTTTGTGAAACACTCCCCTGCTCACAGCAAGTATGCAGTGCTAGTGCTAAAAGTCAATAATACGCATATTTAGTATTGACTCTCTATGCTTTGCTGGATTGGGTTAACGTGAGTATAAAGTGTTAATTCGTAAAAAGATGGCTACCGTGTTCTAGCTTTTAATCAGAGAGATAAAAGTATGCAATTAAGCCCCGTAAGGCATTGGTCTAGACTACATAGCTGATCTCTTATTAAATGATTCCATTTGCTGTTTGGCACATAGACTCTACCGTCCACAAAATTCGAATGACCCACATGCTCATTTCTGTGTTTGTTGTGCATTACTAATATTAGAGGATAAAATTACCGACTAGCAAGCCGTTAAGTCCGCCCACGCCCGGGCCGCGTCTTTTCCCCCCGTAATATTAATATTAATATTTAATTTTGATCTCAACCACACCATACCAACGCAAATATTCATAGACTGTATTCATATATTCATATATTCATATAGAGTAAAGCCAAAGGAGCCGGTAATCGGCCAGCTCCAGTTTTCGGCCGATTGGTTGGATGCAAGGTAAAATCACTCTAAAATACATCGCATAATAGCATAACACATATCCCACACATACCATACCATGCCAGTATCACTGAAGAACCACATTTGCAATGGAAAATATATCCTAAAATATCACATTTTAGCGATGTAATCGCCGGTCCCGCTACCCAAATCTGAAAAATCGAGTATCTTACACGTGTCTGTAAGAAATATGGGTACCATAAAATGAGCTTTATTTCAAGTAATTTTCAGATTTAGAGCCCGATTTTGTGCTAGTCGCAAGCTCAAAAGTATCTCATCGCATGTATTAAATCAATGCAGCCGCACACCGCGACGCACACACGATATCTCTGTCTAATTCAGATTCCAACTTCCGATCACCGCTGTGCCTGTCTTCGGCCAAGCGAGCACCAGGGAGCTCCGGCGTGGCATACCTGCTCCGCCCGCTTGTGCTGTACATCAGCGCGGAAACGCACGGCGCGCACGAGCGCTTCCTATTGACTTTGTACATGCGGCCGTAAACTGAAACGCTCGGCCGATAACTGGCTCCAAAACAGTGAAAATTGAAATGAATATTGTCATGGCAATTCGTGATTTTTTTCTGGGATTCTTTTTTTGTTTAAATAATAATAATATTTGCTTCATGATTTGAGCAAGAAATGATAATAAATAGGAAGTAAAGAGTCCTAAAAATAGGATTTTGTCTTAAGTGGCCGAAAACGGGCTCCTTTACTCTATTCAAATAATAATATGCAACGCAGGATGGCAAGGTTAGGTTTTAAAATGTAGCGCTCGGGCTGTTCGTTAACTTAAAGTTAAATTTGTAATAATGGCGACGGTCTCTTCAAATTAGTTGAATGGGTAATGACCAGTAATGTCTCTGTGGTGTTGTGCCAGAAAACGTTCCTATTTGTTCCAATATACCAAATGACTAAAATGTCTTTTTTATTTAGAGGACCTAGATCTATATCTAGACTAGATCTATATAATATATATTGAGCAGCCACTAAACAGAAAAACATATAATAAATAAATGATATTTTTGTACAAAACCAATTGGAAAGTTGTCTGTGACTTAATCACATTGAGATTCACAAAGATTTATTGATATCACATGATTCATAACTCTTATTATTGGTCTGATTTATTTGAAACTTTTTCCAATCTGTTTCTCTTTTTCTTTTTTCATACAAATAAACTTATAACAAAGGTTGGATTGCCCTCTAATTAGGGTGCCAAGTTGTAGTTCATAGCCTTATTTTGCCACCTTGCGCAATAAATTTAGAGTTAGAGTGCTTTAATACACTACAGACTTCAAACTGTTTGAAGTAACATTCTTTAAGAATGAACATTCATACCTTTTTTCTTCTTCAATAGATTGTTTTTATAGTGTGATGGCTAACTTTGATGAGAAGAGTGGTGTGGTACCATGTTTAACTGCCTGGGGTTGTTGGTATCAGACCATGGATGAGGTCATGATTGAGATCAATGTACCGCAGGGAACTACATCCAAGGCAGTCAAGGCTAACTTTGGAGTCAATACTATAACCTGTTCAGTCCCAGGATTTGAAATCAAGGTGAGTGCTACCAGGGGCAGATCCAGCCAGCGACAAGATGAGGGGCCCAAATCTTGAGAAAAAAATTAGCGCTGACTCAGCCGGCCGGTGAATAAGAGGAAGGGGGGGGGGGGGGGGTCCATTTTTTGAGAAACAATTTTGCGGCGATTCATCCAACCAGTGAATATGCGGGGGGGGGGGGGGGGGGGGGTGATGGAGAGGAGAACCACTAATTTTTTTAGGTGTGGCCGAAAATATTATTATTTTCTCATTTTATTTTTTGGGTCGGGGGAGGGGACTGCTTTTGTTTTTTGTTTTTAAAAAAGCTTAAATTTTAGGACCGTTAGACAGACAGAATGATGTAGTGCATATTGTATAATACAGTAACTGAAATTGCTAGCTATGTATATGATTTGTATAATTTTTTTGTCATTTCCAGGGAGAATTGTATAGCAGAGTAGTAGCTGATGAATGCCTGTGGAGTCTAGGTAAGCTGTCACTTTAGAATCTATTCTTGCTCACATGATAAGAATGATATTAAGGTTGAATTCTTATGAGAGAGTGGGTAGGAGGATGGTAGAATGAGAGAGAAAGAGGAGGGGGGGGGGGCTCGGCCTCCCTCTGTATTATTTAGGGTATGCGTATGCATGTTCCCTCCTTTTGAAAACACCCCCCTAAGTCTGGTGTGTAAAGTCAATACGGGCCGATTTTTTATGTATTACGAGCCAGACTTTGTTGCGTGAATAGTACCCCTTTATCAGAGATTTTGGGAAAATGAATGCAGTTTGTCTGTCCCTGAGTGGGGGCGCTGGGGGGGGGGGGGGGGGGGGGGGTGTTGGAGGAAAAGAGATCTCCATCTGTTTCTCTCTCTCTCTCTTTCTCTCTCTGTCGTTCTCTCTGTCTCTCTCACTGTCCCCCTCTCTCTTGTTTCATGGTTGCATTATTGATGCATGTTTGTAGTTCTCTACTACATTGACACAAATTCAGATGGGTAATTAGATGACATAACATACTCTCAAAGTTTTATTTTTCAATATTATTTCTTGCTTTACCAGAGGACAGAAAGCTAGTGAGAATGGTTCTGACCAAGTCCAATCGTCAAGCAGACAACTGTTGGAAGTCACTTCTCAAAGGTCAATACGAAGCTGACCCTGTCACATTTGATAAGATGGAAAAGAAGCTCACGTTACAGAGGTTTCAATATGAGGTAAATAATCATTGCTAATCTCTCTTATCTTTACCTCTCTGAAGATATTTTATTTCAGAGAGTGGGATAGAATGACTTTTAGTTTTGAAATTCAAATCATTGACCCCACTGAACTCTAGTTTGGTTGCAAGTAAAATGATAATCATTGGGCAGGATGAAACAAGGTAAAATATTTTGTATGCATGTCTGTAAAGTCTGTAAAACTGAAGATCTTGTAAATTGTAATTCATATACTAGCTGCACCATTTCTGCCCTTTAAGAGAAATTGCTCTGCACTTATTACTATTACCAAGTTGTATAGATATATTGACTGCGATGAGAGGCCTGGCTGTTTTTATAGGCTCAAGGGGACTTTGCATCCTGCCATGACCCGAGGCGCGCCTGGGTTTGCAACGTCCCCGAGAGCCAGTATAGAAACAACAAGGCCTTGAATATTAAAGCAGTCGATATGTATTTTATATACTGAATTGACACTAAAATCTACCAAGAATTCTTACCTTATCCTTTTTCTTCAGTTAAGATTGGTTAAAACATCACAGAAAATCAGAGACACAGTCTGTTAATCTTTGCTGGAAAGATGACTGAATGTTACAATCATTTGGGAAACGCAGACAAAAAGCACTGTATGGTATCTGCACTCGCACTAAGAAAATTTCAACACGTAAACCAATGGGGATCTCATCAAAATTTTACTATTTTTCTGGTACCCGGAATCTTTAGGGAATCTCACTCATGAACTATTAACCATTACTGGCATTGTTCGTTTCTTTGTGGGAATGGCTAAAATCACGACTCCAATTTCGACCGATCAGATAGCTAGATTTCTAAATAGAGGTATATAATAATAATAAATATATACCAGATGGGGAGAAATTACTTGGATACTTATTACATGCTTTCTCTTGGCAGCTTAGCTAAGTCTGGGATTATCATAAGAATTAACATTTTGTATTGATTAACATCATCAATACTTTTTTTCTAAAACATCCAATCAGTAACAAAAAAAGTTATGATATTTTGGTTTGCCCCACCTTACAGCACCCAGGGTTTGATTTCAGCAATGCAGACATATCAGGCAATTATACAGGAGGGGGGCCCCAGCTACCTGGGGACTAGGAGGGGGGCTCCAGCTACCCGGGGACTAGACCAAACAGAGAATAAATAGCTTCGGTGAGAGTCAGGTTAGAGTCTTTATGAATGGTCCACCGTAACCCTCTCATTTCATGCATGAATATAAAGTACATGTGGACCAGATTAATTGGGTGTTTGGGTTTAATACATCCCAGTTTCCTTTGTACTTTGAGAGTTGAGCAAATCGGTGCAACACAATGTACAGACAAGTGTGTTCTTATGATATTCAAATGCATATTAGCATTTTTTTTTACAAGTGGTGGGTCAGTATGTAAGATTATTGTATTTTATGTATCATCTTCACAAATTGGGGGGGGGGGGGGGTTGGCATTTAGGCCTACATTCAGGTTCTCATCAAAGTTTGTTACGTGTTTCATGCATGGTAAATGTTTAAAGATTGAAAATGTTACCATTGCATACATGCCAACTGTTCAGATTAAAGAGGAACATTCCTCTTTTTGGGAGAAGATAATTATCATTTTAATGCAGGTGTTCCTCTTCCTGTACAAATTTGTCTGTAGTATTGAATAGGAGAGTTAGGATTGTTCCTCTTTTTTTTTGAAAATAGCATAATTTGTACAGATTTCTGATTTTCAAATGTTGGCATGTATGCCATTGTTTATTATTTGGGGATGAAATTATACAGAGTGGAAAGAAATGATCTATTTATGCATAGGGAATTCTAATCTAAAAGACTTGAGTCAAGGGGCCAATAAATGATACTCCTGGTTTTTGCTTAGCATTGCATTAGAAGCATAAACAACGTTTCCTTATGGCGTGCAAATTGAGCTGGCTGTCTGCTGCTGTGTACAATGTATTTTACTCATCATCTCTTTGTAAATATTTTGATTATTCTCACATTGATAATATGATGATTTTTCTTTTTTGTTCTTTTTGTACTGCAGTATGTGGATCAGTTTCCTTGAGACAGTGACATCTGAAGAATAACATCACATAGATATGTGTGAATCACTCTCCATGATCTCTAATTTCTTGATGAACTTTTAACTGATGTTCTAAGAGCTCAGTTAAGTCACACCACATCAAAGGCTGACTGACTATCTTTGCTTTGTGAATCTAGCAACTAATGGATTTCTTTCAAAGACACAAGATAAGTGGATATGTGAAAGACACAAATTTTACAACAAAGGAAAGAATTTATTTATTTGATTGAAGATCAACACACAAATACTTCAAAATAATTGTCACAGGAGACCTAGTCAAATTAGAGTCTCATTTATGACGAAGAACAGTGAATTCTCCCGTGATTATGATGATGCTGATTAAGAATGAGGCCATTGTTCTTCAATATTGTAAACTTTGGGCTTTCATGATGCCCTTCTTACAGTGAATGTCCCATGATCACAGTGACATTGCAATACACCCTCACAGCTGTAATTATATGTGTCTTACAACAGTCATTCCGTCATCTGATGATAGAATTATGGACTGTAGATGGCGGCAAATAACAAATAAGAGAGATGCACAAAATCCAACATGCAAAAGAAATTGTCACGATAGTGTTTTCATCAAGGCCTTGGCTCGTTTGGTATCTGATGAATCCTTGGCTATAACTGCATTATCATACGCCTGTTTGTTTGTTTGTTTTTCCGGGGGTGGGGGAGGGTTCATGTTTACTACTTTAGTTGAACCTTATTCTATATGTTATCTCCACACTATTCTATTTACTGATGGCATCAAAATCAGTTGGTCTTATTACTGACAAGAAGGCTTAGAATGCCCTGTAATATCATTTTTAATTGTCTTAGGGGAATGTACCGCATATTTTGTAACAGATTCTCCCTTATACAGTAGGCTTGCGGGTGCACCATGTGAGAGAGAGAGAAAGAGGGTTGAGGAGTCCTGAAAAGGACTCTGACTCGGTAATCTTTCTTGGGGGTGTGTAGTCCTGAAAAGGACTGTTTCTCCCTTGTTAATTCTATGAAATGGAAGTGTCGTAGTTGAGTGGTTTAAGCACTTGGCTTGAAATTCAAAGGTTGTGGTTCGATCCCCGATATGGCACTAATGTCCTTTGGCAAGGCATTAATCTTCATTTGCCACACTCAACCCAGGTGAGGTAAATGGGTAACTTCCAGGAATTAATTCCTTGAAATGCTAGAGCGCTGTAATGGCAGCTAGGCTAAAGACGGGGTAATAAGAAATGCGCCTCGGAATAGAATATCTAGATAGATGGCGCTATGGAAATGCCTATTATTATTATTACTATTAAACAGGATATTCTAAGAATAAGATTCATTGGGTTCCTTTTTTGCCTGGAATGTTCAGAAAAATAGGGTGTTTGAACTTTGAACCAAGTAATAAAAGGGTTTGTTTTGGGGTCCCATTTGTCTTGTTTACAGACTAGGTTCCCTAGGGGTTGCTCACATATCAGTAACAAAAAATTCAGCGTATGAAGAAAACATATAGTGGTCGTTAGCTTGTATTTATTAGCTTATGTCCAATGCAATTTTACCTGTACAGTTTATTGCTTTCATTATTGGTATCTTTATTGTTATCGATGGTATGTGACCAGCCATATATCTGATTTCAGATTTTATTTTCTTGGTAATGTTTATTCATGTGTATTCCATGTCGAAATATGTAAAAACATTGCAAATTTACATTTCACTTACCTCCATCATGCGTTTTTTATTGACTCATATTTTTTTGTGTGGTTGCTGACATCTGTCATAACTTTATTTTACTGATAAGCTGGTTGAAATCTAGTTTTCTCCCTTCGCATGTTCTTTTTTTTTTTAAGCCTTTAAAGCCATTGTAGGAGCCTTTTGGTTGTCACAACTTCAGACTTTTTGTATTAATGTGAAACCTGGGCCCTGTCTTGTAAATAGTTGCTATTGCCTTGAATTTATTAAGTCATCCATTCAACCGTAGATTCACAACAATATCCTATGTCTCTTGTATGATGTTGCAATATGAACTCAACTTAATTTGTGGTACATTCAGATTAATCACAACTTTTGATAAGATGGGGATGGTGCCCAGAAGACAATTTCATAACCTTACCAATTCAGTAAAAGAGTTATTCTAACCAAGTCACATTAAGTGTATTGGATAGTCTGTTTGACCTAGAATCAATTACCAAATTTTATTAGCTATGTATTTGTTACGTGATGAGAAAATCATGAAATAGAAAATGCTACACTCAGAATGTATATACACCTGTACATGTATGAGGTTAGTTATGTAAGATATGTTTATTTTTTACCAGTGGTTGGAGATGTAGTGAAATGAATGTATTCACAATGTATTATAAACAAGCTCTTTGTCAGACGATTGTTTACCCTATGGATGTCTTGATTAAAATGAATATTGCTTTTCAGCATCCCAGGGGAATGATTTTTAGAATGCCAAAGCAATTTTTTAAAAGTTGAAAATATAAATTGACTTTTCATTTGTGGAGATTGAGGGGAAATGGCCTTATGACATCCCATGGAATTGGTTTAGGAAGACCTAAACAATTCTGGAGGTTGAAAAGCTGCATTAGGAAACTTTGTACCCCTATCAATTTCCCCTAACTGGAGAGTGCAGCTCTGGATTTGTTTTTCTTTATGTTCCATATGCTTTAAATTAGCACTAAGTGTGTTAGGTAATGGCAGGCATCCTGAGTGTTCAATTGTCTGTACTAGTTCATGACATCATTCAAGTCCATGCATAAGATGCAATTGTGTTGAAAATGTAAATGAGCCTGTGGAAAAGTGAAGTAATAAATCTGTTGATAACATGTATAAAAAAATGTTTTTGGATGTTGTTTGTAAGGTTTGATCTTAAAGAATAAAGACCCACTGCACTACTTATAGCTACTTGCACCCTCTATAAAGCAAACAATGTCTAATTGGTGCCTGTTGGTCCCCCATGATCCTCTTTTTCTTATGTTGTTGAGATAACCACCTGTCAGCGACCTTACAAGGAGGTCTAATCCCTCTGGCCAACCTCGTGCACACACGCTTTAAGAGATGTGTGTTGAATATAGATGCTCTGTTCCATACGGTCTTATATCAATCTCTCTTTCACATACATGACTCAGTCTGTAAGATGGTTAGGGATACTAACTAACAATTTATTCAAGATTATTGGAAGGTGAAATTGTCAAAAATTTCTTTTTAAATAAGGCTTGAAATGATGTGTTAACTCATTTTCCAAATTTGCATACAAGTGTAAATATGCTGATTTTACTCATTTTGTTTTAATATTTCCTTTGAAATTTGATCCTTCAAATCAATTTCTCCTTTTTTTTACTGTTTTGAAAGCTAGCCTATGGAACACATAATATGAATTTATTTGATGATAGATTATAGCGAGTAGTAAGATGAAGTTGAGATGTACTGTGTAGTTGTTTTGTAACGTGTACATGCTACTAGAAGAGGAGTTATGAACTCTTGGAAAGGATGTCGCATAAGACACGGATTAAATCTGTTTCTAAGGAATCTTGTTGCATTTTAGGTGTGAAACAGACCAGGGAAATGCAAATTTGTAGTTAAATTCTCATCTCCCAGCAGATGCTAAATCATTCACATGGGACTAGCTGATATATATCCTATCTCGCTCTTTTAGATTCACTGTTGATATACTCCAGGATTGTATTACATTTGAATCATCTTAAAGGGAAAATTGGCTCTAATGTCAAGTATGAACACAAAGCAATGGGCAACTGCTGATTTCCTGTGTGAGCTACCTTGGATAGTTTTGTAAATTGGTGATAGATAGTCCAACTATTTAGATTCAATGGTAGGCCAACTCCATGGATGTGAATCCCCCACTCAGCATCAATATATCTTAAGGCCATTAAAAAAATATACATGTTTAGCGTCCCTGCCCGCTTCCTTTTTTTAAAGAAAAAAAACATGAAAAACACTGCTAAAATGGATCTATTTCTTATTAAATTTTTTTTTTTTTTTTAAATGCCGGCGGCCATCTTGAAAAATAGCCCAACTGTCAGGGAAAATTTACCGAGCAGCCATTTTGAAGAAAAAAAAAGGGCCTCCTCCTTCCTATTTTTCAAAAATGTAAGATGTTTTTTATTTTATTTGGCCTAACACATACATGTGAGTTAACCATATTGTATCTGCTTTCTGTACGTCCGATAATCCATCAACGTGTAGATCTACTTGCGATGATTTTCTGTAAAGATTATCTCATCTTAATGAACATTTCTCTAATTAGGCTAGTAAATCTAATGAGCTTTGAATGGCTTACCTAACAAACACCAAGCAATACAAACCAAATCTCATAATGCCCTCCATACAGCCAGTATATTATTAAACCCACATCTTCTCAGCTAGTAGACGATGGAAAGCGATTTGAGTTGGATGGATGTAATCTCGTCACTCTATTGGGAGATTATATACAAGGGTCAATTTATATAGTGCAGCTATTATACAAATATACTCTACTGTGCTGTGATGGAGAAAAAAAACAGGTGTAATATAGGGGGAAAATCAGGAATTCGCCACAAGTCTTGCATAGGCATTCTGAACAGGCTGCAAATTCATTATTTGTAAATCTGGCAAACCAAACAAAAATCCTTTACAATAATCAAGCCTACTGCTATGCATGGACGAGGCTTTCACTGTGTTTCAGATCTAATAATGTATAGATGTGATGGAGGTTGTTTAACATATAAATGTCAGATTTGCATATGTGCTGGATTTGAGCTTTCTCCATGTTTAAACGAGAATTGAGCCATACACCAACATTTCTCACAGAGCTTGATGGTTGTACTTCTGAGTCTCCAAATGCTTTATAACTAATATTTATCTGTGCTACTTTTCTGGATATTCCAACAATGAGAAGCATGGTTTTTACCTCATTAAGCATCAGCTTATGATGGAACATCCAAGAACAGAAATGTTGTATACATGATTACATAAGAAAGAATGAAGCTGTGAATAAGAAAGAAGTATGTATTGGGGGTGAGAGGGATAGAAATTTAAAGTTGGTTAGAGAGAAAGAGATAGCAATGGAGTCATTGAGTGAGAAAGAGAAAGAGAGAGAGAGAAAAAAAAAGAGAGAGAGAGAGGAGAGAAAGAGAAGAGAGAGAGAGGGGGAGAAAGAGAAGAGAGAGAGAAAGAGAAAAGAGAGAGAAAGAGAAAAGAGAGAGAAAGAGAAAAGAGAGAGAGAGAGAGAAGAGAGGAGAGAAAGAGAAGAGAGAGAGAGAGAGAAAAGAGAGGGGGGGGGAGAAAGAGAAAAGAGAGAGAGAGAGAAAGAGAAAAGAGAGAGAAAGAGAAAAGAGAGAGAGAGAGGAATAAAATGGGTAAAATATGTTTGATATGAAAATGTTGACAAATTACATATGTACAGTGAAACTTTCTGTGTAAGAATCTTGAACTTTATGGCAAGTAGAGTAAAAAACTTTCCTTTTATTTTGTATAATTCTCTAGGGAGTTGTATAGCTGTATGGCTCATGTAAGAGAAATCACACGTATGTGATCTTGCATACATCAACTTGATGGATGCCAAAAGTAGGATCAAGATAGACTATCGGAGAGATTCTTCTGCTGCCCAAATGAAAGGGCTGTTCACACACAATTTAAAGCTTATCTGTACTAGTTTATAGAAGGGTTTAGACCACCCTGCAAGGTCACTGGACAGGTGGTTATCTCATCAACTTGGCTCTCAATTAACATAAGAAAAAGAGGATCATGGGGGACCAATGGTCACCGATTAGGCATTGTTTTCTATATAGAGGGAGCAAGTAGCTACAAGTAGGACACTGTTGCTTTAAGACAGTTTTTCAAACGTAAGCCACAAAATTTCACTAATTAGTGAGGCTGCAATCTTTATTCAGCGCTCATTTGTGCACTTTTAAAAATACCTATCAGAAAGAGGGATAAGAATATTTAATTGGATTATATTCCACATGTGAACAGGTGGAAAAAAAGATATTTGAATCTTGTTTCATATCTCACTTTTTTCCTCTTTGAAAATGAGCCTGGTGTGCATGCAATGACGATTCCCAGGGGGTGTCAAAGAAATCCTTCTTGTTAAGCATGATCCCTGTACCTGGTCAATCTTTCCCTATATGAGTTCATGCAATAGCCATTATATACATGTATTATGAATTCATACAGTGTAACTTGGTAAGGAGAATGCTGTATTTTGTTATAACCAACTCTCCATATTCTGTATTTTACATCGTTTTCCCCACCCCAATTATGTAGGCCTAAATATTATATGTTACATAACTCCCTGAATGTCTAGTCAAATACTTCTGGTACACTGGACATTCACTTTATAATGAGAGGAACATCCTTGATACAAGATAATAACCTTTAAAGGTAAAGACCAGTTATGGTCATGCGATTGCATTGTGAAAGAAAGGTTGTGGAATCGATCAGAAAAGGTTGATCATCTAGCATATAAGTATTGGTGTGTACTGCAAGGTTCTGGAATCTTCAAAATGATAAGAAATATGGCCCAGTCTTCGTAAAGTTACAAGCACTGTACACAGAAAGATGTATATGGGACTATACGCACACGTGCACGACACATGCGTTTATCTCTCACAGACCATGTAGATAAACTAAATTACCAAATATATGAATTAGTAGGTGGTTTCCCGGCAATTTTTTTATCATCATGTATTAGTCAAAACATATTCTTTCACATGATTGGTAATAAGAGCTTCCATTTCATTTTTTGAAATTGGGGCGTTTCCAATACTGGTCTTTACCTTTAATATTGAAATCTTGTTGAATGCATATCATGGCTCAAAACAATAGAATATCACAACAAGACAAATAATAATCACCTTCTTATAATGATAATTTGTTTGACAGTGTTCTTTGTACAGTCAAACCTGCTTTAGTGACCACCTGTCTACAAGGACCACATTGTTTGTTTCCCTTGAAATGGTTTTTCATTGAAACATGTACTAAGGGAACCTGTCTACAAATACCACCTGTCTACAAAGGTCACTCTTTGTGTTTCCCTTGGGTTTGTCGCTATAGACAGGTTTGACAGTATCAAGGTTAAGCTGTATCAACTGGTCTTGTGAAATGATGATTTGAACTGAATACACATGCAAATATGACAGCAAATATAGACAATTATACTGTTTAAAAATATTAATGTTTTAAAAACATTTATTGAATGATAAGGCCATGATTTGACCAGCATCTATCATAGTTTGGCAAAGCATATCAAATAAAAGAATAAAAAACATACATTTCCAATGACAGCCATGGTTTTTGGTTGACAATAAGTCTCTCTATTCTTCAGGTGAGACATTTCTAGACTGAAATCAAAGATAATTATTTTTTTCTTTGTCTTCTAATTATAATTTATTTAAAAAAATCAATATTAGAAGAGAGAAGTAACAGGAAAAAAAACAACATATCTTCACTTTGAAATTGTAAATGCGGAGACTTTATAATATTCACCATGGAAATGAAGTTGGTTATGTTTAACATATCAGAAATCATGATATCATTGCATAAAATCGCATCTTGCGAAAAAATGGTTATTTAATACAAGTTCTTTTAATAAAAAAAAAAAAACAAACTTCCAAGTCTTTCATGACTGTTCATTAAAGCATCAACAAGTATATATTTCAAAATTCCAGCTTTTATGGACATACACACATTATTTGCAAGATGTTGTTAGCCTTATATTGAGTGAACTAGCCTTGTAGCATCCTAGGTTGTTTGGTATGCAGCATCAAACCACTTATTACACTATAATCATATTTTTGTCAGTCAGAGTTTCTCCAATTTGGGGGAATTTTTTCACAAATTCCTTACCCCGAGTATTAAAGAGCAGCAAGTGTTTTATGCACACTGATCAACACACGTAGGTACCAAGAAGCCTTTTGTACAACAAACACAATCATGCACACTTTTCTGTTTATGTTCTATTCATTTCACTGCTTTCAGAGATGTGTCCTATTCATCCTACATGACTAAAACAAGTAATGTTTTAGGAAAGATTCTTAATGCCACATAAGTGCCTTGTTTTTTTATAATTGTTGCTACCAGCTAAACTCATATATAGCCTTTTTGTCCAAGTTAGCAGCAACAGAAAAAGATCATCCTTTTGAAGGAGTTCTAGTAGTGGTGGAAAACTAAGTCTTACTGAATCCAACAGAACTTGAGCTGCCTGTTCAGATTCAAAATAAAAAGACAACTGCTATACCTGTTTGACATATTTATAACAATTTCTAGTCATGGTAACAAAACACATTGAAGATAGAAAATGAGGAAGACCATGTCAATCAATAAACACCATACATGTAGTCCAATATATGGTAAATAATTCTGACTGCCTTATAGGCACCTTTGCTGGAAAATGCAGTTCCTTTGCCACAACTCAAAGTTTCATAACATAAACCATAAACTTTACTTTAAGCATGACTCTACAAGTTTTGAACTTAAGTTAATCATCAAAAGCATTGAGCTGTCTGCCAATGATGTTTGAATGTCCAATGCTGGTAGAGTCAGTTTGACCTAGATACATAAACGTTGGCACATTGTATTCAAAGAAATGCTGACAATGCAACTTTTACTTTTCAATTAGTTTCAGTATCAAACTAATTTAGAGGCACTATATTTATGTCACCACATGCAGTCCAAAAGAAATAATTTTCAAGCTTTTTCCAATTTCCAAACATAGCACTCTACATATCAAGATCCTTGTACTGAATGAGATCACTAATCATGAAATCTGTGTAGTCTTTGGACCACTTAACAAACTAAGGCAAGCTTTGATCTTTTCTAATTAGTGGCAAATCAAACCTTAAGGAGATAAATAGAGTCCAAAAGAATAGCACATTAAGACAACCTCTGGTGAATATTTCAGTCATTCATGTATGAGTAAAGGTATGCAAAGTGCTTTGACCAATCAGTTAGGTGTTCCAACAAAAACTTGTTTTTTACCTCTCCTCTGGCTGGCTGTTTGAGTTTCAATGGGGACAGTGGATGGATCTCAAGATGAATGCAAATCAATTCAGTGGATGTAGGGCTTTGTCCTCACTTCAAAGGTATAAAGATCATATCAATTCTGATTATAGACCTGTATCTCTTTCCTATTTCTTAGCCTCTACGATGCATGCTGAATCTCTGTCTGTCTTGTCATTGTCTTCAGCTGCTCCGTTAGTTGCTGTTTCTCTCATTATTCTCTCTTTGGAGGCTAAACTCTGATCCATGTCCTCACTGGTAAGCTCTTTGGGTGGAAGGGTCTGGGGTAGCTGTGTGCATACAATGCTGAGGACAGTGGGATGTTCCTTTAAAAGGACGTTCTTCATGGAGCTGATCAGAGCAAGATCTTTGTCTAATGGGTTATGCAGGGCACCACTAGTGGGTGGACACTCCAATGTCTGTCCACTGTTTTGTTTCTTTCCTTCTGTTTCATGCTTGGACTGTTCTGCTGGATGTAGCTCCTGTATGGCAGTCCTACCTGGAATGTCATTCCTGGAGCCAGAAGGCATTTCTTCTCTACATGATCTTTCTGCATCAACAACTGCTTCCTCGCTTGTATTGACTAGTATGGTCTGAGACGTATCACTCAATGTGGTAGCTTCTCCTGTATGAGCCTCGGGACAACTTCTCTCATAATCAGTGCCGTTCACATATCTCTCATGTTCTCCATTCATGGCCTGTGAGGGAAGAGCAGCAACATGTGTTCCACTAATACTGTTCAGTATCCTATCAACCAGCTGCTCTTGTGTCAGGGCCTGGTTACCAGCTAGAGGTGGGTCTGGTGTCATTGAAAGACAGTCTACTTGCTTGTCCTGTGATTCTGAATGGCACAATGAAGACAAGGATAATGGCCATGATGTATCCCTCAGGACATTACTCTGAAATAGATAACCTTCAGTACGGGGGTTCAACAGCATGCTATCATCGTCATCATCGTTCACCCGTTCCTTCACGACATCATCTCCCACGTGTGCATCATCCTTTTGATTATCTTTTTGTTTTCCAGACAAACTATCCGGATCACCATCTGGGACATTCTGTAATCCTTGACCTTTGACCTTTTGTGGTTGTCCATGTGACTGACAAGCATGTAGTCTTGTCCTAAAGTGGTAGAGTTGAGTGAGTCTGTACTGTGCTCTCAGACACACCAGCTTTGGATTGAGATCAGGTTGGTTGATTGATGACATCATCACTGACTCTTCACCTGTGCAATCAAATAACAGTGACCTATTCATTTCATGTACTTCTAACCATTTGGATGAACAAACTATTAAAAATGTAGTTTATCATTTTTGGCAGTCTACTCATGTACTTAAGTTATACATGAATCTATTGCAAAATGTTGAAGAAAAAAAAGGGGGAAAAAAAAGAAAAAAAAAATTAATTTGAAAAAAATTATCAGTACCGGTACTGGCAGCCTGTAAAAGGTTTTTGCCTTTTAACAAAATTGTAAAGCGTTACTTTTTTTAAGGTATCATTTTCCGACACAATTCTTTTCTTGGTTTCTTATTAGAATATTAGAATGGTACCTTCTTCAATTAGGAAATATAAAGTTTTTAATAGCATGAATAAAATAAGGATTATATGAACTGTATATTGGAATCAATTAAAGGTAATACAAAGTTTTGGTATGGAGTCATGAATTTGGTTCAATTAGCATATTGGAAGCATATGTGATCCTATAATATTCAGTGATCGTTGTCGCGGTTGAAATCGAGTCTAAAGTTATGAAATTGTAAATAATACACTCTTTATGTTGTATAGCTCCCTCTCAAGGTCAATATATTAATTAAGCTATAAAACAATGTTTCTTGACTAAAATCGACCAATTAGCTATTCATTTGGTAATTAGATATCACATCTATATATTCTGAGATTTTCATGGTCGCAGCTACCACTGTACGGCCGTAGGCGCTATTTGACATTTATCACAATTTACCGGGAGCACCGGTAAATTTTTATATTCATTTTTTCTCGAAAGCAGAAGTGTTTTAGGGGCTAATTTTTCTAGTGTTTATAATACATCCACAGGGGCATCCAAATATATAAAAACTGTTAAGAATCACTATCCACCCAATTTTTAAAATTTACCAAAACTTTGTATTACCTTTAATGCAAACTTTGATCTTTCCACAAGTCTACATATCCTGAATTATTGGTTACCTTGGGGCAGTATAATCTGAAGAATACCAACGGCTACTGCTGGATGACCTGATGTATGACATAGCTGCACTGCTTCAGCTACATGACCCATCATGACCTCAGAATGACCTGACCTTTGACCTAGCAATATCTGCTCTGCAGCATATCTCAACACCTACAAGTATATGGAAAATATAATTTGTCTAAGTAATCATGGTATGTACAGTTGATTCAACTTGTCATGCTTGTAAAAACTGAAAATGTTTATAATCATGACAAGTTATACAGGTCTATAACACTCTATATACATGTCAGAATCACAAGGCAGTACATAAAACGTTGACCTCTTTCACAAATATTCTGAAGTGAGACGGGACAAAAATTCGACTTCATTCGGAAAGGGGGTATTATGGCCAAAGATAATGGATGGCCATAGTGCTCGTTTCACATCGAGACTTTTTTGTTTCCATTATATATTATACAAAGCATTAAATATACCTTGTTGATATCATGGGCTACGTCATATGGCATCCCACCACTCAAGCACTGCAGATCAGGTGATTGATCACATGACATGTCTGCTCTAACCAGCAGTGTTTCTACTACAGGAGCTCCATTCAATGTAGGGATAGACCAAACACATCCATCATTACTAGGCTCTGTAAGGAGAAAATAATCATAAATTTATTGCACAACAAATTACCATTAATGGTAATTTACACTGCTGGGATTTGGCAAATGAATTAACAATTTCAGATGTATAAACTCTTAATTTTTTTGTTTAATTCTGTGAAAATACGTGCTCAAGGTCAGGAGAAGGGCTTAGTGTTTCTTTACTTGCTTTTCTGCTATAGTCTATATATCAATGCAACTTTGTGGGATGCAAAAGAAAATAACTCACAAAATACACATAGACCACATCCATACTGATAGCTAAAGTGCTGCTACAATCTGTATAAGAGAGAAGGCGCACTTTGATTTTTGCACATTTGCTATTTAGACCATTTCAGCCCAAAGTTAGGTACAGACATGTACATGTATGTAAGACCCTAATAATACTAACAAACTACTGAACATATGCATCATCTGCTGAATCCGGGCTAACTCGGACCAAAGACAACTCGGCCTAGCTGCAAAAACGGTCAGTTTTTGTCATTCTGCCCTAGCCCTAACCCTAATTCTAACCCTAACCCTAAACCTAACACTAAACCTAACCCTAACCCTAAACCTGCAAAATCTGATCGTTTTATGCAGCTGGGCCGAGTTGTCTTTGGTCCGAGTTAGCCCAAACCCATCTGCTCATGAAATGTGAAAGAGGCTTACCGGTCCACTGAATCTTTGGAACGCTCTCAGTGTGTATGTGAGTATGGCCGATATTATGATCTGTTGTAAGGTATCCTTCATGGGTCAAACACCAAACCAGAAGCTCATAGATGACAACAAGTGAAGCATACACCTGAGAACAGAAAGAGATGTGTGACACAATCTTTACAACCTCAATAATAATCCAACAAAATTTAAACAAGCAAAATATATGTTCAACATGGGGAAACAATATAAATCACAAACCATATCCTAATTAATTGCTTTTTCCATGTCATACATATTAGGAAAACCTCTTTAACTATTAAAAACTGATGAAATGCATAGCTAAATTAAAAAATGGTTTTCCTTTCAATTCATAACTGGTCCAAGAATAATCCCCCTTTACTCAAAAATGCTGTGCTCAGAATACAGAGTATATGAATTGACATTCAGAGTATAAACTGACATTCACACAATCCTCTATTTCTATAATTTTCTTAAAGTAAAGCCCCTATTTTCAGTGGGTCCTACATTTCTATGCAATATTTCTTAATCTACACTTTACCAGTAGACTACTACTACTACTAATAATAATAATAATGATAATAATAAAAATAATAACGTTTTATTTACCCAGGGTAGCCACTTCAGTTACTAAACTGCTCTTCCAGCGGGCCCTGCATAACATAATATGTTATTACTACCCTTCTCCAACTAATATGCTGAGCGCCTAGCTAGAAGGCAGAAGGTCCCATTATTATAAGTCTTTGGTATGACTCGGCCGGGGTTCGAACCCACGACCTCCCGTTCATGAGGCGGGCGCTCTAACGACTGAGCCACCATGCCTGGTTTACAACTTCCTTCATTACGCTGAATGACCCTTACCTGATATTTCTTATCCAGTAAGAAGATATCAACAGCCTGCTTCCACTGACCAGTCAATAAACTCAGGTTTAAGAATCTAGTTGCTATGGATACCACTAGCCCCTCCTCTGTACAACCAGACAAGATGGCGACATGAAGGGCAGTTCCAAGAGCTGCCACATCCCCCTTCCTGGTCAGTAGCTTGATAGCATTCATTGGCTGGTTGAGTGCCAAGTAGCTGGAAAGTCAATAATTATAGCTAGGATTAATAAATTTGTCAAACCATAACAAATAAAACTATATTATGAGCAGAGTAACTTTATTTTCAAAGAGTAATTAACATAATAATATAAGGGTGGTGAAAGGTGAAATAAAATAGAATATCTCAAGTCTTACCATCTTGCAGCAGGCTCATAGCTATTGTTGCCTTCCAGCTGATTGGCCCAGGTCAAGTAGAGGTCATGAAGAACTGGGTCAGAGGGCAACAATCTCACTTGGGCAAGTGCAATGGCATCCCTGAACCAGGAATGATAAAAACATATCATAAACTAGTTATGTCACAGCAGTAGGCCTGCTTTACATCTGTTGTAATATGGAATGTTGAGGTAATTATGCCATAATGTATTATAGTGTATTGGTGCATTAGTGTATAAGGAATTGTAGGTGGAGCAGTCTACAATGTAAGCTACCCCCCTCCTTCCTCATCAGACAATAGCCTTACTTTCCCGCCTTTTTGGGGGTACCTGTATTGCCCAATGTACTGATACCCTATAGGCATGATTGGGGATCCTATTGTAAGTTTTAGTGGATGAGTGATTTTCTTTTGTTCGGGGTCTGTGCACCCAGAGCTGCTATAGCAGGGACAGAGAGACATTGTAGATTGGAGAGAGAGGAGAGAAGCACTAATTTGTGCCTGCTAATGGAGATTGTTATTTACTTCTGGCAGATCACAATTCATGGCTGCATGTGGTGAAATCTCCTTATTTGATGAACTACACTTTCTACAATAAGGTGGAAGCTTTGTTTATGATCAGGGGTCGGACGACAGCATATAGCGTTAGTGTTGCTTCGTCGTTATAGTATTGGCCGGGGCTGTGTTTTCTTTGGTGAATAAATGCAAGACTAAAGTTTACGTTGGACTCCCTAGCTGTTGTCATTTCTGAATCCCAACAATGGTGTCAGAAGTGGGATGACTGACGGCGAGGGACAACTGGACTGAGATCATCTGCACGGATACTGACCAACCTCCAACTTCTTGCGGCCGTGACGTCGTCGGCTGGCGATATTTGGTGTCAGCAACGTCCGGAGGCAAAAGTGAACATTGGACAGACAGTGAACATTCAACAGCCTCGGTCAGATACATTGTGACCATTAATGAATTTGAAGAACATGTTCATGTAATGATACACATGATTGATGATTTGTTCGTTTAAGTTTGCTTGTTGTGAAATATTATTGTTCCTGTTGAATTTCATAATTAACACATTTAAGTGCAGGAAAATGGCCCCTACATCTACGACAACAACTGTGACAACAACAACAACAACTACCACGTCGACAGCATCATCCACACGACCTACTATGACACCAAGGGAGCAACCTTCAGACATGGACATGCTGTCACAGTTCTTTCGTCGTTCCATTGGGCTACAGAGCATTCTCCAGAGCAACTTGCCCAAGTTTAGGGGAATACCACAACACGCAAACGACATTGCACTATCGGAATGGCTTGAGGAGTTCTATGAGATCACTGCTCAACACAACATGGAAATGGGCAGTAAGGCCAGACTTCTTGTAGATCACCTTGCAGGACCGGCAAGGGAGGAAATTATGTGCCTTAGTGAATCCCGAAGACGTGATTTTGATGAAGTTGTAGCATGTCTTAAACTATGTTTTGGCTACGAGGAAAATACACAGTCGTTGAGCAGCAAGTTCCATAACCGCGTACAGAGAGAAGGGGAATCGCTTTGTGACTTCAGCCGGGCCTTGATACGCCTATACATAAAGCTGGAGAAGGCAGCAATCACCCAAGCCCAAGGTGAAGCTTTGGCACAATTAAAAGACAAAGCTTTGAGTGACCAATTTGTAAATGGCGCACGTGAGGCTTGGGTCAGGAGGGAGTTGAGACGCATCCAATTAACTCATGGGCCCAGTGGGTTCAATAGGATGAGAGCAGAGGCACTCCAGCTTTTCCAGGAGTCTCCAACAGCTCAGCGTACCAGAATCAGAGAAGCGGACGTCGAGGTCGGACGGGTGGTCACATCAGATTCTGCACATCTTCTGCAACAGATGGTAGACCAACAGACAACTATTATGACTGAACTAGAACAGCTGAGAGGGGAGGTTACACGATTGAAAAATGCCAAACCTCAGAGAAGGAGGGTGAGTAGTGGATGTTTTCATTGTGGTCAGAAGGGACACTTTATAAGGGAGTGTCCCAACATGACACATATGCCTACCAACATATTCCCCGCTGCTGCTTCTAATTACAACTTCTCGGATGGACCCAGAAGCCAGAGGAATTACGACTTTCCTGCTTGGAGTCAGGAGTCGGGTACCAGGAACCAGGATAACTTCAATTTGCCTGCAACGCGTTATCAGGCTCCATCCCAGCCACATGCCATCCAGAGGAATTATGATTTTCCTGCTTGGAGTCAGGAGTCGGGTACCAGGAACCAGGATAACTTCAATTTGCCTGCAACACGTTATCAGGCTCCATCCCTGCCACATGCCACCCAACGTCACCTTCCTCACCAGGATGTCACCCCGCAGGCGGAAAACTAGCTTCCTCTGCTGTTGAGGGCAAAACAGCAGGGGACAATGAACAACAGGACAAGACAGAAGAGCCCATGGGACAAAGCTCCCATAAGCTACAAGCCGACACGCCTATAACAGACAAGAGGGAGATTGACACAGAAACGAGATTTGCACATTCCAGACAGACCACTTTGGAAGAAGCTGCGCTGACAATAGATGAAATAATGTGTGACAGCGAAACAGAATTGGTTTCAGAAAGTCCGACCGCAATAGCAGAAGTTGCCGGCGTGAAAATTGGTTGCGTCTTAGACACTGGAGCAGAGGCTTCGATAATACCCTCAGACGTATTTCACTCGCAGCTTCAGGAAGCAGCAGGAGATGTCAGCCCATTGAAAAAACTGGTAAAAATTGTTGGGGTGGGTCCAACAAAGGTTCCTGTAGAAGGCTTTATCCGCACTCGAGTATTGCTGAACGGCAAAGAAGCTTCCGTCGGGTTCCTTATCGTGAACCGAGAGTCTTGTGGAGCTAGACAAAAAGACTTCCCAATTTTATTGGGATGTAATGCACTACGAGCTTTTTTTCCACCAGAGGAAACTCAAGAAGAATTCCAGTTAGTAAAGGACTGCTTGAAATTTAAAGGAGTGGACAATGCACAAATACGAGAGGTTGTCACGGGTGCCTTGGAGGTAGTGTTGCCAGCCAGGACCATACAACATGTAGAATGTGCGATGAAGTCCTCTCAAGGTGGTGAAGCTGCCAATGAGTCAAGTGTCTGGTTCATCCAGGATCTGACTAAGCTGGAGAGTTCTCAAGTTCATGTGATTGAAGGTTGTGCTACCGGGAATAGAGAGTTACGTTTACTCCTTATTAATGCTGGAGAAAATGAGTTCATCCTACCACCTCACTCAATTGTGGCATCTGCTGTGCAAGTAGAAGAACGAAGTGAAGTTCATCTTCAAAACAGAGAGGACCAACTTGGGGTGGATGTTTGTAATGTAATGATTGCCACAACAGAATCGGTTCAAGATGACAACGACAATGTTGGCCAGTTCGAACACAGAGGAGAAACCCAACCAACAAATGATATCACTACACAGGAAACGTTTACCTTCACTGATGGAACAGAAGTATTGCTTCCTCATGGCCTCAGCTTATGTGGGATGGACTATCATGAGGCATCTAGGATTGCTAAACTTCTAGCAGATCATGAAGCAGCTTTTTCCAGAGATGAGTTTGATTTGGGACAGTGTGATCTTATCCCTCATGAGATAAAGGTGACCTCTGACAAGACAATACGCCTGCCATATCGAAGAATTAACCCCAACGAGACATCAGAAGTTCGTGAACTTCTGCAAGACATGCTTGAACGAAAGATCATCAGGGGGTCTGCTAGCCCATATGCAAGCCCAGTCGTTTTAGTTAGAAAACGATCAGGAGCCCTACGCCTATGTATCGACTACCGACAATTGAACAAGATTACAGTGAAAGACTCTTTCCCGTTACCCAGAATTGATGAATCCCTGGAAGTCATGGATGGGGCTAGATACTTCTCTTCTCTGGATCTGTCTCATGGGTACTTTCAAATCACCATGCATCCTGACTCTGTGCCCTTGACCGCTTTTCGTGTTCCATGGGGACTCTTCGAATTTGAGAGAATGCCGCAAGGTCTTTGCAACAGTCCAAGCACCTTCCAGAGGGTGATGGAGGTGATCTTCAGTGATATGAACTTCACAAAACTAATTCTGTACCTCGATGATGTGTTGGTATTTTCTAGAACTTTTGAGGAACATTTGGAAAGACTTGGAGAAGTTTTTGCCCGGTTGACGAAGCATGGTCTAAAGTTGAAAGGAGAGAAATGTCACTTGTTCAGGGGAGAAGTTGCCCACTTAGGACACATCGTCAGCGAGAAGGGCGTGATGGTCGATCCAAGCAAGGTGGAGAGAATCGAGAGTTGGCCAACACCCCAGAATGGATCAGAGTTGAGGTCTTTCCTTGGCCTTGCGTCGTACTATCGGAGGTTTGTCCCTGACTTCACAAGACTGACAGCTCCTCTTCATGCACTAATCGGACAGAAGTCGCAAAAGAAGAGAAAGAGGAAGCCTGAGAAGACTATGCTGGATCCAAAGTTTGTGTGGACAGACAAAGCAGAAGAATCCTTTCAAAAACTGAAAGAAAGACTGTCCTCAACTCCAGTGCTAACCTATCCGAAGTTTGGAAAAGAGTTTGTTCTCGAGGTCGATGCTTCTCTCAAAGGACTAGGTGCCTGTCTATCACAGGCAGATGAAAACGGTCACCTTCACCCGATCTCATTCGCAAGCCGCAGTCTACGTGGAGCTGAAAATAACTACCCGGACTTCTCCAGCTTCAAGATTGAACTGTTAGCACTGAAATGGGCGGTGGTAGAGAAGTTCAAAGGATATCTGATAGGTTCAAAGTGTACCGTCTACACAGACAACAACCCGTTGGCCCATCTTCAAACCGCCCAACTGGGGGCAACTGAACAACGATGGGTAGCCCAGCTAGCACCCTTTCAGCTAGACATCAGATTTCGCCCTGGCAAGCTCAATAAATGTGCTGATGCTCTCAGCCGCTGTCCTGGCAATGATGAACAAGAGGTGAGAGAGATGATCGGTGCTCTGACAGTAACTACTGTCTTACCAGTGGAAGTTACAGTAAACAGTGATCAGGGGCCAGAAGAAGCACCTCGGGCAGCTCCTGAAGTATACCCATCATATTCCACAGAGAAACTTGAGATTCTGCAGCAGCAAGATGATGCACTGTCAGCTTGCAGACAATACATAAGAGATGGATGGAAGCCAGAGGATGAAATGAAAAGCGAGAACAGAGAGACAAAGTCCTGGATGAAAGAACGCATGTACCTCAAAGACTGTGGAGGGGTATTGTACAGACGACCACCAGATTCCAAACATCCACAGAGAAGACAGTTGTTAGTTCCCAAAGGCCTCCAAGAGAAGATGCTACAGATGGCTCATGACCAATGGGGCCATCAAGGGATAAACAGAACCATAGCAATCCTGCGAGAAAGATGTTTCTGGCCAGGAATGTGTAATGATGTGAGAGCACACATCAAGAAGTGCTTTGCCTGCATTGCAGCTAAGACGCCAACACCGACAATACGAACTCCAAGACGACACTTGCTGGCATTCAAGCCCCTAGAACTGATCGCAATCGATTTTCTGAAATTGGATAAGGGTCAAGGTGGATACGAGGATGTCTTGGTAATCACTGATGCATTCACCAAGTTTGCACGAGCAATCCCCTGCAAGAACCAGACTGCAGCAGTTGTTGCACGTGCCTTAATCGATGGTTGGATAGTCCACTACGGTGCTCCACTACGTATCCACTCCGATCAAGGACGAAATTTCGAGAGCTCTCTTGTCCGAGAATTATGCAAACTGTACGGAATTGAGAAGACACACACCACACCGTACTATCCACAAGGCAATGGACAAACGGAAAGGTTCAACCGAACGTTATGCAGCATGATTCGTTCCCTTGAGCCAGATCGTCGGAGAAAGTGGCCTGGGCTGATCCACCAGCTGGTTTTCCTATACAACTGCACCCCTCATGGAACAACAGGGCTATCGCCATACCGTCTCCTGTATGGGAGAGAGCCGCACACACCAATCGACCAGCTAATTGGGAATAGCGAAGCAGACTGGAATGAGGACTTTCTTACAGAGCATTCGAAGTCGCTACAACATGCTCATACGGTTGCTAAGCAAAACATGGAAGCGATCTTGAGAAGTGAAAAGATCAGACATGATGCTCTACCAATGAGTTCCACACTAAGCATTGGCACCCGGGTACTGATCAAGAAGTGCGCGTTTGAGGGTCGACACAAGCTTGACGACAAAGTGTTGAGAGATCCCTTCATAATCACGGCGGTAAATGACACGGGTGACGTTTACAAAATTCGACCAATGTTAGGAGGACCAACCAAAGTAGTGAACAGAAGGTTGCTGATTCCAGACCCACGTGAAGAGATGCCAGTTCATATTGTTCAGGAAAGCAGAAGTGACCATACCACGTCACAACACCCCTCGACTCGTTCTATAGAAGAGAACACCCCCTCTTTCACTTTCTTGTGGGATCGACCGATGAATATTCCAGGGGATCAGAACAACCTGCGAGTAGACATTCGTGACGATGAATATATTCCAGATGAGGGAAATGACCACGACGGAGCAAATGTTGAGAATGAAGAAAATGGTACGGATGACGTTCTCAATCTGAGCGGAGATATAGTACCTGATGAGATAGACAACTCTCAACTTGAGAACCCCAGTCCCGAGGTACCGCGTAGGAGGTCTAATCGAGTAACTAAAGGCCAGCATAGAAATCCACTGCGGCTTCCAATATCGGCGTTACAAGAGTAAAAAAAAAAAGAAGAGAGTTTTGAATTTGAAGACAAGAATTAAATATTTACTTGTCAGATTAAGATGTGATGTGTTATTAATGCTATGCATAATGTTTTAAAGAACATTGTTTTGTATTTTCATATACTACTGAAAAACATTTTGGTCAAACATTATGACATTAATTGCGGGGAAGTGTATTATAGAAAGATTTTCATTGCTTATATTTTCATGTATCGCTAAAATCTCGGTCAAACAGTATGACATTAATTGCGGGGAAAGGTGACGATTTGGAATTTCGCTCGTAATAATGTATCATTTTTATCAAACATTATGACATTAATTGCGGGGAATATGTTGTAATATGGAATGTTGAGGTAATTATGCCATAATGTATTATAGTGTATTGGTGCATTAGTGTATAAGGAATTGTAGGTGGAGCAGTCTACAATGTAAGCTACCCCCCTCCTTCCTCATCAGACAATAGCCTTACTTTCCCGCCTTTTTGGGGGTACCTGTATTGCCCAATGTACTGATACCCTATAGGCATGATTGGGGATCCTATTGTAAGTTTTAGTGGATGAGTGATTTTCTTTTGTTCGGGGTCTGTGCACCCAGAGCTGCTATAGCAGGGACAGAGAGACATTGTAGATTGGAGAGAGAGGAGAGAAGCACTAATTTGTGCCTGCTAATGGAGATTGTTATTTACTTCTGGCAGATCACAATTCATGGCTGCATGTGGTGAAATCTCCTTATTTGATGAACTACACTTTCTACAATAAGGTGGAAGCTTTGTTTATGATCAGGGGTCGGACGACAGCATATAGCGTTAGTGTTGCTTCGTCGTTATAGTATTGGCCGGGGCTGTGTTTTCTTTGGTGAATAAATGCAAGACTAAAGTTTACGTTGGACTCCCTAGCTGTTGTCATTTCTGAATCCCAACACATCAATATACATTTTCATGTATACAAACACTACACTGATATGAATATGAACTCTTAGGCATCATACAGTATACATTCATATCTTCTGCGACACCATTGCAAGTAGAACATTGGCTCTTGAGGAGAATCAAGTAAAACTAAATTCAATGATTAAAGCAATAACTATGAAAATTCTTTTAGAGTAAGGGCCATGACAAGCACCTAGCAGAGGTGGATAATACGTAGGACCATACAAGAAGCCATCAACACCACCAATAAGAACCGTCATCATCATCATCGTTGTCATCATCATCATCCTCATCATCATCATCATCATCATCATCATCACCATCATCATCATCATCATTATCATCATCATCGCCAGTATCATCATCATCATCATCATCATCATCATCATCATCATCTTCATCATGACATTTCTACTCCTCCCCAACATCATACTGATAACAAAGTGTCAAATCTGTAAGAATGTGCAGTAAGTGGGTTAGGGGTAGAACATAAACAGAGATATTATACCTAAACATTGAATTCTTCTTGAGGATAGTGATAGCCTTGTAGACCTGATGACTGATAAGGTAGAAAGTGACGGCCCGATGAATCTGATCCTGAGATTCTAGCTGCCTAGCGTAAGCATCACAGGTCTGTAACCATACATCATGTCCAGCTGTAAGCATTACAATACAATCAATCATATCAGTATTCGTTCATTCGTTTGTTCGTTTATTCATTTCATTTTCATAAAAAACACAGCAAAAGCAAATAAACATACAAGTATATATACATACAAATGCAGAGAATGTTCAGTTTATACGATAACTTCAACTAAAAATTAATAGGAGAACAAAGGAAAAGCCAATGGTGGCCTTGTTTAAAAAAGTTCCCCCGAATATCATAATTTATATTACTGAGTATATAGTACTTAAATATATCACAAAAGACAGCAATAAACACAATATAACAATAATATACACAATAAGTATATTATAAGGATCCTTGAAATAGAGTACTCCTGCTTCAGCTATTGCTCCACCAGGCTTTTACCCAAGGCTAATATTAGCTGGTAGAAAGTTACCTTTGTATGTAATCAATAATGATCCCTTTACTCACTGTCTGTCTCTCTCTGTCTCTCTGTCTCTCTCTGTCTCTCTCTATCTCTCTATCTCCCCTTCCTTCTCCCATCACAAACTGTCTTCCTATATCCGTCATCTCATCTTTGTTTCTTTATGTCTTCATTCTCACTTTATTTATCTTAATTTCTCTACATTTCTTCCACTTCATACCTTTATCTAAAGCCTCGGTCACAAATGCTATTACAAACTGCTACGAACGTCGTACGAACAATTTTCAGACAATGGAAAAACAGGGAGATTCGTACAATATTATTGTTCATACGAACCTTTGTGACCGTAGCATTACTGTTGTCCTATTCCTCTGACTTCCTTGTAAGTTTCCCCTCTCTTTCTTTAAATGTTGTCTACTATTGCTCCTTCTTCCTTCTGATCTCAATATCACAATTGCTTTTTTTTTCCTCTTTTGGCTGCAATATTCAGTATACTACTGTATGTACTATTAACCAATTCCCAGACCCCAATCAAACTATTATTCACTCACCTAGGGGAGCCATTGCAACCAGCCAATCAGTGAGCTGTCCTTTCTTGATAGCCTCCCTAAGTGGCTGAAGAATGTTACCTTTCCATAGATGAAGCTGGTTCCTCTGATCATAGTTACTACTCTCTCCATGCTGACATGCTAGGAAAAAAAAGAAAAATGGAAATAATGTTTTTATGATCACTTATCTAATACTCAGGGGTAATCTACTACTACCAATAGGTTCAACCAGTGATGCTAAATTGCATTTGAATACTTTAATGGCTAAAAATCAGATATAAATGAAGGAATAATATAAAAGGTTTTTCTTGTTTTGCCTTTACATTTTGTATTTTGCAAGAAAACTGCAGTACTCTGAATTTCAGTACTTGGCATCTTTCCTCATCCACAGATCAACACAACTAATCTTCAATATATGCTCAATAAGGAATACAAAAACTTTCTGTTTGACTTTTAATTTTAAGGTTAATATGTCCGATCAATGTCAAGTGATTATTCCATTAGGCATCATTTGTCTTCTTAAATCCAAGTGTAGAAAAGGCTATTAATAGGAATACAGTCCTTGAATTTCTTCCTATGATATAAACGAAATCTGTCATTCTTGTTACCTTCGTCATTGAGCATCTTCAAAGTCATCTTTCTGTCAACAAACAAACCAAGCTGGAGAGGAGGTTGGGCTGAGCTCCCTTCTATGTGCAATCCTAAAAAAAGACCAAGATATGAGACAAGGAGATTGATCAGAACCATAAATATCATTATTACCTTAGAAGTCATTTTCATTTACTGAAGATACTTCCTTCACACCAGGCAATGAACTATAGCATACAATAATACCAGTGTTGTCATCAATCATGCTTAACTTGGATTATGTGAATGAATTTATGTTATACATCAGAGTATGACGATGCAACAAATTCATGAAAAAAGTTTTTTTAAATTGAACTTTTATATGTGTTATTCGTATATTGTTCATGTGCTGTGTGTTCATTTAAAGATAGTACATATGAAAAACTGTGGCAGGGCAAATGCAGTGATCTTGTTTTGAGCATATCCCTTACTAGAAACCATGTCTTTTGATAAACCATAACCTACTGGAATTACTAAATCCCTCAGATAGGACTTCTATTTATAGCTCTCCTGGTTGAACACATGCGTATATCATATAAATGAAATAAACATTAATGAAACTTACCTTGTTTGAGCGTGACCAGGTCAATGCAATCTTGTTGAAGGAAAGCTTTACCTCTGTTGTCATGAGAAGCATTCACTGGGAATAAAGACTTGTATCTCTTGTGTCTCCCTGGTGGTAGAAACAAATTTTACCGTATTTACATTAATCAACACGCTTAAATTCATCTACATGTATCGCATACAATACACCTTAGGCTAAACATCAGTTGATCATCACTACAGGAGCATCAGTTGCATTCGCCCAATGCTCTATCCCAGAAAGGAACAGCCTTCAAGTAATGTAATGCATGCTGACAGTCCAGAGAACTTCCAGGGACTACTCCTTAGGCATCCAATGCCACTATCACATCAAGAATCATTGTCTTCCTTGCACCGCTTGCAATCTTTAGTTCATCTTCGTGATAGGCTGCATAGCCCTTTGAAGATTACCAGAAGAAGAAGAAGGTATCACATGCTTCCAGATATACATATGATTCTCAACATTTTGGGGGGACACATACACCTGTACATCTGCCAATACAGGTTGTAATCGCTAATGACTTCAGCTGTTTCTTTAAATAAATGTGAGACCTAAACCTGAATCAATGACACTTTTATGCTCCTTAAAACATGATATTTATAAACATTTCATGCAGAGTAAATATGATTTGGTGGTTGGAATAAAGTTTGAAACTTAGAGTTCAAATCAGATATCAATTTTTGAGCTTGGATGAAATATGAAAGATAATGTTCTTCTTCTCACCTTTCTTTGTTCCAGGGACCGTCATATCCTTGAATGTTCCCTTATCTTGATCTATCTCTACTTCTTCTTCGGGAGCTAACCGATCTAAAATGACTGCCAGAGCAACATTCTTCTCTCTAACTGATGCTTCCTGTTGGTTAGACTTTTCAAGAGAGAGAGAGAGAGAGAATTTAGGACTCATGCTTTCCGTTCATACAATTCATTATTCTCTTTGCTAAACAATTTTGCAGTCAACATTATCCTTGTTTGTCATCATTCTAATTATCTTTGACTCAACTACCTTTAGTTTCATTCTTAGCTGTCTTCAGCTGAGTATGACTTTAACCTCACCACACTTATCCGCACAACAATTTACCTATAAGTAAAGAACCTATATAAGTGATATTGATACACAAAGGTATTTCTATATTAAAAGAGAAACTAAACACAATCGTTCTCCTGGAAACTACCAAGAGGTACATTTACAATTTCTACTTCATTTATGCTCATCGATATACCTTATGCAGTTTTCTTTGACTGAAAAGGGGGCAATCTCTTTTTATTTCATACTTCACAAACAGATGATTCATCAGTAGTGACTCTGGCATCTTGGCATTGTGCAGCATTAGATTTCTTCTCTCTTTCAATCTTTCCCTCAATCTCCTCCACCTGAGCTAAGAGCTCTCTTTTCTTCCTCTCCAGTAGCTCTTTGGCATCATCCATCTGCTCTCCTCCGGTCACAGAGTCTGCTCCTGTCTGATTGGTTGATGGAGGAGCTGAATCACACATCTCGGTGTTTGCTGTGGTCATGTCAACCTGTCAAGTCATGAGATACATGTAATAAGTTTTGGTTGGTAATTTACAGTCAGACAATGGTGCGCTTAGAAACAACCATATGAAGCGCCTAATAAATGTTGTGTATTATTATTATACATATATATATATATGTATATTTGTGCACTTACCATTTACTGATAAAGAAATTTAATACTTGTCAGAAATATTTTACAAAATTTAGGTAACAAATCATAATACCATGTTTGACCTAAATCACTATCAACATGTATTTCTATAATGTAAATGGTTCACTTACAAATCATAGACCAATTTGAAACATGCTTTGATGAAAGAAAAGTAGGTCTTGTAGTATCTGATTTCATTTTCTCTCTGATGGATCGTGATTGGGTTTGGAGAAAGGCCTCATCATAAGCTAGTACAAGTTTAACTTTTAAAAATCAATTAAGCAATTCAAATTTTGCAAGTGTAACTGTGAAAACAAGAGGCCCGAATGGGCATGCATTATTCCCAATGCTGTTCTGGCAGAAAGATATCATATTTATATTCCTATATCACGTTGTAATAAATAAACTATTATCAAAGTAACTACAAATAAACCAAGCATAGTTGCTTCATGCACAGCATTCCTCTGTTTTGAAGCATTCAATGATCATCTTATTGCCTTGAAATACCTTGCTTTGTTTATCTCTGACATCAGCTAATGGTCCTGTTGCCAAGGCAACATCATCATTATTGGCATGATCTTCCTGGTTACGCTGTGGTTTTGGTTGTGAGGACTTCTTTCCTTTCTTTCCGGCTCTTTTGAAAGGCTTTCTGCTGCCTGACAAGTAAGAACATAGAATGGATGACATTGAAATATACAAGTACATAGCTTATATCTAAGCAGCTACCTATTCTGCATATGAAGAAACGTTTTTAAAAGAGGAAAAACGATTCTCACCAGATCGTTTACCTCAGTGATCACTTGGCACTTTATAAATCCAAATGATGCATGACCTAATCACTTCATGATTAAATCATATCATGTTTGTGTTATTAAACAAATTGCTAGAAAAAAAATTCTAAATCATATTTCTATGCACACCTCAATGAAAATAACGATGACTTTGAGCAAAATTTATTTATGGCCTTATCCCTCTTACTCAACGTATTTGGTCTTTATGGGCAGGTGGTCTTTATGGAAACAAGAAATGTGGTCTTTCTATAAAATTAGTCTCTAAAGCAGCTTTCACTGTTTTTATTATTCTGTATTTCTACCAAACAAATGATAATCATTTGAATATATCATAAGATATAAGATGACTTAGACAGATAATGAGGGTCAATTTTTGTTATCAATATTTTTATTTCTCAATTTTTTTTTCCCTTGAAATTATTTTGTCCACATTTTTCTTTCTCCAAAATGCTATTTTTTTCCTAATTTTTTCTACAATTATTTTTGTCCTTAAAAATAAAAATGGACCCCTCCTCTATAGTTTTAAACCAAGTCTATTTAATATAACAGACATTGACTGGCAGGGGGTATATAACATTCTTCGGACCTGAAGGGAGTTATATTTTCCCTCGCGACCATATAACCACTTGGGAAAATGTAACTCCCTTCAGAGGTCCAAAGAATGTTATATTACACCCCTGCCGGTCGATATCAGTATAATATTACACCCCCTATATCTGTGTAATGATTCATGTCATATATCAATATTTAGCTGAAGCTTGAACTTACTTTTAGGAGGTTTGGTGTGATTGACCTTTGACACTTGCCATTTCATGAGACAGAAGTCTTCCCCTCCGGTCATGATGAGGTCAGGATCAAAGCAAGACCAAGCACACGAGAATACACGACCCATGTGACCTCGGAAGTTTGCCACTGGTTCTCCACTCAATACATCCCAAACCTAATAATAATAATAGAGTATATTTATGTAGCGCATAATAAATTGTAAATTTCTCTATGCGCTTTACAGTTTTGTACAATCATAACAATTTGAATATATAAACAATACTAATACAAGAATATATAAACAACACTAATAAACCAACACAGAATGAAACAAATTAGGATCATTAGAACAAGATCATGCCAAGGGGAGCAGCTACACAGAGAAGGTTCTCCGTTCAATACATCCCAAACCTACACAGAATGAAACCAATTAGGATCATTAGAACAAGATCATGCCAGGGGGAACAGCTACACAGAGAAGATTTTAGATTAATTGTATTGTCTGAATAATCTCACATCCAACAGCACCAAATATTACATTCTTACACTAATGTACAATGCATTACTGGAAGTTAAAGATGAAGTTGAGTTCTGGTCATGCGATTGCATTGTGAAAGAAACGTTGTGGAATCAATCAGAAAAGGTTGATCATCTAGCATATAAGTATTGGCCTGTACTGCAAGGGTCTGGAATCATCAAAATAATAAGAAATTTGAGCCAGTCTTCGCAGAGTTACAAGCACTGTAAACAGAAAGATGTATATGGGACTATATGCACACGTGCGTCACACATGCGTTTATCTCTCACATACCAATAGATGAACTAATTTACCAAATATATCAATTAGTAGGCGGTTTCCCGGCAAAAATTTTATCATCATGTATTTGTCAAAACATATTCTTTCACATGATTGGTAATAAGAGCTTCTATTTCATTTTTTGAAATTGGGGCGTTTCCAATACTGGTCTTTACCTTTAAACAAAGTCAATATTAAGGTTATTATTTTGCATACAGACATGCAAACTTTGTTTCACTGCATGTCCTGTATTGGCCTATATATATAATGAGATGAGTATGAAATACTACTTTTCTTTCATCATATTTCCATTATTGTGAAATAGACAACATACCTGAGCTGAGTTATCATAAGATGTAGAGACTAGTTGACCATCACCATGTGGGCTCCAGGACAAACTTGTGACCCTTCCTGTATGACCGGTCAGTGAACGATAGCTGGACGTTATTGGAACAGACAATGGCTTTCCTTCGTTACCTAATCAATGGTAGAATAATACATCAGAATAAAAGCTACTCAGTCATCAAATATTGAACTTGATGAAGTTTTTGTGACTTCTCACAACATTAAAACCTCAAAATAAACTTGCTTGATTTTCAATATCAGAAATGATGTAAAAGTTGTAATAATATCCATTGGTCATAGATTTATGCAGATCTCTTGTTTCCTTCTAAAAAATTGATTTGAATCTAAAAAGCAGGTTAATGCAATTCAATATACATGCACATCTTGCATTAAAACACAATAGTCTTGAGTGCTCTTTACAAAGTAAATCATAAGTTAGTGGGGACATTGGTTTAAGATACCACTGAAGGGCAGTACTGAACCATTTTCTTCACTCACCCAGAACACTTGCCAAGTCGTAGATCTCAACTTCATAATCATTGGACCCTGATGCAAGCCAGTATATCCTCTCTGACTGGTTTCTCTTCACATTCACACCAGTCTCCTGGGATAGACCAGTCATCTCGGATAAAGCGGCATCAGTCTCATGTGATAAATTAACACCAGTTTCCTTGGACAGACTAACAGGTGCATCACCTGCACAGTCTACTGTTGGGCCACAATTGTCTTGATCTTCCTTCTGAGCTTCCTCAGATGCACTTTGTTCCGTTGCGTCCAGTGGTTTGCTTGGTAAAGACTCCTTCACTTCTGATTGGTCAATTTTGAATTTCTCAGGCTCTGATTGGTCAGCCTCTTCATAGTCAGGATACCAGCTTAGACAGTTAATGATCTTACTCTGGACATGGATAGTACACAGGTGATGAAGATCTGGAGAAGCAAATACTTCAATTGATCTAAAAAGACAAGAACATTTTTTAATATGTTTAGTGCTTTTTTAAAAATGTAACATTGACGTCATTTTCAGTCTTTTTTGTTTTTCAGTCATGTAATCAGGAATCCGGATTTACAGCATTGTCAGATGTTTTGTTAGTTACACTGATCATTTTTGTGTAAATTTATTACTATGACTTATAAAAGGAATAACGATGCATAAACAATATGAAAGTACTTACCCATCCTCATTTCCAATGGCAACAGCTCTTCCATCTAATCTCCAAGCAACATCGGATCTCTGAGGTAAAAGATGCTGAGATACAGAAAGAGATCAAGATTTAACCAGAAGATAGTCAAGTAGATAGGGGTGTCAACATGAATTTTAAACTATATATTACAGGGGAATACAGGATCTATCAATACAGTAAGTATAATAACAATTGCTCTGATATACACAGATAAATGACACTACTAAACCTGCTGATCCACCTAACAAATCCCCCACAAAACATGAAATACAGAATTACAATCTGACATGATTACGATCTTGATTGAGCAAATAACAAATGTATACTGACGTTGTACTGGGAAAGGTACAATTTTGATAAAATTACCAATCTTGAAATTTTTAGTGAATTACTCAATATCTTGTTTGTTGAAAAACATTATATAGGTAGTCCAATTCCCATTACGTGGATATATTATACACGATTACAAGACCACAAATATTGTCTTTGGTAATGTTTTTCAATATTTATTCCATAACTAATCATTGTAACTAGTCTAAGACTACATTATTCAGAGCTGCCAACCTCCAGAACAGAAAATCAGAAATCACAAGGCTCAAAATCAGTAATTTTGGGAATAAATCAGTAATTTCCTAAGCAGCGCTATGAATCTAAAAAAAAAAGGCATGCCAACACTGCGTGGACGCATGCGCACATGATTGTTTGAAATTTCTGTGATTTTACTCACACAAAGTTGCTAAATATTAATTATCACGCCATGACAACACATCAGTTTTCCATGAAAAAATGGCTTCTATTTAGAGAATACCACCATACTGCACAGCACTAGCTACGAAAAATCTTCTTTTTTTTCTTTTTTTAATCCATAATTTTAGACAACATTCCTTAATTCTGTAATGATCGTTAATTTCCGTACCAATTACGGAAAATCTGTATTAGTTGGCAGCTCTGATTATTGCACACCTCACCTTATAGTTGTTTGTCTGTTTGATGAGGGTATTGATGTTGGTACTCTCCTGATCTAGCTTAGCAGGGTTATGTTGATAGATTAACCCTTCACCTCCACAGCTGTATACATGGTGGGCCTGGGAATGACTGCCATCTTGGAATGAAACATGAAACAGGTACTTCTTCATACAGCAGTTAAATCGTAACCAAAAGCATGGAATGCCATGCATCTACAAATATCGACGGCCGGCTGGCAGAAGGGCGTTAGCGACTCGAAAACTACTTTTTTAATTTTTTGCATTTAAACATTTGTTTTATATTTAAACTGCTTTCCGTTCAGAAAATTGGTTTAAAACTTAAAAGACTAATAGAAATGTTATAGTAGAACACGGCCACAATTCTTTTTCTTCAGAAATAAGTCAGTTTTATACAAGTTTGTGGTGATTTAGTGCTAACGCCTTTCTGCTTAATATTTCATTTTTAACCTTAAATTCAAGCTAACGACCTTCTGCCACCCAGGAGACGATATATACATGTATGATATATGATTAGGATACATGCCAAGATCAGAAGTTCTAGCCTGTCTACCAGGCAGTTTTGACTGTAAAAGAGTCTGGATGAGGTCAAATACCAACAGAAAGACAAGAATAGTGGGAAATTATTCTGCCTACTCACAACTCTTTACAGCAGTTTCATTTAAAGCAGAGACCCCTATCCCCTTGAAAGTTTTAATTTTTATCATTAACATGTTAACATTGCACTACTGAAAACTGGCATAAACATTAACGAGAGTAATGAAAATAGAGACACAATCATCCACAAACAAAATGAAATATCAATGTTTCAAAACGGATAAGCATGTTAATGCTCTCGTTAGACCTGGGGGGGGGGGGGGGTGTTTCACAAAAATTGTCATCAGTGACAAATGACAGTTGTTGTTATAAGCTACTGAAATCCTTGCTTCTGATTGGTTATCAGCAGATTTGCTACTGATATTTGTCATTTGTCATTGAAAAAAAGCTTTGTGAAACGGGCCCCAGAAATGAAGATGGCATATGCATAAACAAAGGTGTAACACTCAAAAGAACAATAAGTCAGTTATACAGTAGGCTTGTGGGTGCACCATGTGAGAGAGAGGATTGAGGAGTCCTGAAAAGGACTCTCTGTAATCTTTCTTGAGGGTGTGTAGTCCTGAAAAGGACTGTTTGTGTAGTCTTGAGAAAGACTGTTGGTTATCTTTCTTAGCTTATAGTTCTAAGGAGAACAATAGCGCTTGGAGAGGATGAGTGGCGGGAGTGGCGGGAGTGGCTCGACGTTTCGAACAGGTTGACTATCCGTCGTCAGGAGTCAGTCAGTTGAGAATAAGTCAGTTGTATTTAGAGTTTTACCTGGTTTAGGACATGGAGGGCCCCAGCATAGGGAGTAGATCGTCTTCTTGTGAAATGTCCAGAACTGTTGAGGAGGTTTGCTGAAAAGATATAAACATTCAACAAACTTATATCTTGCTTTCAGCATTTTATCATATCAGGGAGGTATACAAAATCAGCTACCTTGTGTCACATATTTTGTATGAACTCTAAAAATGTATGAACTTCCTTCCTTATAAGCATAAGATAAATGGTAGCATTTGGAAAGAAGAATCGTAGAAGTGACTGATGTCTTTTTTTATAAAATTATTTTCCTACAATATCCAGAAGCAAGTATCATATTAAACAAATAACAGTAAATGGGATGCATACTTGGGGACTGAGACATTAAAGATACCAACTCTCCCATCGTCTGTTCCATAGGCCAGTGAATTCTCTCTGACTGGATGCCAACTGACCTGCACATGACAGAAAATTAACATTTACATTGATTTACTGATTTCCAATATGTGTATGTTGCGTAATTCATACAAATTTCATGCTTGATATTAAATTACACTGAAAATGAAAGTCAGAGGAAGTTTAGTTAGGGTGGATTAATGATGACTCAACAAATGGGGAAACTCAGTTAATTTGGTCTTATCTCCCTAGTTTTTGCTTCAAATTCAATGAAGTCTTCTGTATCTGAAACAAGAAATTACCTCCCTTTATTTCTTATTCTCAAATTCAGAATGAAATGATAAATAAGGAGGAGAAATGAGATGAGAATAGAAAAGAAGAGCAAGATTCTAGTTTGTTATGTTTTACCAAGTAATTGCATATATATATTGGAATCAGGATAAGATGTATTCTTACCACTGTGACCTTCGACTTAATCCCCTGCCAAAGTGTGATGACATCATACGTCTTGCCCCGAGCTCCGGTGTTCCAGACTCGTATCATGTTGTCTCCTACACCCAGGGCTAGTCTAGCAGGGTCTAGCGGTGAGGGCGCTATACTGTACACAAAACCACCCAAGGTTGGAAGACTCCATTCTGACTGGAGGGTAGACAGGTTCCAGCAAATCACCTTTAATAAAAGGAGACAGGAAGAAAAGTTCAGGTAATAATCATTTCCCTGATTAGTCATGCAAAGATAACTGATAATGACAAAGTAACTTGCTGCTATATATCAAAATAATATGCATCAATCTAATTAATACCTTTCAATCAAGTCACTAGAAACCTTATATCTTTCAGGTCAATATATGTGTATTTCTATAACTATTTTTTTCCAAATTAAGATTGTTCACATCAAAAGGTAATTTAGATCTTCATCAATCCACACCATTTAAATGACTTTTTCCAAAAGATATATGCAAATAATTGATGATCAAAATGCGTTATTTGTATTAAAGCCCCACTGTCCTACTTGTAGCTACTTGCTCCCTCTATATAGAAAACTTCCACAATCGGTGCCTGTTGGTCCCCCATGATCCTCTTTTTCTTATGTTAGTTGAGAGCTGAGTTAATGAGATAGCCACCTGTCAGTGACCTCGCTGTGTGGTCTATTCCCTTCTGGCCCAGTAGTATTGATGGTCTTTAAAGTATTTAGCTAATGGAGCATATATTTGTAGTTTATAAAGAAGGAAACAATGATTCACCTGTCTATCCATAGATGTAGTGATCACTCTGTCAAGGTCACCTTGTCTTCCGTTGATGTTGAAGACGGATCGTTGATGAGTAGAATCCCCTGGTCCTCCAAGGATCTCCCATCTAGGTTGGCTTGGTTTGCTTAGGTCCCACAGGATCACATCACCACTAGAAACAAAATATTGAGTGATGAGTTGGTTGATTAACAAACTGACTGAATGGCAGATATACTTCTGGATTGATTGATGGATTGATTAACTGAATAATGGACAGATTAATTAATCAACTGATTTATTGGGAAATTAAGTAACTGACTTTAACAAAACTATCTGCAGAAAAATATATGAAAGTACTCTCCTACAGGAATGGCTCACAATTTTGTACCATTAAGCATCTTTACTCTAAATGATCATTTCAATTTAAAAAATAATACATTGTAAAATAAAAACTATCTAATAAATTTTTTTTTCACCTGAATATATATCTACTGAAGAAGATGTCAGGAAAAGAGATCTGTTAATTTGGATTAGGAATGTATATGATGCCTTATACTATGGAGGCATAATAAGAGATACTTTCAAGGCTCAAACTTATTATTTATCATACTGGTATCATATTTGGATCTCAACATACATTGTGTCACTAGCTGACCAGTGCTTTTACCCACTTACCCATGTGAGCTTGAAACAAGTTGTGTAGGTCTATCCTGAGGCCAGTACAATGAAATCCACACCCTTGACTTCATGCCCCCTTCATCTCCTCTATCTCTAGTTCGTTGACCTCCCCCTCCCCTTGGAGGAAGGTTCATGATCTTTAGAAGCTTACCCTGACCTGTGCTCCACATACGAATGGTCTTGTCTCTACTCCCTGGTATGATGAAGATCAGAATGGAGAATACTTTAAAGGCCGGCTGCACTAGTTTAACCAGATGGGATTAGACCACCCAGCTAGCCAGCAAGTTCACTGTGACAGGTGGCTATATCATTAACTCAGCTCTCAATTAACATAAGAAAAAGAGGATCATGGGGGACCAACAGGCACCGATTGGGGAAGTTTTCTATATAGAGGGAGCAAGTAGCTACAAGAAGGACAGTGGGGCTTTAAAAGGTTCTTCTTGTATTCAAAGGCAGATTCATGAGTTCTCTTGTATAGCATTGTATGGGTTAAACCTTTGATATAATATATGCATGTTCTCATATACACATAAAAGAAACTTGTAAATGTTTACACCAGGCCCATTGTAATCCTCACTAATTCTAGGAAAGGTTCTACCTCATTTCTGGAATTAATATATACAGGGTATATCTGAAGACAAATAATAATTCCACCCTATTTAGTTTTCTTTTTGCTTCATCAGATAAAATGCAGGAGGTGAAATTTACAATCCTACAGTATTGTTTGTTTGATTTACCCGACTGCTAAAAAAATCATGTGTGTGCTTGTAATTAAGCAACCAGGGCAGCGTTTCATGAAACCGTCAGAAGTAAAAGTTCACCGACATCCCATTGAAACGTGTGTTGGACCAAGAAGTTACCAGCTGGTAACTTCTTGGTTAAACTTAATACACGCATTTCAATGGGATGTCGGTGAACTTGTACTTATGATGGTTTTGTGAGATGCTGCCCTGGGGACTGACGACTTTAAGTCCTGTACGAAGGACTTGGTAATGAGGATTAATAACTTATCAAAGGACATTAAGGTATCAAAAGTAATTTACAGGAAACTTTCATTGCTTGGAGTTATCACAACAAGAGGTTCAAGCTTCCTGTTAAAGAGACAGCTCTAACATTGTAGAAAGAATGATAGATTTGAAAGAATGCAGTCTTTAGATTAAATACCTGCCTCATTCAGCAGTGCACATAATACTGGATGGGATGGTGTGCCTATTATTGACTTGTGTGTTGGGAACACATTTATGGCATAGAAAGGTGAAAGAATCCATCTGGATTCAAAGGATTAATCCTTCACTGAGTACGGACTCTGGCTTGTCACTGTCACCTATCTGTGCTCTAGTGATCTTGAGGCAGCAGACAGCAAGAAACCATGTGACAAATCTCTTTGCTTGAGAAAAACCACAGGAGAGAGTGAAAGCTTGCCTACTAAATCTAGTTTAAAGGTGGATAGAAATCTTAAACTTTAGTTCACAGTAAAAAGTGAATTGCTCAGAGATGAAGAGTGACATGTTGTGATAACAGGAAAGGGTGCTTTTCAAATTTTCATCTTTACCTGAAACAAGGAGGCATCCAGGTTCTGCTGGCTTGTCAGCATCTTCATCATCTGGTTTGTTCTTCAGGAATGCATCTTCACCAAGGAATAGAGCCCAAGTCAAGGACTGAACCTCATCATTATGACCTCTTAGATTGTGAAGAATCTGATTCTTCTTGGAAAGTGCATCAACAATGAGAATCTTCCCATCTTTGTACCTGATAGATACATAGACAGAATTAGCTCATTAGATTGTATTATATAACCCAATTTCTATATCTTACAAGTTTGTCATTACAAATGACCAAAATTAACATGCATTTCAGTGGAGGATTATTGAGTTAACTACATTTTGAGGACTTTTCTGAAACTTTAACTGATATGTTTCCCTGTGTTTCCTTCTTCCCGCCAAACCAACTATCTATGAAGATTTGATTGATCATGAAGTGAATGAAGTTTGAATATGAATGTGATAGAAGGTTCGAGAGTTCAAGATAGAATACGTACCCTAGAGCAACAATTCTAGAGTCATGAGGGCTGCAGGCTAGGCTGTAGATATAACCTTTATCAGGTCTAAGCAGCTTTGCATCATCTTTCTTTGAAGATTTGATGTCCCAGTAGATAAGACAGCCTTTCTCATCTCCAGCTACAACGATGTCAGGATTAGCCCTTGACCAATCCAGTGATGTGATTTTATTCTATATTGAAAAAAAAGAAATCCAAACTCAAAGTCCGTTGTGACCTTTTCTATGGATGTAATCAAACACAATAATTTTGACTTCTTCAATATAGGCTACCATATGTATATTTTTGACTCTTCTGTTTAACAAATTGATTTTTTTTTAAAAACTCTACAATTAAGACTTTGATATTTAACCACTCGTCTGTCGACAGTGATTGGCCATTGCACCTAAAATTTTAAACTCATATTTAGCCTCTCTGAAATTATGTAATCACGGTAATACACTAGTGTCTATATTTAAAGTTTCATCATCGATTCTGAAATTTTTAATGAGAAATCAACAGTTTGAAATTTTGAAACTTTGATTTTGTTTGACTTTGTCTTTGAAGACAAAAAAGCTGGTGAGTGACTGCCATGACTTAGAAATTAGAACAAGACAAGTTTGCTTTACCTCTTGGCATTTCTTCTCGATTAGAACAGACTTGCTTTTTGTGTCCCAAATCTTGATGACTCCATCGTCTCCAGCACTAGCACATAGTCGTGTGCCTCCATCCCCGGTGGCTCGGCAGTAGGCGACAGACGTCACTCGTTCTGTGTGCCCACTCAAATTTCCAGCAAATGTCGGAGGGGAAACAGTCACATTAAGAAGCAAAATTGATGATTTTGTGGCAAAAGCAAAGATACCGTCTTCACTACAAGAACTAGCACTTGGTAAATACCAATTAGGTGATGGTGGTAATATTTCAAACGCCATTTAAAAGGTTAAACAGGTTAATTCATCCTGCGAATAATCTCTCTCTGTTGTTGTCCCTCCGCTTTTCGGATCATGTGTGGGAAGTAGACTCCATGGGGGCTGCCATCTTGAGGCTCTTTCAGTAATATCTACAAAATCATTTAAAAAATCTTTATTTATGTTTATTATTGTCAAAAAATCAAACATTAAAATATCATAATATTTTTAAATAATTATGAAAGGATAATTTAATTACTCTGAAGTGTATTTTTATTTTTGAAGATAAAGATTATTTTTGTAAACTCAACTGGCAACGAAGAAATCGCAAAGTTCCATTACTGTGCCGGGAATTACGAAGTGATGGTTGCTCCTCGATTTGAAGCAGCTTGCTGAAAGCTTTGAAAAGCATTGTTAAATTCATCAATTCTGTTTTATCTTACTATTTATTTCAATTAGAATTTATTATAATTTTGATTAGAGCAGTTGCCAAAACTTAACTGTCATGGCCTTGTTCGGGACGACAGCGTCAACGGTATCTACATCGCCATCCATCGGAGAACTCTGGGCCCGGGCGGCGGCGGCGAGCAGATTCAGAGGTTTCACTCCGCCCGGCCCGAGCTAGGCCTTTGTCTTTACATTGGCAATTTGCTTTTACCATGGCCATTGTCATTGACTTTGCATTGGCTTGTCTTGTCTTCAGTCTTTCATCATCATCATCATCATCATCATCATCAATCATCATCATCATCATCATCATCATCATCACCATCTCTCTCTTGTATCCTTCCTCCGCTCAGGTCGGAGATCGTCGGCACTGTCACTGTGAGTCTGCCGAAGTGACATAAATGGCTTTCTATAGGTCGTTAAGTATAGGTCGTTAAGATCATCATCATCATCATCATCATCATCATCATGATTGTTCGGGACAACAGCGTCATCATCATCAATCATGATGATGATGATTGTTCAGGACGACAGCGTCAACGGTATCTACATCGCCATCCATCGGAGAACTCTGGGCTCAAGCGGCGAGCAGCATGCAGAGTTTTCACTCCGCCCGGCCCGAGGCCGAGCTAGGTCTTTGTCTTTGCAGTAGCAATTTGCCTTTACCATGGCCATTGTCATTGACTTTGCATTGGCTTGTCTTGTCTTCAGTCTTTGCAATACTGCTCCAATTCTTGCATATTAGAATAAGGAACTTGTGCCAGTTATGGGAGTGTCCATGGTATGTGGTTGCAATGCCGAGGGGCTATGTCTGATTATGAAATCTTTTTGTGGTTTGTAGAGTGAGTGGAACTGAGCAACATATTCAATAATAAGCATCATATACAATATTAAGCAGTCCTTCTTTCCCAGGACTGTGAGGAGTTGGAACACCTGCCATCAGGAACAGTATGTGCCACATCCGTGAATGCTTTCCGTGAATGTCTGACGGGAGGCCACAACTAAGTCCGGGAACTTTTTACTTTCACCATGTCAATAGCATTGCACCATTCACCTGGCTCTTGTAAGCACACACACACACTCATGCATCAGTCTGCAAGAATCTTCAACTATGAAGGAGGTAGACTTAACCCAAAGAAGAAGAAGAACATCACGATCACCATTCGGCAATGTAGGCACTACTTTGCTACCTTGAATGAAGCACTGCGTTCTTGAAGTGCTTGCCAGTGCAGGTGTTGAAGAATGGTTGTAACACTACTTGATCACTGACATTCATTGCAGCATTGCAGCATTGTGTCATTTCTAGCTTGCTTATGTTGTCTTGAGTGAACGGTGCACACATATTCCATGACAGGGCGTACTAGTGTCTTATACTTGTACTAGCACAGCTCCTTTGTATTTCGTGGGCAAGACTGTATTTTATGTCATAAGTAAGCACTGGTGGAAATTTGGAATACCGGTAGATCTACTGAAATTTTCTTTCTGTGTAACAACATTTCATCTTTCTGTTTTACAGACCATGTTTCATTCTAGAGCAGGGAGGGGTAGAGATAGCAGTAGTAGCAGCAGTACAAGAAGCTCCTTCCATACTGCTAATGATAGCTTGGAATCTGAAGATGAGATCAAAACCATCATAGCATCATCTTCATCAGAAGCAGCTGAGATACCATCTCTTGTACTGGGTCAAAGGTCATACTCCTCTGGAAGGGTAACATCAGGCACAGTTGAAGAAGATTATGAAAGCCACTATTCAACAGCAAAGTCTTCATTTGGTAATGAATTAGTACAGAACATTAATGTCTGTTGTAGAACTCAGTATCTTATTATGACAGGTTGGTTATTCAGACAGTTGAATTCCAAACTGCATTTCAAAGATGTTTACGTGCAATATTATGATAGTGTTATGTGATGCACATTATTTGTTGAATCCAAAGCAAAAAGTGACGGCTTTAGTTTTATTAATCATCTAGACATATAACCCCTATGATACTTTCCATTGCAGTTTTGAAAATAATGCTGAACATTTCATCTTCTATTTCTTTTTCTATCTCTTCTATTTGTTCTCATTCTAGACATTTTTCATTGATCTATATTCTATAATATAAAATTTTACATGCACTGATATTCATTATTTTGCTGTTTGTATTTGTAATTATTTCCAATTTATGATGTATATTTCAAAATGAATATGTAAGGTGTAAGCCTTAATGTATAATTCTTTGTAAGTTATTCCATTAAATATGTATAGGTAATTACAATTTAGAAAGCACTGTTGTTTTTCACACAGATTCCAGATACAGATCAGATACATTCTACACAGCTACATCCCATAGTGGAAGAAGAGATAGCTCTTCACTCTACAGCAGTGAGTTTGAATCAGATGATAGTGTATCTCTCACTGAAAGCAATGTGGTATGTTTCTTTCCTTCATTCTTTTTGTTTACCGTTTTGGGGGTGGGGTTCAGGTGTAATTTCTTGCCATTCTATTCATGCTCTGTGTTATGATAAATGTGACACTAAAATGATTTGTTGGGCTGATTTTTTTTTTTATTTATTTATTTATAACACATCTTTAAAAAGAAGGGTAGCCCAATCAGCAAACAAATACTGGTTTTCGTTGAGGCCCTTCATGACACAAACAAGTATATACATTTCATCAACATATCAAAATATAAATAAATATAGAAAATTACAAAATTCGATTTTAACAAACAAAAAAAATTGCAAACCAGGTTATAAATAAGGATTTGATTATAAAGAATAACGAAATGATTAAAATGTATATGATACAAATATAAAAATATAAATAAATATAGAAAGTTACAAAATACGATTTTAACAAACTAAAATTGCAAACCAGGTTATATAAAAGGATTTGAACATACAGAATAACGAAATTAGTAAAATGTATATGATACAAATATGTAAATGCCATATATCCTATTGAAGCAAAAAGTAAAAAGTTATTAAAAAAAAAAAAAACAACAACAACAACAACAACAACAACAACAACAACAGCAACATATAACCACAATAACAAACCAACAAGAGAAAACAAGAAGAAGATATGATAAAATATATAAAAAGAGGAGAAAAAGAAGAGTTATATCATACCATAATCATATTAAAATGTGGATGTCTTTTGCCATTTTGCCAATTCTTGTTTAAATGGTTTCATATTTTTTATAAATCGAATACGTTCGGGTAATTTATTCCAGTTTGATGGACCTGTGACAAGAAATGACTTCTGATAAAAGGTCGTACGAACATGTGGCATCCTAATTAGCATCTTATTTGTGCTCCTTGTTGTTCGAGATGATATCGCTTCAATATAAATAAACTTATCACCTAGTACTTCAGGTGCAGCTTTATGTAAGCATTTATGAATCATGCAACAAGATGCTCTAAAAAACAGATGATCTACTTTCGGCCAGGATAGAATTTCAAACACTTGTTCAGATGGGGTTTCCCAGGAAAAACGAGATATCATATATGCTGCCCTCTTATGTAATCTTTCCAGTTTACTATGGTTTGCTTCAGATCTCCCAGACCAAACGGTACAACAGTACATTAAATGGGGCACTACAAAAGCCCAGTACAGTTTGTTCAATTGTGCTTTATCAAAATAATGTTTACATCGACGAATAGTTCCTAATTTCTGTTTCACAGTTAAAGCAATACTTTCGATATGTTTTTTAAAGTCAAGACTGTTATCAATTATAACTCCCAAACATTTATATGTATATACACATTCCAATTGGCATCTATTTAATTCAATCGACAGCATACTGTTATCTAATGATCTAAGCTTTTGCTTTGATCCTAGCAGCATCGTTTTGGTTTTATCACTATTCAAAATCAACTTATTTTTATTCAGCCAAGAATTCAGTTCACCAAGAGCTTTTGTCAGTTTGAGTTCTACCTCTTGCTTAGTTTTTCCACATACAGAAATAGTAGTATCATCCGCATACATATAAACAATGCCATTTGAGATGGAACATGGGAGGTCATTAACGAATAGAGTAAAAAGGAGCGGGGCCAGGATGGACCCTTGTGGAACTCCCATTGTTATATTTCTAAATGTTGATTTTTCTTTCCCTAATGAGACAAATTGTTGGCGATTTTTCAAGTATGATTCAAACCATTTAATTACATGCGGAGAGCAACCATATTGATGTAATCTATTTAAGAGGAGAGAGTGATTGACTGTATCGAATGCACGTCGGAGATCTATAAAAGCTACACCATTTAGATACCCTTTGTCTACATTGACTGACCACTGGTTAACCATGCACAATAGGGCTGTTTCACATGAGTGCTTAGGACGAAATCCAAATTGGTTCTTATAAAATAGATTATGCTGAGACAGATATTCAAAGATATTTAAATAAACTGCCCTTTCAATTATTTTAGATAAAATCGGCAATATAGACACGGGTCTGTAGTTTTTCATTATGGCTGTATCCCCTCCTTTGGGAATTGGTTGGACTCGGGCTATCTTCCAAGCATCAGGGTATACTGAAGAATGCAAAGACAAATTGAGTATATATACTAAACTTTCCATTACATGAGGAATATCACAGATATATTTCAGTATTTTAACAGAGAGTTCATCATACCCAGTTGCTTTTTTGCAAGTATATGATTTTATCTGTTTGATGACGAAATCTATCGAGATATTTGAAAAGTAAAGTAAATCACCGTTTGTTTGTTTTTCCAGATTTTCTTCAAGTGATTCACATCTCTTAATAGTTTCGGTCTCGAGCTCAAAACCTTTAGTGAGTTCAGAAACGGAGTCAACAAAATACGTATTAAAATATTCAACAACCTCCTTTAAGTCTGAGATTTCAACATCGTTTACATTCTTTTCAGAGCAGATGTATCAGCATGTTGTACACAAAATTCGAGGGTGATAATACCTGAAGATGAACACAATCCTCAGAATGATAGCTTTTCTCTCCAGGACTCTTTAAATTTTGATCAAAATATTTTTCTTTAATTAAAACGTCCATAAATAAAAATTCAGGGGCTGATTGAATGACAGCTTGCATACTCTTTGTTACAGGAGCAAGAATTTGAGAATGACGAGGATGCAGAGAAACATTTCTTAAAAGCCAAGCTGAAATCACTGAGGAGAGAGAAACAAGAGATCCGTGAATTGAAACCCGAAGGAGATAAAGAATTTGATGCAGAGATGAATAAGTTTGTTAAGATACAACTTGCTACCCTACTACATAGAAGAAAAAAGGGTACCGGTATGTATAATAATTGCTCTTTTTTCATTGAAATGGTAATAATTGTAATAAGGAATGTTTTCTAAAAGAGAGAGTGAAAATTTACATACCTAACAGGAAAGCTTAAAACATGTTCTGGGAAATGAACAGAAACTGGTAATGTGTAGATATTTCTCAAATTTTTGAAAGAAAATTCCTTGATTAGTGTGTACAATATTCCATGATGTTGTCCTTTTAAACAAGGGTTGGTCCAAATCCGAATCCAATATTATATTACCCAGCAAATAGAACCTTGAATTTCACTGCAAAATATTTCGAAAACATTTTGGTTATAATACCATATAAAGCGAGGGTTTACATCAATAACCCACTACTTGTAACGGCCAAAATTAAACTGATTCAATCTTTGTACGGCACAAAACTACAACCATCTGACTATTACTTAGGTGATTGCAATCTGGTATGTCGATTTGACAACTAATGGTCATTATTATCCCACAAAAAGCCATTTCCAATTCATTTCGTTTTGAGGGAAGTTCTAAATAAGTATTGTCTTTGAAATGACGTTGGAAATCAACCTTTTCATTTTTTGACCTGCAGATGGGCCATAGTACCTTTAGTGGACTGTGAATTGTATATTTTGATTTTACATGTTTATTTCTTTTTAGCTTTAGTCAAGCCTCCAAGAAGCTCAGACACAACAAAAGACAAGAAGAGTTCAAAGCAAGGCAAAGGTTCTCAAGTCTCTTCTCCCTTGATACCGTGTGGAGTAGTCGAAAGGCTCAGGATACAAAACTTATTACACAGCATGAAAAGGGTAAAGTGAAATGCCTTTTTTTGTTTCCCTTGAAAAATGGTTCTCATTGAAACATATACAGTTAAACCTTTCTATAAAGACCACCCAAGGGAGACAAGGAAAGTGGTCTTTATGTGCAGGTTCATTTAGTACATGTTTCAATGAGAACCATTTTTCGAGGGAAACAAAAAATGTGGTCTTTACAGGTAGTTACTAAAGCAGGTTTGACTGTATTAATAAGGGTTATTCAAGAGAATCATCAGGAAAAGGTGTTTAACACTTACTGAAGTACACATGCCAAATGTATAAATATTTAATTTCATTCTGTATAGAGTGGTGAAGTGTGACGTCATCAAAAATCTATTTTTAGAATTTCCTAATGGTTAGGAGCCAGAGCATATAACACTGAGTTCCTATACGAAATATATTCATTCAGATGGTCATATCTCAGCCAATACTGTACTTAACATATTCAATTGGTTTTCGACATTTGGACATTATTTTTGATGCTTTTTCGGAAAATGAAGACAAAATTGAGAAATTCTAAAATAGATTTTTATGACGTCACAGCTTCGGTACTCTATATCCATGTGGATTTAATAAATAAAGAAATATTTTGTGAATTCTTTTCCAGGCATCTCAAGCACCACTTCATGAGATTGACAAGTGTGAAAGTTGCAGGTAGGATGAAAATAACATATTATTTGCATGCTTTGCAACATCTGAACAATAAATATGTATAGAACAGTGCATCTCCAATTTCTGACTGCTATTAAAAGCATGAATGTAATAATCAATCTAAAATTGATGGACTTTTTTTTTTTTCTTTCCTGTATGTGTGTGTTTTAGGGGTAGGCTTTCATATAAGGAATCCCTCCTTTCTACCTATCTCACATGCTCTCATAAATTGCCATTGTTATTTGTTATCACTATCTTGTTTTTTTAATCATTCCATTCTGTATTTGTATGTTTTCATGAAGAGTGTTAATAAACTTTGAATTTAATTAAAGACAACCATTCTGTTTTAGAGATTTAATTAAATAATGGAATTTTGTTTTTGCCTAATAGCTGCTCTAAATTTATTTGACTGTTTCTTGCCCTTGAAATAGAAAAGTTGCATTCTAATGGAGGAAAGTAGTTTCAATTGTTTGAGTTCTAAATCCAACTTAAGACACATTGATCAATATCACTAAGGCAAAGCTCCCACCGCTCTCTCATCACTCAACATTGCACTGCAAGACATGCTCCACTAGCCCAGAGCAAAAAATGAGGCTATTTACAATGCTTCTGCTTCACAACCATTAAATGATCTCCAAAGATTTACTCCCTTGTTTATGGAAAGTTTTCAAGGATTCTCCAAAAACACTTTTATTGATTAGGGACATTGACTTTTATTTATTGCTAGAAAAGCTGAATGTTATAACAAACTACAAAATCATTTAATATGAGTAAGACTGCAATATTGATTAATTTGTTATATTGAATTGTACAACATTTGTCTAATCTGATCATAGGAAGGTGAAGGAGTCAGTGATGGAGAAAGACTTCATGAGATCAAAGCACAGACACGTGTACAACCAACTAACAGAAGAGAGATACAGACAACATATCGTTAACCATGTAAGAGCGGTTTAGTTACTGTGAATCATTACTTGTAAAACTGCCTACTAATTGATTGTTCACATTGCAATGCTAAAACGTTTAAAACTCAATTTCAGGGAGAAAGATTTCAGTGAGATTTCAAGATCATTCTGTTTTACTGAATCACCCCTGCCATCCAAATAAAAAATATATTAAAAAATGATAATAAAAACTATAACCAAATAGATAGATATGCATACCGGTAGCTGTACATATACAATCATAGTCTGTTATATTCCACATCGGACTGAAATTTAGCTGCTTCATGAATAAAACAACTTAAGTTCTAAACATGTAAGTCAATTGGAAATCTGTCATAGTATTATATATATGAATTTCATATTTCTTTTAGTTGTTTGTGTCTTTGGCAAGACATTGATCTACAATTGCCACACTCCGCCCAGGTGAAGTAAATGGGTACCTGGTAGGAATTTATTCCTTGAAATGCTAGAGCGCCGTATGGCAGCCGTGCTAAAGCCAGGGTAATAATCGGGAGCGCCAGGAGGGTCAAATCTGACTGACATGAGCGCTATACAATAACCCATTATTATTATTATTATTATTTTATAATTGTTTAAACAAGAATGAGACAAGGCCATCTATCTTTACCCTTCACATGAAATGCTCCCATTCTATTTTTTTTCCTTTCAACCTTTCCTTTTCTTCTTTTTTCTTTTGATGTAGGATCCACTCAGTGAGATTGGTAATCTGGCATCTGCATTGCCTAAACTCAGCAGTGATCCAAAGGAGATATGGAAACAGCTCATGCAGAATGGTATTACTTGAATGCATCTAACTCAGAGGCCAAAACAAAGTTTCCTGGATAACTTTCCCAGATGTTTACTGCACAATATTGTTGGACACATAAGCATGTTGATGTTTTGTGTGTGGAAACTCATACAGAATAAAGTTCAAGTCTCTCTGCAGCTGCGTGCAATGAACAAACATTTAGTATTGTTGAAATGTGTAATATGAATGTAGTGACGTAACAACTTCCTTCCATACAGCCAGATTTTCTAATTGCCAATGAAAATGAGTCATAATGGATATGAAGGGCAACATATTTTTTATTTCATTTTGTGTCACTACTGGTTTCTTTTAATTTAGAGGCTTGAAATAGATTTATGCCAATATCTTATGATATTTTATTTTTTCAAAAATAAAGATAATACAAATATACATAGAGTAAGCGTACTTCTTTCTTGAGGCTAATTCGGACCAAATTTTCCCTACTGATTCTTTTAGTAATCGGGTATTTAATGATGAAAAAATGGCAGTGTATGTTATTGCTCAATGTGCATGAGTTTGTTTTTAGAAGCAACTGTCTTTATTTTGTCTCACTTATTTTATCCCAAGATAAGCTAAAAGTGTGAAAGATAGATAAAGAGTGTGAAAAATAGATAAGAATGTGAAAGAACAGTATAGAGTGTGAAAGAGTATGAAAGATAGATAAAGAGTGTGAAAGAACAGTAAAGAGAGGCCTGAAGAAAAGAATGAACTGCTGATCTGAGAGAGATAACTACTGAGGGAGAGCAGTAATTTGGTAAAATATATTGTGAGAGGCAGAAGGAGAAAGGTTAAATGAGAGACAAAAAAGAGAGCTACACGGAGAGATGGACGGAAATATAAACCAGATAAGCTAAATTTAAAATTCAGATGTACTTCAAAATTTGCTCACCAACCTAACCTCTATTCCTCTCCCCCACCTTTCCCTTGCTCTTGTTACACTATGAACATGACTGACAAAGAAGGCGAACAAAATACACAGTTTCTCAGGTAGACAAAGGAACATCCCTTCACTGCTATTATGTAAAAATTTGTAGAACGGGTGTCACATGCATATTCACCTTTTTACATAATAGCAGTGAAGGGATGTTCCTTTGTCTACCTGAGGAACTGTATATTTTGTCCGCTTTCTTTGTCTGTCATATTCATAGTGTTACCTTCTTCTCATATCTCTCTCTTCATATATCTACTCTGCCCTCACATTTCTTGTCTCTTCTTTTTTTCTCCCCTTTTTTTTTGTTTGCCTGCCTCTCATTTTGCCTATTTCTCCATTGCCTTCCCTTCCTCACTCTGTCTCCTCTCCCTCTCTCCCCTGTCTCTTTCCCTCCTCTCTCTTTCCTCTCTCCTTGTCTCTTCTTTCTGTTATCACTTATGTGTGAGGTACAATTCATTTAATGTCTGGTATATACCAATATTTTTGTTCATAAATATAAACATGTTTGGACAATTGATGAATGAGTGTATTATGCTTCAACTATAAAGTGCATTAGTTTTACTTTCATAATTTGTTTATCAACGTATATCATACGAGCCTTGATCTCACTTTAATGGGCTATCTCACCATTTTACCATCCAATTTACAAGTTGTTGGGTTCTATGTGCTCATGTTCCATGATTAAACTAATGCACTTTTAAAATAAAAATAAATTAGTCGGATGATGGATAAATACTCTCTGTTTTGCCAAGCAGAGATTGTAGTCACAGTGACAGTCACAAAACACCATGCATTACACCAAAGTTCATGTAATGTATCAAAATAAAAATCTTTTATTGATAATGGTCATATCTTAATGGACAAGACATCTCGAAATGTAATCAGGAATTCTAATGAGTAACAAACAGAAAATCGCAAACACAAAACAGTAATTAAAAAAACATTATGTAGTTAACTTTGTTTGCTATTATATACTTCATGAGCTTTATCTTAAATTAATATTTCTTTCTGGATAATTTGCTGGAACTGAAAATATCTCAAATTAATATTCCTTTTCAGATGATTTGCTGGGACTGAAAATATAAAAACTTTCTTTCAATTTTCCAATTTTGCTGACAATCAAGGCCAAGGTATCATAGAAAGATAGGGAATAGTTGTAAGCTCCTGATATAAAATTATATTCAATGTATGTGACCACCATAGCAGCATAGAAAGATTCTACAGTCAGAACTCATGAAACTCATTCAAGCATGGCAATAATAAAGATGACTTGTCAAAATTCGAGGTAAGCAATAGTGGCATACATATGTTAAAATACTGTCAAACAAGAGGAAACAATAAAAGAATATGATCTATTTACAATTTATAATATTGTTATGCCTTCTATTCACATCATATACAATGGAGAAAGAGGGAAGTCTATAACTCAAATCAAAAGTATCAAACCTCTTTCTTGCCTTTCACAATTAAATTGCATTAGTATAATTAGAAAATTCCATCCTTTTCAATACTACCATGAATTGAATGCACAAGTAATTAGGCTAATGAAGGTATACTTTCATTAAAAGACTCTGCTAGTGAGAATGAGATCTACAGGTCAAAGGCCAAATAACATTTGCAAAATATAACAACAGAATTTTTTCATCACAATAAGAATAATTTTATTCATATTTCCAACATAATCAAAATATAAACAACCATGGTAAAGATTACTGGCCCAACAAATGATGACTTAACAGAATGAAACATTAATAGCAAAAGAGAACAACTAATATTGCATAAATTGGAATTGGTATATAACCCTTTAAGAACATGAAATGGGAATTTAAGGGAAAATAATTGCACTTAGGGTAAGGGTAATAGCACCATTTTCCACAAAACAACATTTTGGCACATAGATATTTGAGTCTGCCTTCGGCTTACACTGAATATATTAGTAGGATGAACATAAAATACATTAATTTTTTTTCTTTTCCAAAAGTGCAATTCTTTGACACATGTTGAAGTTCATATTTGTTTGATTTATTTACCTGTGCAGCTTTTCTTTAAATACAAGACAGGTTAGGTCACAAATATTTGGAAAAACAATTATCTCTATCGGTTTCTGAGGCAAATATTGAATGCAGCACAAATATAATCTTACAAAGTTCACATGAAATATCAAAGATGGACATGATACAGTGGTAAATGGAATCGATGGATAACAAATATAACACTAAAACTGGTGGGTTGTGACCTATGGAACTTTCAGCCTTGTCAGTTTGGGAATATATCTAAAACATAAAAAGAATTGTCATAACTTGGAAGAAATAAAATTTGTTTTTTATGAAATTCTTTTCGTTAAACTTGTAATGAGGAGCATTGAAGATAGGCAAGATGTGATATGGATGGCAGTAAGATGACAGAGATTAATATCTCTGGTATACATGAATACATCTATCAGATATGTGCTTCAACCTCATCCTTAAATTGGCAAAGCATAATCAAATGCAAAATCTATACTGCTATATTTAACCAACAAGCAGGGTTTCTGTATTAGTCAATATCATGTATTACAATTCAATTTCAATACAAGATAATGATATCTGAGATAAATTTGTACAATGAAAGAATAAGAAAATGGTGTTGCCAATTTAAAAGGTATTGCTGATTCTGTCAGCTCTTTAAAATGATTATCCATGATGCAAGCCTTCTCCTTCGCAAAGTAAACATAAAAGCTTCTATTTACAATGAATAAATTTAGACATGGCAAAAACACAAGACACAGAAATCTGGATTTATCATAGTAAACAGAGTTTCACATATATACATAGACATACATTACATTCCATATTTGTGTGACAGATATTACTAGTCTGAATACTAAAGTGTACTACTACATTACACTTGTTTAATACTACATAAATATTTACACATGTTAAACTTCTGGCTATGTATACGGTTACACTACCGGGTAATAGGGGAATTCCCTTTACCAGATAATAAGGGAAATCCCCTCAATTCAAACTCTCTAAAGCATATCAAGAAATTCACAACTTCAATCTGTAAGATTGGAAATTGGAAATTCTCTTTCAACTAGTATAGCACAGACAAATTATCGATAGCATGAAAATCATGCACATATTTCTAATATATAAAAAAGAATAAAACATGCACTATTAATTCATAGGATTGGTCTAATTAACATTTTAGTAATTAAAATTTGGCGTTTGGTATTCTTAAAAGTAATATTATCACCATGCCAGTTATTTAGAGATGATTTAATATTAAATGAATTATTCTTAATTAAAAATTACCAGAAGTAATATTTCCACAAATGTGTTATTAGCTTTATTGAAGTATCCATCAATAATTTAAATATTAAATGAATAAAACCACATTTTCCATGTATCTCACATAATATTCAATCAATTTCATGATTCTTAGATTGTTTTAGGGTGTGAACAAGATATCGAAAATGATATTAATCAAATAAATTTCCATGATTAAAGGGAAAACTACAATCTCTAATCATAATCACCTACATTATTTTGAGAGAAATCAAAAGTCTAACAAGCCATGTACTCTGGTAACATTAAATGGCATTTATTATTTTTCTAGTTATTTCTTTTTATCTAGGCAGTCCAGTGTAAGGCAAATATAACTATAATATAACAGTAGCACCATTTTTGTATAATTCCTTCCGGCATGTAGCACATGTTTGATGAAAATTTATAATATTTAATTTCTTATTTCTCTCTTTCTCACCTGACATCTGTTTTTCTCACTTTTACAGTCTAACACACGCTCTCTCTCTCTCTCTCTCTTTCTCTTTTTTCTCTCTCTTTCTCTCTCTCTCTCTCTCTATCTCTCTTTCTTTGTCTCTGTCTCTCTCTCTCTGTCTCTCTCTCTGTCTCTCTGTCTCTCTCTCTCTCTCTCAGTTGCTCTCTCCAATACAGGAGTACCGAACTGAGACACATTAATGAGGTATATACACAAATAGATACAGCATTCACATTTTGTACACAATAATACACAGGATAATAGAAGATACACCGACCAATATACAATAATAAACTCACCTCCTATCGTGTCAAAATAAAGGCACCTTCTTACAATCTCTTTTCTAGTTATTGCTCTTTTAAAGAATTTTTAATCCATGTCATTATTCTTTCTGGTTACTGTTACGGGAAGAATTGATCATATGTATTACCAACCTTTACAAATAATGATGTTCCAAGTCTTCTGGGTTCAAAAGATAAAAGAACTGATGCTTTGCATATCACTGACATCGTGTCAAATCTCTCCAGATCTAGTGTCACTACAGTTAAAGGTCTATGATGGTGAGCTCTGACTGTCTGTCTCTCTTTCCATTCAATGTCATTACTCTGTGATAGTTTATATATCACTGTCCATTGGTACCTCTTGGCCAAAACAGTGAAGTTTCTTTGTGCAGTGCCACTTGCATGACTTTACTGTATTCTGGAGGAGGTTCATCATTGACGTCTGACCCATAGCCACCTGATCTGAACCCACTAGATGAGTCTGATGACACTGATTCTTCACTCTTACTGGTGCTGTTATTGCCATGGTTATGATGATGATGATGGTTAGATGAGTGATGGTGGTGATGATGATGATGGAAGACTGGGTTGGTCATTGTCTGCTGAAGGCTGTCCAGTGCCGACAAACTGTTAGGTCTGTGCAACGGTAACCTTGCTGATGTCGTTGACGACTTTGTGGATTCTCCTCCCGTATCATCCTCCTCATCACAGGGTTCTGATGATGAGATGTCCGTGAGGCTAGCATGGATGGATGATACTGTCCTTCCCTCTAAGCTGGCACAGACTGGTCTCTCATCCTCAAGCTGGAAGGTAGATGATGTACTTGGATGGTTGGGCTGATAACCTGAAGTACTTGGTAATGAGATATCTGCTTCCACCTGAAGGGCATCCTCTCCCAAGGTCACCTGACCGTCATGTGATGTGGATGCATCTTCTTCTTCGTCCTCATTGTAGAATGATATCGGTCTTGATGCTACCTGCTCATCATATGCACAATCAAGATCAAGGTACTCCTGTAAGAAGACAAGATAGGAACAAATGTCTAAACATCCAGACAGGGCCATTTTCTCTACATCCAGGGCAGATAATAAATCTTGTGATATCTAAACTTGAATTAGTCTCGTTACACACTCTCTTATGCATGACGTAATTGAATACAATTCAATTTCACTTAGAAAGATATAATCATGATAGTGATATATTCCACCCTTTTAACTATTCTACTTTTTCTTTCTCAGAAATGTTCTCTTGTAGTCTCGTTTATTTTGCTGCTTCTCCTATTCTTTTTTTTTTAACTCTCTTATGCCCCCTCCACCTCCCCCTCCCCTTCATAGTACTTTCTCTTCTCATTTTCCAAAGCTTGAGTTCTGGTAATGGTAGAAAATAAATTCTGACAGAATCCAACAAAACTTACACTGAATGTTCAAGATTTTAAAAAAAAATATCCTCCACATTACTATATGTGAAACTGCCATGACACCTACCTGCTTGACATTAGCTGCTAGTTGATCTCCAAGCTTATGAACCAACTCACTGAAGTGAGGTCTTTCCTTGGGTTCTGTGTGCCAGCAATCCAACATGACGTGATAACTGTGAACAACGAACACAGAGAGTGATCATGATGTATTGCTCTCTTAAAATGTGTGGCAGGGGTGGGATATGGATATCACATTCTAATGTTATAACATAATACATAGTCTCTAATGTTCTCAAAGTACAAAGCAGATACCAAAGCACCATGAGCATCCAACAGAGGCGGACATCAGCTAGTACTACACAAGAAGCCATAATTAGCAAAGTACCGGTAATGTTTTGTTATACCATAAGATGGTGTCAAGAGGATATTGTGGATATTTCTGTGACTGCCTTTGGGAGTTACAACATGGGTCATATTCTATGGAATGTTCTTTGTTTGTTATACCATAAGATGGTGAGTGGGATGTAGTAAGGATATAGCCATCATAATTGTATCACTTCCTTTCATTATCAAAACATAACAGACATTCCATGGATTAACTCAAGGTACTCTTTTTGGTAACCGAAATAGGTGCCAGGAGTGGGATATTGTGGATATGACGTGTGCAGCTGCCTTTTGGAGTCACAGCATATTTTTGGTATGCATTCAAGTTTACATTCATTCAAAATTATCCTTTCCTAGCTTATATGATGTGATGCTTTGAGATTGTTAGCTTAATTATAGAACTACAAAAAGAGTACCGGGAAGATATAACCCTACAGTATGTACTTACATTTCAATTGGTGCATAATCAGGAGTGTACATTCTATATCCACTCTTGAGACGATTGTAGAACTCTTCATCAACCACAACACCAGGGTATGGAGAGCCACCCAGAGCAAAGCATTCCCACATAAACACTCCAAAAGACCACCTGCAAAAGAAACAAAAGTTTCATCATTGACAACGACTCAACTAGATGAAAAATGTATATTATCATATGTTCCCCATGATACATATGGGATATATACATGAGGTGTCGTGGTTGAGTGGATATCTCACCGGACTGTCAATCACAAGGACCGCGGTTCGAGTTCCGCCGCGGCACTAATGTCCTTTGGCAAGACATTGATCTACATTTGCCACACTCAACCCAGGTGATGTAAATGGGTACCTGGCAGGAATTAATTCCTTGAATTGCTAGAGCGCCGTATGGCAGCCATGCTAAAGCCAGGGTAATAATTGGGAGCGCCAGGAGTGTCATGTATGACAGACATGAGTGCTATACAAGAACCCACTATTATTATTATGATATTGTATGGATTAAAAGACAGCATTGACTGTAGTTATATTGATCAGCTACAACAGATAGGATTTCAGAATTACAGCTGAATACTCACTTTAATAGGACACACTGTTTACCTAGTCATCTTAAGCAGGTTGATACAGTAGAAAATTTCAAGAATCTCTTAAAGACACATTTGTTCGTTTGTTATATTAGAACAATGTTATAACAAAGCAGTTATTCTTTCTTTGCTCTTCTCTCATGTCTGCTATTATTCTTTCTTTTCTCTTTTTTTTCTGAGCGGATAGGGACTTAAATTTATTTTTGTGATATGCGCTATATAAGAATGGTTTATTATTATTATTATTATTTAAAATCTCCAATCAACCGAAGGTTTAACATCATACAGAGAAATGTGCAAGTACTATACATAAATGTCTCAAGTTTTGATTTTACTATCATTAAACTATTGAGGGAGGGGTGATACTCACACATCACTGTAGATTGTGAAGACCTTGTCAAAGATAGATTCAGGAGCCATCCACTTGATAGGAAGTCTTCCCTGTAATACATAATAAAAATAATAATCAATTAATGATATCAATGCACTTAAATAACAACATTACATTTCAAATAAAATGATGAAATACAGTTTCAAGTGTTACACAAGATAACCCATTCTTATTTTTCATTTAACAATTCTTAAAATATATGAATAAACTCGAATACACATGAATTATGGATAACAGACTAATCTCTGTTTACCCTATTAAAACAATTTGATATTTGTATAACACATAATCTTATTATTCAGCAAATCATTACCCATCAAACTTACCCCTGTTTGTGTTACATAGTCAGGATCTGAGTAGATGTCTCGGGCTAGACCAAAATCACAGATTTTGACGATATTATTCTCTGCTAGGAGGACATTTCTGGCTGCTAAGTCACGGTGAATACACTATACACAAACACAAACAAGAAGATAGGAAACAGTTTTAAAGCCTTTCCTATTATTACTGTAGAGTACATACATAATATATAATGTACTCTTGCAACAATTAAAGCATAATAGTTTGGGATCCTAAAATATTTAAATTAGCTTAACTTTGTCATTTTTTATGAAGGGCAAGGCAGTATACACTGTGTGTTCTTTTTGGCATGGCAGCCCCAATATGTGATCATACAATTACAATAAATGCTACATACAAATCCCTTTATATAGCATAGTTCAATGCAATGGATGAATAGATACAGCAATGATTCACATTTATTCTCTGATTGCTTCTGTTAATAATTTACAGTGGACTTCACAAATAACCATCTACCGTCTGTGAAAAAATGTGTAGCTTGTCCATTATTTTACCTCTTATTGACCATCACTAGACCACTCATTTACCATTGCTTCTTATCTATCACTTGACCAATTATTAATTATGACTAGATCAATGGTTGATTACTACTTCACAATTATGTAACCATGGCTTTAAGAACTATCAATAGACCTCTGACTACCATATCTTGACCGCTTTTTGACCACTCACCTTCTTAGAAGTCAAGAACTCCATGCCCCTAGCAACCTGGTATGAGTAGCAGATAAGATCCTTGAGAGTCAGCGGCTGCTCCTTCTCCATGTACTCAAAGACATCATCATCTCCAACCTCCAAGGTGGATCCCCCTCTAGCTCCCATGAAACCATCTCCTCCTCCACGGCTGCTACCTCGCGAGCTCCTGTCTACTGGCCCCATGCAAGCAATGGCAAGCAGGTCTGGCTCTGCAACGTAGTTCTTACGCTTGGTCTTGAGATAGTCTGACAGATTGCCAAATGGGCAGAACTCAGAGATGACGAATAGATCTGTTTGGAAAAGAGACAAATAGAGGGCATTTCTTACCAGGATACTGTTATTTACTATAGAAGAGAATATATACAAATTACTTCATCTGTTTTAATTGTTATCACCACTCATTTTTATGACAATGAATAGATTTTTGATTCATTTGGCAAATAACTTATCTATTCTTGACAAAGATATATGTAAGAGCACCTAGCTTACTAAAATGCAAGCTAAACATGTTACTTTGGTTGCTTCTTTCCTTTTCATCCCAAATGAAAATTTCAGCAAATCCCTCTATAGTATCATTTGTTAAATACCATTAATGACTCTGGGTAACTAACGTATGGTGACATCTGAAAGGAATAAGATAGGGTTTGTAATTGGAGAGTACTAACCTTTCTTAGTGCATGCTCCAAGCAGGTTAACAATGTTGAGATGTGGTCCAATGTGTATCAGCATCTTAAGTTCAGTTAACAAAGCTTTCCTTTCACTATCAGAAGCATCCTCTGTTAATATAGAGTGAGTCAAAATCAGTTTTAGTACTTTGTATTGGAAAGAAATCACATCATCTTAATAATAATAATAATAATAATAATGTTTTATTCAACCAGGGTAGCCACTTCAGTTATGAAACTGCTCTTTCAGCGGGCCCTGCATAACACAATATGTTATTACTACCCTTCTCCAATCTAATGTGCTGAGCGCCTAGCTAGAAGGCAGAAGGTCCCATTGTTATATGTCTTTGGTATGACTCGGCCGGGGTTCGAACCCACGACCTCCCGTTCATGAAGCAGGTGCTCTAATCACTGAGCCACTTTTAATTAACCCACTGCCAACCAGAAACTGGATGCTTCCTGTATTCAGCCTAAGGGAATGAGAGAATTGTGATGTCAACAGGTTATACTACATTTTGATTACTATTGAACTCTACTTCAATTTGTGAAAACAATGTGAGGAATTGTTTCTTTTATTTTTGTCATTTTTTATCCTTAGTTTGTAAGTTTCTCAATATGATGTATTTCTTGGAGGAGAGCAATTAAAGGGAGGTAACAATCTCTGTGGCAGATCATCTAAAAGAAGTTAAATATACCAAACTTCACTGTCAACAGCTATTGACTCATATTATGAATTCTCCTAGTCCTTTTCCTGTACTCTCCCAGAAGAGCGTAGACAACAGAGACTACCCCTCTGTTGTCACCCCACTCACCCTTGGGGCGCTACTCACCTGGCCTGGGTTCCTATGCCCTAGGGATGGTGAATCACACAGAAATGACCAGACCACTAAACTGACCTATCAAATGGTACAGCGCATGTATTACCTAGCTGTAATTTTTTTGTATAATACTAGGGGTTTATACATTACGACTAAATGGAAACACTAAGCAGTTCCAATTTGTGAATTTTAGTTGTCTTACTTTGGCAACAATATCTACTGATCACCAAGTTATTCACACCCCTAGACAAATAACTACCTGTGATATGTTCTTAGGATTCATCTCTATTTTCTAAATACACAAAGAATTAAAATAACACTAAGAAGAAGATGGTGTCAGGAATGGGATATAAGAGACAAACTTCTGAAATAGGAAAATATATGAAATGGATAAAACAATTGCCAATTCCTAAAACAGTACTGGTACTCCTTTCTTTATTGAGCTAGGTCTCACCTTTCAACATCTTGACAGCCACTGTGGTACATGTATCGACCTTGTCAATGCCAAACGCTGAAGATCTCATCACACGACCAAAAGCTCCTCGACCAATCACGGGACCTGATGTATGTATAGGAATAGAGAGAAATATAAATCAAGAAGAAGTTATGGAAAACAATTAGTTTAAAAAATTGTATTAAGAAAATGAGCACGTAAAGTCAGCTTCATCATCAACATTATGAACATCATTGAAATGTTGGTGTCAGGTACCTAATGATAGATTACTGTAAGATTGATATTAGCACAAACAAGGAGAGATAGATAAACAGATATATAAATACATGTACTTTAGAAAGCCCTATGGGCAACAAAAGAACTTAGATAATTTCTTCTTGGATAGATAAATATATACATGTAGATAGACAGATAGATAGACAGATTAATATAAAAATGGAGAGATGAACAGAGAGATGGAAAGAAGTCAACATGAGTGTGTGAGAGACAGAGAGAAAGAGAGAGAGAGAGAGAGACAAAGACAGACAAAGATAAATTCACACTATTCACAAAATATAGAGCTAAATGAATGTAAAACCAAGAAAGAAACATTCTACTGACCTATTTTGAGCCTCTCTCTAGGGAACTCCCATTTGGAATCATAGGGGAGATGTTCACATATGTCTAAAAGATCATTGTACTGTCCAAATGAGATAGGTAGCAACATATCATCTCCACCAGCAATGTACTTCGGTCTTAGCTGTAATAAAGAGAACATATTGGTTTCAAATCATATCGGTTTCAAATCATATTGGTTTCAAATCATATCACCAGCATCTAAAATATTTCAGATCAATGGCATATCAGTTTATATGAAAACAAATTGTTTTCCTCATTAAGCATTACATATGCAAATTAAGTATCCATTTTAAACAGTATATTCACACACCAATTTTCAACACAATATGGATATAAAAAGTTTCTTCTAACAAAATTGTTCTCTCACCTTTTTGATCTTGAAGATGACAATGATGAGAGCAACGACAACAAGAAGAAGCACAAAGACAACACCGAGGGCGGTATTTCTCTTGACATCACCAGGCCCTAATATGGGGCGAGGCATATCTAAAAGGAAGTTTATATGAAGAAAAGGCATTCAATTTTATATACAATGCGGTAAGAATTGGCAAACATTGGAGCAGAAAACTCTTTTATCTAAAATGAAGTCATTTTTAAGGCATTTTTTTTACTATGATCTTTCATTTCCCTTGAATCTTACAGATACCAAAGAATGTATTGAAAGCCAGGATGGCATTAACTCATATACTAGCTGTTACATAGAGTTAATGCTCTAATGACTCTCAGTAGAGGAGCTCTGGAGATGTTTGATGTTTGACCTAAGAATGTATGATTTTCAATAAGAAGTCTATATCCCACCGCTGCCACTCTTAATTCTTGATTAGGATTTCACATAATACAAGATTGAATAAAGGTATTTGTAAGGCAACTCACCTAGTTTGATACTGACAGTACGGGTGCTACTACCCAGTCTGTTGGTTGCATTGCACAGGTAAGTACCCTGCTGATCTTTCTGCACATCATGGAGCACCAAGACACCCTCAGTGCTGTTGTACATCTGTGCTGGTAGGATGCGCATTTCACTGGCTTGGTCTTTAGGTTGGTGATACCAAACAATGGTAGGCTTGGGGTTGCCTCCATCATGACAGGTTATGTTTGCTGTGCCTCCCATGGCAACCAATTTGACATCCTCTTTCACTCTCATGTATGGTTCCTCTGATGGGACAAAATACCAATTAAATGAAATCGAATCCAATGATAAGATAAAACATATTTTTATTCTTTGGTCAGTTCAGTTAACCATGAATTGTATTTCAAAATAGCATATAAATCTCTTCCCATAGTCTAATTTCATCCCCCTATATTTTATCATTTTATACTTAATAAGTATAATATCTCTTTGTGATATTGCTTAATTTCATTCCCTTCTGCATGTCCATTCTCTTTCTGATACTGACCACAATGTTTTGCTGCCTGGCAGACCACCTATAGACAAGCTTCCATCATTAAGATTGGCCTTTGAGAAGTACTTCTCAATGCATTTACCTACTAAAAAACAGTGGGCTGCTATGGTCAATATCTTTCAAATGAAGAATGTATGCGTATCATGTTACTCTAATATGAGCACTAGGGTTTTACTCTGCAGCGAATATAGATTTAAGAAAGTTGACTTACCTAATATAATGATGACTGCTGAACTGTTGACCTGCCCTCCTGCATTGCTGGCCACACAGCAGTAGAGTCCACTATCTACCATGTTAATCCGGGTCCTTCTCAGTGTAGACACAGCATGATCATTAGGTAGCACCACAATACTGTCCTTTATCTCAAGTTTGCTACCATCCTTAAACCATGTGATCTTAGGGGTAGGGAAACCAGATGCCTCACACTCAAGAGTGAAATCCTTCAGGCTCTTATTAATCTCTTCTGTCTCCAATCCCATTATCATCTCAGGAACTCTGATAGCTACAATAGAATTGATTTAAGAAAAATTCCTTTGACTTGATTTGATTTGATGTTTGCAGTTTACAGAAAGCATGATTCGTATCTATTAGTTTATCTCAGCATCAGTAAAAGTGTTGGTTAGTAAAGCAGGTTTGACATAACAAAGAAAGAAAAACATGGATAAATGCAGATATAAGCCTTTGAACTTGAAGAACATAGGCCTACCATGATAAATATATTATATCTGATATGTTTAAAGTTGAATCAATCAGATTTGTGATTCCACCGCCCTGTCTCAAACTATTAAGAACTGATTGCACATCCCCTCATCAATTCCACAGTTCCTGCAACTGCTATCAATCTCAAGTTAATTGGATATCAATTTGGATTCACTGCAACTATTTGCAAGACAGGTTTAAGGCCAAAACAAGCAAACATTATACTTGCACTGTAGCATGAACCTTCTTTGTATCTCTGCTATCCATGATACTATAAACAAGAGGAAGTTATATAAAGCCGCTTTACACAGACTTATCACAAGGTTAATTAGGTTCTCAACACATTAATCTAGGTTTCTGAATCTTGCTAGAATACCTTGTACTTGTACTGCAGCCTCAACCTCCTTGGTATCTCTACTATCCAGGACACTGTGAGCCAGACAGATATAGATCCCATCATCAGAACGCCCCATGTCCTGGATGTGAAGCTGGGTTACATTGAAATCACCATCGGAGTAAGAGGTGATGGTCACACGTTCCTCTCGAGGTCGTAGCAGTCTGCTCTCATTGGTGGATCCATGGCTTCTTACGACAAGCCACTGTGATTGACAAATAATTGGATATTTCATTTGCTACACTGAAGGTACTAACAAAGGTACTATATTATGAATTGTCATCCACTGGAATACACAAAATGATCATTCTTAAAGTCTGGAGGCAGAAATGTATTAATTTTTCTTTTACTTTGCTTTGTAATCATGAACATTTAAAAAATAAAACATTTCTATAGCGCTTAAAACAACAACAAAAATAAGCGCTTGACACAATAATTTGTTAAGATACGATGGTCTTGGAAAGTAAGCTGATTACCCAATAATACTCCAAGGAATTTTATGGCGATGATTAGATGGATAGATGGATAGATGGATAGATGGATAGATGGACAGAAAGATCAATAGATAGATACATACATTCTATGTATGAGATAGCAAGAGGAGAGACAGAACTTGAGTAGAGGTCGACAGAGAGAGAGAGAGAGAGAGAGAGAGAGAGATGTACAGACTATATGTTTGACAATATTGCATGATTGAAAGGCTATAGCTATTCCAAAAGCTCTTACATATTACAATTAGCTTTTATACACTCAATTTTGTGTTACATTTGATCTTAGAAAACTGTTGTTGATTCTTCACCAAGATATGCTTGTACTGATCAGTGTGGCAGAGGAATAAGGGTATGAGATGACAGCAAGTTATAATAATTATAATTGCTTATATAGCACCTAACACTTACTTTATCAGAAGTCCCTAAGTGCTGTACAATAATTACCCTGGCTTTAGCAGTGCAGCTGTTACGCGCGCTGCGTTTCAAGGAATAAATTCATACCAGGTCCCCATTTACTTCAAATGGGTGGAGTGTGGTAAATGTAGATCAATGTCTTACCAAAGGATATTAGTAGATTATGTAGATTCTTATGTAGATTCTTACCTTGATGTTGTCAAAGATATGTGAGCTGCTCTTACAATGAAGTGTTAGATTTCCTTTTTCTTCAACGATAGTGGTCTCTTCTTGCCCTTCGATGGTCAAGCCTTCTTCAACATCTAAAGAAGATAGCATATACAACCTGATTTAGGCACTTCTCAGTAAAAAAAAACATGAATGATATCATATATAGCATATAAAACATTAATGAATAACAAAATCTTTATAAAGATAGTCACTATGTCATGCAATAAACGAAAATCCATCCTTATTAACGAACTACCCTAAAGAGAAGCAGAAAAATCAGAAAAATAGACTGGTGAAGGTTTGAACAAAATCTGATAAAGTAATAAAGCTATGAAAGTTATAATCGCTATAAGTATGGGAATTTCAAATAGGCTGAGTCTGTAATGTCACTGTTGTAAGCATACTGTTGACATTCGTGGATATCAGTAGAGTATACCTAATGAGCCTATAAAGAGGGCCAGAATCGTTGGAGTGATGAAGTCAAATGTGAAGCATAAATAAGCCTCCACTTGTGAGGAACCAAAACCTAACATCAGGAAATATGCCTCAATGCTGATCCTTAACACACAGTATTTTTAGAATAATTGTTTAAGAAAACCAAATGACATGCTTGAAATGAAGACTCAAGAGCTAGGCTTACCATGAACAACTACTCTGATGGTAACACTCTCCTGGACATCTCCATTGTCTCCGATCAGGGTGTAATTCCCTGCATGTTGAGCATTGATGTTGAGCAGCTTGACCTGAGCAACATCCTGCTTGATACGACTCTTGAAGAGATATTGATCAAGAGCGTCCACCTCGATGCCATCTTTGAACCAGGTGAAGTCAGCGTTGGGGAAGTACTTCAGATGTACCATGATCCGATCACGATCTTTAGCATGTTCCTCACCGCTTACTAGCTGCATCAACTCACCTTTCAGTGGCTCCATGTGAATATAGCCTTGGTCTAGAGATTAGAGAAAGAATCAAAGTACTTAGGCATTGGACCATGACTACATCTTTTATAATGTAATAATGAAAATAAGTTAGAAAAAAAGTTACAAGTAACTGATTAAACTGCTTCATAGGTATTGAAAGTGACTCTTGATTATTCAAAGTCATGATAAGAAAGTAAAATTCACAAAATTCAGCAAATGGCATATTTCTGAGCGATGCCAATTGTTTTTGCAGAAGTAGCCCAAATAGAGACTCATTCCTGCTGAAGCCAAGTTAAGAGTCTGCAGAATCAGAAAAAGCATGAAACAAGATATAAAATCAGGTAAAATCCTGAAGACCAGCATCCCTGATTTCAAACAGGTTCTACTAAGCAGACATCTAGCAACCCTTTCCACCTAATTACCATCTACCAATTATCCAACCATACTTTCTGACCCAATACAGGTACATACCTAATATGCTAACAGCATGTGTGGTGCTTCCATTGCCATTGTTATTAATGACAGTACAGGTGTAGGTACCATTGTCTATTGGACTGGCTTGAAAGACAGTCAGCGTCCCCTTGAATCTCCTGAAGGCACGCGTAGAATCTCCAACCTCTGCCTGCAGTTCTCGGGAACTTTTCTCAGTCCGATAATTATTGGGATTAGCGTTGGGGTTCTGTTGGGAAGGAATGGATGGTGAATAGATCTGAACTAACTAGATCAACAGTTAGAATCTAAATTGTAATTCAATCACTTCCTCATTTCCTCTCTTTTTAGAGACTATCATAAAATTAAATACCCTTTGGGACATATGACTCACAAGCATAGCTTTCACTAGAGGCCCCTCCATATTTCAATCTTCTTCTCTTTTTTCAGTCTTTTGATTTAATGCATTCAAACAAATCGATATGAGCTCTCAATTTCTGCTTTTTGTCTCTGTATAAAAGATTTCATGTTTATTTGTACCATATACTTTGTGAAATCATTTTAAACTGTGAAATACAACTATGTGAATTATTGTGAAATATGAAACTAAAACTGAAACTGAAACTTACATGAAGACCTGGATAGTCCCATTTCCACCTGATCTGGATTCCAAGGGGTGATTCTACATTGCAGGTAACATTGAATGTATAACCTTTGACCTGCTCGATGGGACCTTGGATCTGCGGAGCTGGGACAGGTGCCTTTGCTGAGAGAAAAAGAATGAGGTAGTTTATACAACCGTTGTTTCAAAACTCAAATTAAATATGGTCTAAAAACTTGGAAAATATCATAATGGAGTAAATGTAAACAGGAACTCCATCTTATTATGAACAAAGTGCTTTATTAGAAAATGCAATGGGAAAAGGTGACTGAAGATGAGGAGTTTGGCCCTGATGCATGCATAATTGCATCCTTACAGTTAAGCTATCAAAACAAATTTGTAAAAACAAATCTAAAGATGTGGTCATGAAATTGTATTTTGCTTACACCACTATATGCAATATTCTGTGTCAGCTAGGGTCTGTGTTTGGTACATAAGAAGCATGGACATTTCATGAGAGAATATCTTTTGATTGATTCAGGGATGCAACTACATCAAAAGCAGAAACAGATCTCAAACATCAATCATGAGGGGGAGGGTTTTGGCTGCAAACTGAGATGATATCTAGAATCCAAACAACTCAGGAAACGTGAATTACAATGCAATTAAGGGCCTCTTCCTAGTTGAAAGCAAACATATACAGGTATCTTCATTTGGCATTCAATCAACTTTGTGGATTTCTTTTATTGTTCCTGGAAACGCTGACCCTGGTATGATTGACAATTGAGTGAGTTCATAAAAAAAAAAACTTGGATAACTTCAGAGAAAATAGTACAACCTTGTCTTGTGTGCTTAAAGGGCTTCCGATGCTAAGATAGCCCACAAATAAATCTGAACTCACTCTTAAGATGTTTGATAAAGAAAGTATATGGCAATGAAATGACAAGAAAATAGAATCAAAATATATGTGTTTAGTATGAGTAATGACAGAATTCTGGAAGGCAATGTAAACCATTAACAATGGATTCTTCTTTAGGAACATTTTTTTATTTCTAGCATAATATCTAGGTTACGGATAAAACTATTTCCAGATTGACTTACACGTTACCAACCCCTCCCCTTCCCCTTCCCCAAAACGAGAGGAAATTGAATTCATGTCAGACTAATGTGGAAGAATGGAACATATGTTAATGTCTTTGCAAATGATTTTGCAAATCAGCCATTAGCTACCATAAGAATTCAAAAACCATTTCTATTTCAATCTAAATCTTTCACATCTCCGATGGTGGATTTGATCATCTTCCTGTCTCAGACTACCTACCAGATCAAGAGGGTAAAGTGAAGATTAATTACGACAGAATTTGTGATCATTATAATTTGCATACAGGCTCCCATAGAAGGCTACATAGGCCTGTACTTGCTAGGAATGACACTATATGAATGAGGTTACCATTCTATCTTCTCTGTACCTGGTTTTGACACTTTTCAAAGTAGGTCAGCTTTTAAAAGTCTTATCTCTGACTTAAAGGACAACCCATTTCAGCACCTTAGACCTTCCAAGGATATTAAATACGTTTGTCATCATTGATGTCATATGAGTTGTTATGACAACAAGACCTGACCATATACACTTTAAAACACACTCCTTAATTCTTTTTGAAAAACAGAGATAAGGAGATTTTGTCTTAACTTCATATGTTAAAGACCGAGTGTGACATGATTGTAAAATGAAGTCCATTCAGATAATAGGAGTACTGAGATTCATACACACTAGTATGAAGGGCTAGAAATATCCAGGTACTTACAATCTTTGAACTTTCATAAATCAAAGACATTAGGGTTATCTTGTTTCTTTTGGTGGAAAATTACAACCCTTCACATCAAGCGGATCCAGGATTTCTTAGGGGAGGGGGCCCAACTGTTTTTTTTTTATGCTTCCAAAAATTTGAAAATTGCGCCGGTCAAAAAGTTGCTCAGTGGGGGGGGGGGGGGGGGGGGGGGGGGGTCTTTTGAAAATTGAAAATCGTACGAAATGTCGCTCAGTTGGCGTAGTGAGCACTTTTTTCTTTTGGTCAAAAAAATAATTAAAGAGGTAAAAAATCGCGCCACTGCTTCAATGGTCTGTCTCAGCTAATGTCATCACATCAATGTTTGCAACACATTGCTTTACAAGAGTAGGGCTTATGAGGCAATCATTTGCAGTATGCAAAACATTGCTTTACAAGATTAGGGCTAATGAGGCAATCATTTGCAGTTTGCAACATGGCATCTGGAACCACTCTAAAAACAAAAGTTGACAATATTCAGACAAGGAAAGTAAGAAGGTGAGTTCAACAAGATAAACAAAAGATACTCACGTTCAAAGTTGAGAAGGATTTTCTTGATCTGTGTAAGGTTGCCTTTCCTGGCCTTGCAGATGAGATTATCGTTATACTGGGTGTGCTTATAGTCACCAGGTACTTTGAAGCCTACTCTAGGATCGTAGGTGATCACAGATCCCTCTTCTGATAAGATCTCATTGCCGTACTCTAGAGTGACGTTGATACGAGGATCAGTCACGGTACATGGGATGGTGTAGGATGAGCCAGTGATGATTTTGGCCCAGTAATACCAACCATTGATGGTAAACAGCTTCATGGCATCAACTGGTATGTTCAAAGGTAGACAAAAAGCACAAAATAGAATATACTCTTCTGTTTGATAAAAGCTACACATATATTAAACATATTATATACTCTCATTTTGTTATATATTATATAGTCAAATCACTTTTATACTCTACGGTCAAACAAACATTAGAATTTCTATCATTTTAATATTCACCATCAAATATAATATTACAAAATAGTATTATGTCCTGCAAAGATCTGCATTGTAAAAATCATGTTTGGAATATCTTTCTCTGTGGATATGATCAATACAACATTAGAAGGTTTTCAATTGGTATTACTATCCTGCATCAAATAAAGCTAATGCCCGCCAGGTTCCAAGCAAACCATATGCCATGGGTGACTTACCATCAGATGTGATATAGGCATAAACCTCTGCGCTTGTCTCTGGCGTGAGTCTGTCTGAGAATCGTGAGTAGAAGCATCGATAGAAACCAGTATCTTTGTAACTGGCATTGGATACTTTCAGGGTGCTGGTAGATTGTAAGGCCACAGGACAGGTAGGACATTCAATGGATCTTTGTTCTACTCGCTCAGTGGCATCCTGAGGCCAGGACCAGTCTATTGTTGAGGACCCAGTGCAGCGGAGTTCCAGGTTCTGGTACTCGTTTTGTATGATATGGGAGTTGTTGACATGGATGATGGGAGGACCTTTACTATGTAACTGAGCATCTGGGTAAACAAAACAGGCATAACAATATTCCAATAGTCATTTGATAAACATACTGAATTTTTTTTAAATAGTTCCATACATATAATCACATGATACAGTACTCAAGACAGAACAATTATATTACCAAACATGGAAAATGTCTAATAAAATAAAATACAGTTTATGTCATATGTGCAACAAGAAAGACAATCAAAATGTTTCAAATAGCAATTTGAAGGCTCATTTTTTATATTGATTCAAGTCTAGGGAACAATGTAAATCAATTTATTATACAATGCAATTTGTAATACAACCAAGAAACAAATCAACTATAATGAGTTATGAAGGATATTACTAATTAGAGAAAATAGAAATGCAGAGAAGTGTTGCTATCAACTCCTGGACAAGGAAACATTCATCTCAAATAAAAGGATAATTGAGAAACTCACTATCTGCTGCTACAAAGATGTTGATTTCTGCTGCTGTGGCATTATTAATATGATCCACATAACGGCTGTAGATACATTGGAACTGACCACTATCCTGTGGTCTAGCACTTCGGACGGTCAGCGTACTGGTGAAGTGGGCATTGCTATCACATGTTGGACAGGCCTGAGAGCCCAAACTAACCCTTGACCTGACAGCTTCAGGATAGATCCATTCTAGAGCTACACCTCCAGTGCAGCGGATCTCTAGAGTAGAATTCTCGCGAAGGAATCTCTCTGTGGTGTTGCTTCTGATCCTAGGAGGACCAATTCTCTTCAGATGTGTTACCCCTGCAAAGAAAGACAATAACAAAGATGATCTTGATAAACCAATTTGGATCTTAGATCATTTCAATCCTAGAAGTATTATTCACTCAACCCTGAAGACCTGAATTTAAAACTTGCACCTTGGTTTTAAAACCTGCCATTGGGCCTACTATATACTATCAATGAAACACAGTTAATAGAATATGAAAGATTGCAGTTGTCTGGTATTTCATGCAATATCCCAAAATGAAAATATAATAATGTATCTATCTTTTTGTTTCAAAATTGATCTTAACTTGCATATTATATGAATGAATTACAAATGAATTCCCCCTCAATTAGATGTTACTATGGCTCAATATCAAGTTTGCTCAAAAATGCTTCTTACAAAGTTACAGGCCAGGGTAAAATTTCATGACACATTGAAATAATCAACATTCTCAAATTTATGCTGTAATAAATAGAAGAGTCAACACAGGAAGGCTTCCCAAAATGATTAATGCTTTGTTCACTTTTACAGGATATTAAGCTCACCTATGACATTGATAGATGCCTCAGCAAAGTAGCTATCCCAGAAGTTTGTAGCGATGCAGACATACGTTCCATTGTCATAGCTGTGAGCACGTACCACATTAAGAGTACTCACATACTTCTGCATTGCCAAGCTAGAACCTCTTACTGATTCCGTGCTCCCATCAGTCACTATCTTGTAGTTGCTATCTTGACGCTCTGCAATCTGAAGTGGAATTGGTGTCAAATATTTTGAAGTGTTATGTATAGAATGTATGAAAACTTTACAACTTAAAGGTGAAATTCAAAGAAGATCACAAATATTTCAACTAATGTATCACTAGAAACTGGTAAGCTAACAGATGGCCATCGTACAAGTTTTAGATCAACTACATATCGGGCGATTTATAAAAATACAAATACAACCACCTCCATAGCAGCTGGGATCTACGAGAGATTCGCCAGAAAAATAACGATGTTTTAATAACGTCACTATATGGACCAACACTGCCCAAGCAGACGACATCCCATAGAGAATGAACATAATTGCAAAGCTATTATTTCTCAAATTATAATGAGTTTATTGTATATAAATGTAATGGCATGTCAAACCATTCAAAAGGGGATATGACCTGATTCTGATAACTAAAATCTTTTGCTTATAAATACACATCATAGGGGTTAATTAACAATCAAAGAAACCAGACTTTCAAATTGGAAACCCCCCGGAATGAAATTAAGGACGGCATTTGTCCCCTCTTGAAACGCCGAACATACCCCGGTGTGTGCAGCTGAATATACAATGGCGTCTTATTTTGTTTACAAGCGACAGATTCCTTTATTTTTTATCGCTGCATTTTCATCAAAATAAAGCCATGCGTGGGGTTTAGAGCGAGGCAATAGATTATACACTTAGCCTGACGGTAGTGAAGTAAGAGAAAAAACTTGAGAGAAGATGAAAACACAGGCACTGAAAATGTGTGAGATGTCATGGGACATCGTCTGCTTGTGCAAGTCATGTCTATACTGTGATCTCACACATCTCAGCAGCGTTTGGAGAGCTGTTCAGGTGCTATGCCGGGGCTGTATTTGAGCGTTTTGTAATTTATAATAATCATTACTTTGAATGTTTCCAAGCATTGAATTTTGATAACCTTGTCGAATCAAAGTTTCAACTTTGCAATAATGAAAATAAAGTTAGTTTTCAAAATCAATAAATATCTACTTTAAGTTTCAAAATCTGCTTTGATTTAAAAAGCATAATTCATTCCAGTGGTGCATTCAGTTAATTCAGGAAGTTATAAATGACAAATGTGGGGGTAATACTTCTGAGTCTGGGAGATGTTTATCCATTGCAAGGTGCATTGATTTTTTTTTCAATGGGGAGGACAGTAGGGCACATGCAGCTTCACCCTATGCCTGATACAACACTCCAGCAATGGAAATAAGAATGTATTGACATTTAATGAATATTAATCTCTAACCAAATATTATTGATGTATAAAAGTTGGACTAACCAATTATGTTATTATGGTTTCGAATCCCCTATATTATCTTGTAAAATATACTGAACATATTATATATTATAAAACAGCATCTGAAGAACTAACACTTCAACAAGCTCTGCTTCAAGTTGGTTCTTCTTTTCTCATGCTTTTTCTATTATATTTGTTGTTTCATTGCATACTTTTTGTGATATAATTATTCTTGTATTATGTTTTGCATGAGCGTCAGAACCTGGCGGATACCGGCGCTATACAAATAACCATATTATTAATTTTTTTTAATTTTTAATTTGAATCATTTGAATCATACTGCATATGTAATTTAGTTCAGTACACATATTAGATGTAGAAACAGATGGCAAGTTAAAGCATGAGAGAGGACCTGGGATATTTGAGCAGCAGAGATAAATTTACTATAAGAAGCTTCTTTGAGGGAATCACACTTCCTTTATCTGTCTTCATCTCCACTCCTCATCAGTGATAAGGAAGAGGCCTGGATTCTCATCAACAAAAATAGAATCAATGTAACCTTTCATCTCCTTCATGCCACCTGCGGGCTTTATGTTGACGTTGTATGAATCATACAGCTAAGCTACATGTCTCTAGTTACACAAGGACATTATGGTATCCTCAAATTCAAGTTTCGTAAGAATAGTATACCTTTCAATTGACAAGAAGATGGTATATTTCTAGTCATAAAACAAAAAGAGATTTGTAAGTGCTTTAAAAACTGTAATATATATACCAGTGTAATTTTTTCTGATCGATTAAGAATGATTAGCTTTAATCTTTAATATTGATAGTTGCCCTACCCATTATAGACTTTCAATATGATAGCTTAAGAGACATAATATTTTTCAATATTTTCTAGTGTGAAAACATAGAGATTAAGACTGAAAGTTGAACATTTTAGTTATTCGAGAGCAGGGAAGGGGTGATATGATAAACAAGACTCCTTCTGGTATCATTTACATAGGCCTCTCTCACTTACAAGCTAAATGTGGTAGATAACTTGCTTTATTCTTCATGATCCCTTGTTTAGTGATACCTACATATGGTAGCAAGCTGAAACACTGATGTGTAAGCATCGTAAAACATGTTCTCTATGTTTGGAAAATCTCACCGGAGACTAGGATTATGATTCAGACTATTTTGGTTCCACTTTCACTATTTTTCCTGGTTTCCACTAAACAACTCCGCCCACTGTGCGTCTGGTAGGAACATGACATCATATGATTGAATGTATTATAATGTAGGCCTATGGTTCAAGCTTCATTCTGACTGAATGTCAGATGTTGCTTGTTTATATACTGAATTTAGAAATCAGCCAGCAATTTCAACTCATATGCAAAACATAATACTAGTAATAATATTTTGTTGTGTAACTGTGTTGTTAAATCTAAATATCTGACAATAAGACACTACTAAAGTCATTGAAATTTGTATTTTGCTATTTGTGATGGAGAAGATTTTTTATTTGTACAGAGTGTCAAGGTTTAAAGAGGATAAAACATCTTCTTTTTTGCTTTTGTTCCCAGGTAAAAATGTCAATATTCACATCTATTGCTAGTTATAGCTTTTCACTACCCCTGTAGCAATGGAGGTACTTTTATTTCATGAATATATGTGGTACATACATGGACCTGGGACATTATCATGTCTCTACACTGACAATCATCCATGTGTCATGTATGCAATGGAGGCATGTAAGACACATTGACTGATGATGCACATGGTTTGTAATATCATCAATGAGAGGAAATATCAAAGTTTGAAATCTGATGTTGCAGTTCATATACTTTAAAATGGACATCCTGAATATATTCCTCACCACATCCTTGAGTTATGAGAAGGTGATGTTGGTGCTGGTAATTGATGCTACTGTGGTCTATAAATAATGCATAGAGGAATTACCCTTTCCTCATAAAGTGTAATATTTTGTGTACATGACACATGCTATGCTATGAATGATGCAAAATGAGTGCACATTTGTATAGCACAGCTAAGCTATATGAAGAATATACCAAGAGGAAATTTGTTCACTTTCTAGAAAGCATATTTTGTGGTAAAGATATGCATTGCTTGTTATAGAGGACTGCCAACTAATATGTCTTGCTCTTACACTTTTCTTTTCTGTTTCCTTGATTTTCAAATTATTATAAACCTGACTCTCATTTGTCAAATCTTCTCTTTCTTGGACCAATCTTTTTATTAAACTATTATTCTCTATTTCCCCTCAATCTCATTATTTGGTTGTAGGACAAGTACTCCTGCTGCATGTTAATATCCTACACCAACATAATTCTTGCTTCCAACCATGGACCTAAAAATATATCTAACCCCTAGCCTACCTAAACTACCCTACAGTCAAACACAAACACCTATACCTCTCTCTCTCTCTCTCTCTCTCTCTCTCTCTCTCTCTCTCCCTCTCCCATCTCCCTCTCTCTCTCTCTCTCTCTCTCTCTCTCTCTCTCTCTCTTCTCTCTTCTGATTCCTGGAATCCACATCAGTAGGTATCTCAAGGAGTTGATTGATCATCCTTGAGGTTATTATAAGATGAACAAGGTCATTACCCTTCTATACAATAGAAACACCTCAACTGTTAAATATATCAACTCTTACAATAAAAAGGAACTCATACAAGACAGCAAAGGCAAATGAAGTTAACAGGATCATATAATTTATATTGAGATTAAATTAAAAATTGGGGGTCGACTGCTTGGGTAGAAAAAAAGTGATCTGGAACTTGCTCTAGATAGTGGCATTTGCTCAGAGCTTATTTCACCAAAGGATGGTTAGAGCACAGATTTAGTGTCTATTTTATTGACTTTATAAATGGTTTATGACTTTGGGTGAATGTGGAAAACTTTTTTCTGCAACAACTATTACAATTTCAAGGAGTTTCAAAATGGTCTATCCAAAATATGGAATTAATAACTAATGATTTGATTTTTTTTCAAACATAAAATAGCCTCCCTGAAAATCTGTCAGCACTACATCACTTTCAATAAAAAATGAGATTCATATCTAATAGATGATAACTAAAGAACTGCAAACATAAGCAAAAAAGTAACCATTTACAAAAAGAAGTAAATAAAAAACACCTAAATAATGACAAAAACAGCAGCTTCTGGAGGGTGGGAAACATCTGGTTATACAATTGAGGTTGCAGTCCCAGGAATATATATTGATGTATTGTATCCTTACCATCTCAGCAGGGTAATCCCAAGATAGGTCGTCCAGTAGACTATCAGCAGGTGCCGAGACCTCACAGCTTACACTGAACCCTTCCCAACCCTCAAGAACCTCAGTAGTGCTGATAGATACTCGAGGCTCCAACACTGGTGCTTGCTCTGTAGGAGACAGTGGCAGAAAGAGAGTGGGAGAGAGAGAGAGAGAGAGAGAGAGAGATAAAATGGAAATTAAGAGAGATTAGTAAGGGGAGAGATTGAAAATAGAAACATAGGGAGCGAAATAAACAGGTAGATAGAGAGAGAAAGATAAAAAATAAACAAATGTAGAAATTAAAATGCATGTACAAACAAGACAGGTAGACATAGAAAAAGCATTAAAGGGCAACTGACAAATAACAAAGTATACTTTGAAATAGAAGCCAGAAAGGATGAATGACTCATTCTAGAATATATATAGTATAAACAAAAAGTTATAAAAAAAGTATATTACACTACAATAATACTATTGATAGAAATAAACAATTGGAAATATGCATTACAAGAGCCTATCAATCATTTGGCAATTATTTTTTATTTCTCGTCATCATAATTATTCACTTTATGAAATGAAAGAACAGCAAATGGATAATGCATTCCAGACATGACCGTTGTATAGCCCAGCCCGGGAGGGGCACGTTTTTCAGGAAAAGGAACAGTTCCTTTCTTAAACTTGAGTTGACCATAAAACTTTCAACTGTATCTCCACTAGGAAGTGCATGTCAGGTTAACATGTGTAGTGAATCAGTGCCAATGGCATTCATTCTCTTCCAGCTGATAATAGATGAGATGTGTTAAAGCTCGTCATGTCTCTATGATGCCTCATCCAATTTGAATCATTCTCTGACATTTATGTTGAAACATTTTGGGTAAAATGTTGAGATTGGAGGAAATGCTTCTCAGAAATCCAGGAAGCATCAAGAAGAAATGTGAGAGAAACGAAAGATACAGCAAAAGAGAGAAGACAGAGAGAGGAGAGATAGACAGGGCTGAAGGAGAGAGAAAAGGAGAGACGAGAAAGACAGAGAGAGGGGAGGGAGAGATAGACAGGGCTGAAGGAGAGAGAAGTGAGAGAGAAAGACAGAGAGAGAGGGGAAGAGATAGACAGGGCGAAAGGAGAGAGAGAAAGAGAGAGAGAGAAAGACAGAGAGAGAGGGAGAGATAGACAGGGCTGAAGGAGAGAAAAGGAGAGAGAGAGACAGGACAGAGAGAGGGGAGAAGATAGACAGTGCTGAGAAGGAGAGAAAAGGAGAGAGAGAGAGGAGATAGAGACAGAGAGAGAGAGGGGTGAGTTGACATTGTGTTGGGTACTGAGTCAGAGGAAGTATACAGAGTTCATTACTGGTGAGGAGAAGGGGCTTCATTACAAGTTGTGAAGGGTATCACGACCAAGAGGATATATTCATAGACTTTGGATAAAATGGTCTTAGTTTGAAACCTGCTCTCCCCCCAAATGAACAAAAAATCAAAACTTCAGCTGTATCATAAAAAAGTGATGCCATTTGGAAATTGGAAACTTAAATTGAGTTTTTCTGATAAAGTGAGGCGATGAATGGCAACTTGCGGAAGATGCTAAAGTTACAATAAATGAATTACATAAACAGAATTACACTGGGATGATCAGACCTTTGTCTATCAACTAAATCTGATTGAGAAGAACGGGGCATTACAAAAGAGAATAGATCATCCTACTCTCCCTGACACAATGTCACTTTGTCATGCTGCCCTAAAGTCAATATGAGGGAACAAAAGAGATGCAGGAAAAGAGGCAGGAAACAGGAGAGATTTGATATATTCTTTTATCATTCAGAGTGAATCATTTGACATGAGAGATCCACCTGTGTCATGTCTGGGTTATTCACAGGGAGTCGGGGTGATGAGGGGGTAATGGTAGGGGTACAATATGGGTGTAGAGGCCCCCAAGTAGTACCCTTTGGTTTCTAAAGATATTTGAATATCGAGGGTGCTGTACAAATTTCAATAAGACGAAAACTTAATCAATAATCAGAAAATCCAACTACAGGTCAACACTGTATTCTACTACTCTCTCATATGACAATAACAAATTTCCCAAGCAAAACCTGCGAAGTGAATTACATCTACATGTATGATATGGTGATTAAGAAAATTCACAGGCAAACTTTCTATGCCAAATTTAGAAAATAGATCTCAAAATATGTTTATCTAAGGAAGTTCACAATGAAATGACGTGAACCTGCTATTCTATATTTCCATGAAGCAAAGACTTTAGATAAGATCTTTATTACAATTGAATTATCAATCTATAAATGCTTTTATTGAAAGACAAACTGTATGGAATTTATTTGCCTTCACAGTGAAACCAAACACCATAAACATAATATTTTTTGCTCACATACATTGACAAAGTAGGGGGTGAACGTTTCGCATGTTAACTGTAAACATTTGGATACAATCTCCTACAAAGTTTGACTCATAAACTACCAAGTGTGCCAGCTAAAGAGAAAATTCTTGGAATGATATCAAAGGCCATATCAATAAACCCAAAGAAAGTCATTTCCCGTCATATTGTATCACGAAAAGCTCACAAGAAGCTTGTTTGATTTCATATTTCAGCATATCACGACCTAGCTGACTTTGAGAAAAGTCTTGATTTTTAAAAATTTTTTTGTTGGTACTACTTTCAATCTTGTTGACTACATGACCCTAGGAGCAATGTGAGTTAGCCTTTCCAAATTATTTCCCCCAATGTCAGAAGATAGAAACAGAAGTTATCAAGCCTAAATTAGCCCATAATATACAAGAGATTAGTGCACTAAGACAATTCCATTCACATTTTCTCGCTTGGTTTTTCTAGGTACTGCAACAAATAGGATTAAATAATATGGAGAGGCGACAGGGACTTGGCTTGACAGATAGTACTTGGCAAACCGTACAGAGTTGATTGAATCATTATAACATCCATCTGAAATGCTGCCACCCGTGTTATGCCACACCCTTGTATGTCAATATTCTAGAGACAGAAACAGAGCAAGATCATCTGATAGATGAGTCTAAACATATGACTGATGCCCGGTTGACTTTAACTGAGCTAAGTATTATTTATTCCAGTAGTCTCAACATAGCTGAAACATATAACTGACATTACTACTCAGATGAACACATTTGAGGATAGTGACTTTAATGTACATAATATTAAAAATAAACTGAACTCTTTTTAACAAACTCAGTATAAAGTTATAAACTCCATGTGCATTTATCAAGAAGAGGTGAATATTGAGTAAACCTACATCATAACTAATTAATGCAAACACTTTCCACTAGGTTCCCATTCATTTACTTGTGTATTTTGCTTGACATACTGTGAAGAGAGTTGTAGTTTGCTACCCATGGTGGGGTCTGATTGTGTGTGATGAGTAGAGAGTGAATCACAGGATGTTATCACATCACCAGGGACAGGAGTCTCAAAGCAAGCAACTCTCAAAGAGAAGAGAAGAAAAGAGAAGAGAGAACAAGACAGAGATACAGAGAGGGGTAGCTAGATAAAAAGAAGAAAGCAAGAGAGAGACACATAGAATATAAAGACTGAGGCAGAGACAAAGGGACCAAAGATAGGGGTATCAAAACAAGTGACTCTTAAATAGATAGAGAGAGAGGCAGAGAGAGGAGAGAAACAAAGAAAAGAGAGGGGTACTCAGCTACCTAATACTGTATTATCCGTATGGCTCAAAATGGCTGATGTATAAGTGATGACATTCCCATGGTAAGGAGCCAACCTAAACTTGAGGTAAAAGCGAAATACACTTGCCAAAGCATGTGGTTGGTAGTCATGTCTGTCCATAAATATGAAAATGAATTTGGCAATCAGAAATATCTCCTTTATATGGAAGTATTTCCATTGTTACAGGGGTATTGAGTGTGTATGGCTGCCCTTGAAATATGAGACATGTTTGGCTTCAGAAGATCTCTACAACACATGAAAGTATCTCCATTGATACAGGGGTATGGGACAAGTACACACCGTACTGACAAATTATCTATTACAGATTTAGTTGGAAAAGATATCTCCAGTACATTAAAATATCTCCAATGTTACAGGGATATTGTCTTTGACTGCCTATAATCATAGAATCAATGGTTTGTTCAAGTCCTCTTTAAAAAAAAGTATCTCAATTGATATGAGGGGTATGAGGTTGGTATGATTGCCTGTTGAATGTGAATGTAGATATAAGGGGACACGTGAGATATCTCATGAAAGTACCTCCATTAATATAGGGAAGGTGAGGGTTTTTAGACTGTCTATCGATTATCGCAGAATATCAGCTGTTAGATGATATACATGTACTCTGGATATGAACAGTTCTCCAGTTGCAAAGAGGTACTAGATGGTTACAACTATCCTTACATGTATATGAGGCTTTCAACACTTAGCTTCTCACAGGGGATATGACTCTCTGGGAATTTAGTTCAGTTTGACAAAATGTCTCTCTAGGCATGAAACTATCTTCATTGACACAAGCAAGGGGCTCTTGCACACAGAATGTACATCTTAAATCCAGACCCCCTCCCAAAAAGGTTTATGTGGAGCCCTGCACAATCTATTTCATCTTATATTTTTTTAATGATTTATCATATTTTAGTATCCTGATGCTTTGTATTCACCGTAGAGCATAGAATTCAACTTAATATCATCATACAATAATTTTGATTTATAAATTGTATTCATGATTCAAACTGAAACTGCCTATACATGTATAAACCCATTGAAAAAATGACAAAGCTGTTTCTGACTTAAAAATCATTTACATGCATGCTAGTATACAGATATGTATTGAGCATTACATTGTCGATTATGCTGAGAAAGATAAGTTTTTAATAATCGGTAGGTAAAATCCTGAGTTTGAGAAGCAATATCTATTTAATCAGGAATGATAGGGCAAGTACAGGTAAATGTGGCCCTACTTTACCGAGTATGATTGATGATTTGCACAGTAGTATGAAGGCCCTACAAATAGTTGTATAATTCTTACAACACTGAACATTAAAAATATGTCTATATCTTTTAGAAGAGTACAAAAAAAACAAGGAATTCCTCAAACCAACCGTCCAAACCGCAAAACTCATGTACACAAGCAAAAGATTTTAGGTCAACACTCAACAAGGCTCCAGAAAATCTGGAACACAAGTAATCTAAGAATGGGTTATCCAACAAGAGTATCACACAACAACAGTAATCTTAATGTAACTTAATCTTTATTTTTGTCATAAAAACTAACAAATTAATTAGGGTAACCACAATTATTGCTCGAAAAGTCTTCTCATATTCTCATTTCTGAATCCTGTCTTAGAAGTCTGTCTATACTGCTGGAGACTAACTTATGTCAGCTGTTAGAGACAAGGGGCATATTCAATGGTATATGGTACAAATAGGATTATTTTCTTACATGCACAAGTGTGTTTAATAGGAAAATCTAATAATTTAATAACCATGTTTGCCAACTCATTGTGCAACACTAAAACCTATCACTATTATTATTGACTATCTGATCTACATTCTACATATAAAAATAAGTTAGCATGTTCTTGAAAAACAGAATGTTTCAAATACCCATAAGACCAAAGCTCACTAATTCATATTGACAGGTTGTCTACCACATTAATATCCCTTGTAATGAACAACATATCCTTTTTAAATAGCTTGATCACGTTACAGTATCATCAACATCTACTGATTGAACACCAAGTTATTTCTAAATATTTCATACCTTACATGGACAAGGACAAAGCTGATTAAAGTTTGCCTCTGACAACATATTAAAAACTTCATTGGACAGTGTATACAGGTATGGATCAGATAGTTGATAATAAACACAGGAAACTTATGTTATTTTTATGCAAAAAAATTATTTTTTGTAAAAATAAGAGTTGCAGAAAAGTTGTTTGCAAAGTGAAATAGATATGCAATGTTGCTTAGCTCTACACAGTGTTCAAATGCTGTAGGAGTAAATTTAGTATATATGTACATGTAGTACAATATTAAACAGCTTGTCCGAGCTAGATACATGGATATTTAATACAACTAATTGGTAAAATCCTGTCTGTGTACAAGTAGCATATGAACCTTATGCAGCTTGGAAACGTTGTCAATGAAATACCTCACTTCCTTTCAGACTTAAACACTCTACAGGGCTTAGAATAGCTTATATTTACAGAGATCAAACAGTGATTTTCATTCTTGCCAATGACCACTTCTTATCATATAAATGAAGAATAAGTTACAGATTATACATGTATATAAAACACTACAGAGTGTTCAATAGCTATGTTCATGTACATAATCTAAAAAAAGGGAAACACTCTCGCCGGTCTCGCCTGCATTACGCAATTCAATGTGATGAAAATTGAGGTTGGGATATTATTAATAGGCAGGGTCGCTCATTAGCAGCCCCCCCCCCCCCCCCCCCCAATTAAATCCTCTTAATATAATCAGCATTTTGAAGTGAAAATTGTCCTTTTTTTTGTTTTTTCTTTTCTGTTCTGAAATTGTTTGCTTACTGTTTTGCATGTTTCATATTATTGTACTCTCTTTCTCGTATTATTGTAATGCTGGTGGGAAGCATATTTCCACATTGTGGACGAATAAATCAAATCAAATCAAAGAGTCATCGGAAGAATTATTTACTATAATTTGTAGCAAGACTAATAACTTTAATGGAATATGAAAAATAACAAAAAATGATTTTGTTTATTTTTTATTTTTTATAATCCTCACATACTGACCTAAAATGACCTTTGACCTTGACTTTTTGACCTGGAATTCGCGTCATAAGATTTGTGATACTTGATAACCCGTGTGTACAAGTTTCATGGACTTTGAACAAACACTTTTTAAATTATGCTAAAATTCAAAATCTTGATGTTGATGCCACAAAAGAGTCTAAGTTGGTTGACCTGAAATGACCTTTGACCTTAATTTAGTGACCTGAAATTCTGCTCACATGATTGGGAATACTTGATAACCCTTTAGTCCAAGTTTCATTGAATGAGAACCTATACTTTCAAAATTATACTAAAATTTCAAAAACATAACCTTAGGTTAAGTTTTTGATGTTAACGCCGTCGCCGCCGTCGCCGTCACTGGAAAAGCGGCGCCTATGTCTCGCTTTTTGCTACGCAGCGAGACCAAAACTGTATAATTCTCACCAACTACTTATTAGAAATTGCATCCAAGGCATAAAGTGTTTGTTTTTCAAATAATACTTTTGAATTCATGTTTAATTGTGTGAATACAGGCATCAGGCTTAAAGTTTACATTCTATTTCATTTAATAAGTTATACCCAGTTCTTGAAACTCAGTTGTTATTTTTTTTAATACAAAAAACAATTTTGTTGCATCCTAATGTTAAAACAATTGTATATTTTGATACAGTATGATATTTATATTCTTAAATCAGCTTTGATCTTTGGAAATTAACTTGAAACTATGAAGTGTGTGCAGTAGAAATTGTGATCAGAATAAATAACATTAAATTTCCAAATCAAATTGTGTTGTCATGGAATGACAGATGTTGTGAGTGATTAAATGAAAAAAAGAGATGTAATAAAAATACAATTGTCTCATTGTCTTACTTATTGCAGTAAAATGAAACAAGTCGAACTGCTAACATTTTTTATGATATGGCAAATTCTTATGAGTGGATAGAATTAACCCAGGAGCTTTATAAGCAAAGCCTTAATAACTGGTCAGAGCAAAACAGAGATCTCCGCAAAGGGGCTTAACCAATATCTCCACCCATCTATAGAGACATTCAATAAAGCTTCGTCTAAGGATATGGAGTTTGACACAATCTTGACATGACTCATAGACCTCCATATCTCTCAAGTGTGAATGAAAGCAGGGTCTGAAGGATGCAGAGAATCTTTGAGGAAAAGAGCGTCTTTGACAAGATAAGCATAACGGAGATAAGATGCTAGTTCATGGCCATGCTCTTCACAAATGTCATTTTTCATTAGGAATGAAAGGGAAACAATTTCTCAAACTGATTCCTAGCTATTCTGCAAACATCTAAATAATGATTTGCTCTGAAGTTGATCAGAGAAAAATATCACAAAATTACAAAACAGGACAGAGAGCAAGTTTATGGTAGAAGATTGAACTTTACCAGACTCTATGAAACAGGATGAAGCCCCGTATTATATTCAGGTACTAACCATGATTCATAAGGAGTAGTCTTATATCACAAAGATCTTATTTCACCCTGCATGGAAGCATAGCAAATTGATTTGAACCATATTTACAAAGAATGGACAGAGACTGGGAGGAATAGTTTCATTTGTCTCCAGCGGAAGAAAGAGGAAAACAGTTGCATATGTTACAGGTAATGTTTAAGACTGAATCACTTGGATTGAGTTGTTCCTGGTTAACTTCTCTTAAGATATCTGTCTCATCAAATCTACCAAATCTTCACCTTATATCAATTTAATCAACAATGCAACTTTCTTCTCCTAATATTTTTACATGAAAAAATACCCTAGGAATTAATCAAAATTTATTTATTCCCCAGAAACAGAAAATTAATTTTGATTTGCAATTCAGTATCCTGAAAATAAATATCACAAAAATGTATAACAAAAATTACAATTCCTTACCTTGAAAGTTAAGATTGAAACATGATCTGTCAATGTGTTCTCCATTTTGGGCCTTACAGCAAACATGACCATCTAATTCATGATGATTAGCTGAGATATGAAAGCCCTTCTTAGGGTCGTATCTATGGTAACGATGATCCGTGATATCCCTTCCGGTGCCACGTTGCACCAAAGTCACATTGAGGTTGGGGCTAGTTGTCCGACAGGGCAGGACAAATGGCTGCCCACGGTAAATATTGTTTTGTGTCCATTCTGGTGGCACAAATAAGTGCTCTGTTCATTGATACAGGTGCAGGATCGAGTGGTGAAAAGGTCAAAAAAGCATGGTTAACAATAATCATCAAAATTATACATATATATATATATATATATATATTATATATATATATATACAGATATGATAGGCAAGTAAATAATTAAAATGGAATTCATATCCATAAACAAGAGCAAGAGCAAAAGGACTGTTGTTCATGCAAAAAGGAGAAATGGGTGCATCATACCGACCATGTGGTAATGATAACTTAATTAATCTCATTCACATCTATCATTTCAATGTTACTCTGCAAATCATTATTCTCCCATGCTTTTTTACTTGACAACAATATAAATGTTCTCTTCTTATTCGTGTACATATACCATGGTAAGATAAGGCATTTATGATGGACCTCACATCCACTTTAGATTTACATAGAGTCTGTCATATATTTTCCTACATTTCCAATTAAAGATATCAATGCATCACATACTCTTTTAGTGCTATCTCTCTGATTAAATTATCAATAAATGAAAAGAAAAGCTATGTTTATAAACCTAATCACACAATTCACAAAATGATAATGTTATTATAGATTAGATTTTGTGTGATACATAGTACACAAGAAGTTAGAATATCTGGCATTCTAATATTTCACAAGTATTTTTTTGTGGGGGGGGGGGTATGGATATACAATGATAAATCTTGATTTCAACTTACCTGGTGAGCTAATATAAACATAAACTTTTGCAGATGTCTCATTATTAATTTTCGTATCATATTTCTTGTATAAGCACTGATATTTTCCAGTGTCACCAACATCTGCACTTGCTATGGTAAGTACACTTCTGTGTCTTTTGGGACTACACGCTGAGCAATGCTCCTGCTCAATTGATATTCTAGTCCTTTCTATCTCATATGGATAAATCCAGTCCAGTCTAAAACCTCCATGACAGCTGAGTTGGAGTGTATTATTTTGAGATATGAGGAGTGTTGAGCTTTCCGTTTCAAGCCGGGGTGGGCCAACTTTGTTGAGGGGTAGTCCTGAGAGATAGAAAAAATAAGATAAAACCCAATTACCGATTATATCACACCAATTATAATACTACTCTGGATTTACATAGCACGTGATATATCTATGATGTATGAAAAAGAAAGAAATGTTCTATAAATCATGACTATACGTTTATCGTTGCTACTGTGAATGTGATACTAAAACCCCAAGAAACAAAGGTTTCTAAAATCCATGAGGTGGTTTGATTTACCTTTATATATTTTATATCGACTTGATTTGAAAGCTCAAATAGTAACTTATAGAAAATGAAACACAAACTAAATTCATCAACTTCAGATAGTCATAAACATTGATGTTATCAACATTTGACAGTGGCACACATCTTCTATACAAATTGCTTCCTTTTCACACATCCACATACTCATTTGAATAAAAAAACACTTTGCTGACTGCAAATTGTATTCCTGTTTTATTCACAGCAATATGTAAATGCAGGGAAGTGCAGTTGAGCACTGCACCATTCTAAGCATTCATGCAGGGAGTTCTTGGTAACTTCCTGTTCTCAGCTTGAATCATCTGTTTGTAATATAAACATATCTTCCAAAGATGGAGAAGTACTGGCTTAGCATTCTAATACACCAGAGGCTCTAAACAAGCAAGATAAGATGAGACTGGATGGAAAGAAATACCAGACATGGACTTACTGAATATAGGATGTACACCAGGAAGTGATATTACATAACAGGGGGGTAAATGCTTTACCCTATAAATCTACATCATACATCTTCTTGGGGGCATACGTCATAGAGTGTTTACCCCCCCCCCCCCCCCTTTCAGACTACCTATAGTATAGCTATACAAAAACATACAGCCAGACAATAAGTGATATATTTTAGTTCATCTAAACATTTGAAGAACTACAGGGACAGGGCTTACTTCAGTGGAGAGGGGAGGGGGGGGGGGGGTTGCATTATCAACTCATCAACTATAAACAACATAATCAATATATATTCAATATTTTTCAAGGGATTCATATTTCATAGTTTGATAATATCCTGACTTCTTCAAAAGAATCTCCACTGTAAAGTATTTTGTAGCCCTACATTTAATTAGTGCATACCCTACAGATACCATGACCGTAGACAAGAACATATCAATTCCCAAATGGGTAATGGTCATTCTGATGGTCAAGGTAGCAATCACCTTTACATGGCCATGACTGTGGTCATTTGAGTCAGGCAAAGTGACATGAAGCCATCTGATTTATTGAAAGAGGAAGTCATTTAGTTCTGACCTAAAGGATATAACCTGACTGAAAAACAATCTTGTTTTTCACCATTCATCAACAACTTGCACTGGAGACTATAAATCATGTAACAAAACTTTAATTTGATAAAATTATGTTTTCTGTTTTCAACGAAAGCAGAGTAAGCTATCAACTTCTTCACCTTGTATTAAATCTGTTTCCTTTTTTTCAAATTCAATTGGCACCCCCCCCCCCCCCTCACCTGATTGTGTATGTATTTAACATACAATGTAAAGGCCTAAAGTTAACTTTTAACTTTCTTTAGCCTAAGTGAAAAAAAAGTTTTATATGTATTTGGTAGAGTAACTTCTATACATTGATTAGTTAGAACTTGTATTGTAACATTTGTTTCATGAAAGACATATCTTGACCCGTCACTGAACCCTGTAAACACGTTCAACTACACATGTATACCTAGTTCTGGATCTGAAACATTAGGATATGGCTGCCTTATGCTACACAAATCAACCTGCCTCAGCTTGCCTCAGTCTCAGATTCAGAATGTTAACTTCTCCAACTGTTTCATCTCACTTTACACCTTCCTCCTAATGTTTCAAGTTAAAACAATGAGGTACTACACCTTATTGGTTAAATGTAACCAAAAAGATATCTGCAACACTGCATTATACATCACAGGTTATAAATGTCTCCTTGGTTCATCAATGAAAAGCCCAGCAGGTGTATGCATCCCAGTATGTAAGGTGTGAAAATAAAAATATCTGATATGAAAATGAAAATTATATATCTTTTCTCTCCTACATAAGAATTCACTCAGAATCATTTCCAAAATGTAATAAACTTCTATATCAAGATAAAGAGTGTTTTTTTTATTTATTCAGGTGTGTATGTTTGTCCATGGATTTTCCCACTCTGGTACCCTTTCTCTATCTTCATCTTCCAGTTTCTCTGAAAAGAACAAGTGGCTCCAAACCACAGATTATCCTCCACCACAGGGAGAAACAGAATACCTAAAATATTGTAGAATGGTAATAGATAACTTGCTTCCTGGACGGATCATAATTGGGTCCAGCATGGGTTCTATTTCAGCCCTCTATCAGGAGCATGCAGAGTAATTTGAGAGAGGATGTGTACCATCAATGGACCTACGTGTGCAGGGTTCAAACAGTGTAACTATCATGTTCTAGCTCCATGGTTCCATTCATAAAGATACATACAAACAAACAATGACAATAATCTTGTTAGGCAAAATGTATACTATGACAGGTGCAGTCTAACTGAAGCTTGTGCTCCTCTATATGGCTATAGTAGACAGTCAAATGACGCTTCAACTTTCAAATTCCGCTTCAACTTTCCAAGGCCTCTAGCATTACTACGTACTTTGACATTTGCATATCTTGATTATACTTGAACATACATTTTAAAATAAAGCCCTTCATGCTTCATTTTGTTATTTGGAAAAAATACAACTACAAAAGTTTTTGCTATGAATACACATAATACTCTACAGAGGTATAAAACTTACTAAATAACTAAAATATTAATTTTACAAAGGGCAGTAGCAAAGTGGTTGGCATAGTATTTTTAATGTTAAATATCAGTGATTCTTAACTAAAAATATGACACAAAGTTTTGGAAAGAGTGCCCCTTAAGTGGGGTTAATTGTTGTTATTTCTTTTTCATAAAATGGTTGTCACAATATGATTAATTCATGATATATAAAGTTTATTTGTTCTCATAACTTTATTTTTCAATCTCTATATGACTCTTTACATTGTCCAATAAAGTTATGTTAAGAAATAAAGTCAGTCTATCAAAAATACATCATATTGTCACAACCGTTTCATAAAAAGAGGTAAAAAAAAACATTTACTTTATGGGCAACAGGATATCTACATGTACTGTGTTAAATATACATCCTGAGATTATCATCATCAATCATTTAGGATAGAAGTTTCAGAAGGAATAATCCCATTTTAAAATCACATCATGAAAGAGGGAATAGTGAGAGAAAGAGAGAGAGAGAGAGAAAGAGCGAGAGAGAGAGAAAGAGAGAGAGAGATGGAAAAAGAGGGAGAGAGAAAGGGGAGAGAGAAAGGGGAGAGAGGGAGGAATAGGGAGTGAAGGGGAGGGGGAAACAAAGCAGGCTACTATGGGAAGCGGGAGAGATGGCAGATACAAATACACAAGGTATAATAAGTGAAAATTGTGAATACAAGGAAAAACAGAGGGGAAGTTATTAAGTTAGTAAAGCAAAAGAGGAATATTCTTTTATTAAAGTAAGAGAGGCACTCAAAGAGTTGGGGCCATAGAGAATAAACTAGAAAGAAAATTAGAATGTTTTGACAGTCATGATAGAATCTTGTATTGGGAAGTGGTTGGAAAAAGACTACAAAATATGGCAAAGTGTTCTTTGCCAAAAATTAAGTTTGACAGACTGCTTCCAGGCAATACTTTCACCACACAGGGTATTGGAAGGTAAGGGAAGGTTTCCCATCTATAAACCACAGCCAACTGCAAGAGAAACGCTTTCAGAGTAATTTGCTTCTAAATAGGTGGTGGGTGGGTGACAATTTACCCCCTGATGTATGAAAATTGGCTTGAAATGGGAGAAGAAATAAGAACGTATTACAGGGGACCAGTCCCAACCCATTACGTGATGATGAGTGACACGGCTTAGAAACAACCTGTTTCAAATTTAGTTCCACAACAAAAAATGTAGTGAGCTGCATGGTCTATGCTGAAAACACAGCAGGCCTGTAAAAGTTATGGACAACAGTATATGTGAATAAGAAATGACAAAAACAACATTAATCATACAAAATACTGAGTGAAGTATCGCCATTATTACATGTAAGGTTTAAAAGAAAACATCAATTCCTACTCAGTAAGAATGCAAATAAAGTACATGTCATAATTTGCCTTAGTTTAAGGGACATTACTATTGTCAAATATGAGAATAATAATCATTCCAGAAGTAAGCAATGAGTATATTAAATCTACCATTATCATAATATTCTTACAAAATTGTAAACAAATGACTAGAAAAATTTGTCTGCTTTGTCATTTTAAACGACATAAGGAAGTTAGCCATTAGAATAAATTGAGACAAGAGAAAGAAAGGAACAAAATAGAGGAAAATAAACAGATCCATTTTTCTAAAGGTAATAGGAAATTCATATTGACACAAAGAGGTCAATAAAGAGAGAAGTTTGAGAGAAAGAAGTGGAGAGAGAGAGGAAGACAGTAGAAGGGCATACAGAGGGGTAGGGCAGGAGAGACAGACAGACGGCCAGACATAGTCAGAGAGAGAGAGAGAGAGAGAGAGATAAAGATGATAACTCTCAGTCAAGGATATCCTAATGACTGGCATACAGGAAACGCAAGGTTTAATGATCAACACTCATCTTCCATTCTCTCTCTCTCTCTCTCTCTCTCTCTCTCCATTCACTCAGTATGTTAGTCCCTATTATGTTGATGTCAGTCTACTATGCTTGTTCATGTGTAGTAACAAAAAAAAAATAAAAAAATTGCACATTGAATATAAAGTTATTTGAATTGAATTAATCCCATAGATTGACTCTATCAATTTACCTTTTCTTTAAAAGATTATTAATTGAATTCAATCATTGATGCTTCCTAGCCCTATACATAGGATCTTCTTTCAATGTGTGCATCGGAACTGAAATAATCTACAGAGAGAGAGAGCAGGCATTGCCCTTATCTTATCTATTGTACTATATTTAGCATTAGTTACCACCATCA